CATGCAACCCCCCTGCCCCTCAGCGCATGCACGCCCCCCCCCCATTTTGGGCCTAGCAGGCATCCCTGCAGCATGTTTTTTTTTATGTGCTTTCGAACTGCTAGGTTGGCAGAAGCTGGGACAAGTCACGGGAGCTCACTCCATTACACGGCGCTCGGGATTCGAACCGCTGAACTGCTGACCTTTCGACCGGCAAGCTCAGCGTCTTAGCCACTGCGCCACCGCATCTTACTACAGCCTTGCTATTAGTAATCTACAAACCAAAGGTCTTCTCAACCTTGGCAATTTACAGGTAATTCTCAATTTGCAACAGCTCATTTAGTGACGCACTGAAAAAAAAGTGACCTAGGATTATTTGTCACACTTTCAACCTTTCTAGCATGGTCATGTGATCAAAATTCAGACGCTTGGCAACTGACTCATATTTATGACGGTTGCAGTGTCCCGGAGGGGGGGTCATGTGATCCCTTTGTGCGACCTTCTGACAATGGGGGGGGGAGCCAGATTGACTTAACAACCACATTAGTGGACCGAACAACTGCAGTGATTCGCTGAACAATCGTGGCAAAAGACACTTAACCTTAAGGTTGACTCAGCCTTCCATCCTTCCAAGGTGGGTAAAATGAGGACCCAGATTGTTTGGGGGCAAGAGGCTGACTCTGTAAACCGCTTAGAGAGGATGGTAAAAGCACTGTGAAGTGCTATATAAGTCTAAATGCTATTGCTATCTTCCTTCCTTCCTTCCTTCCTTCCTTCCTTCCTTCCTTCCTTTCCTTCCCAGTGGTTAGAATGCTGTATTGCAGGCTACCTCTGCCCACTGCCAGCAGTTCGATCCTGACCGACTGGCTCAAGGTGGACTCAGCCTCCCATCCTTCCGAGGTGCATAAAATGAGGACCCAAATTGTTGGGGGCAAAAGGCTGACTCTGTAAACCGCTTAGAGAGGGCTGTAAAGCACTGTAAAGCGGTATATAAATCTAAGGGTTATTACTATTGCTATTAACAAATGTTTCGCTCGGCAGCAAAAATGTTGGGGGTCAATTGTGGTCGTACGTTGAGGACTACTGTACCTGTGGATTATGAAAATCAGAATAGAGACAGAGTAGGAACCTTTTGGGATTTATTCAGAATTATTGTGATTACCCCAAAAAGCCGGCCTTAAGGGATCCCTAACTGGGCCCTGCGAAGTCATGAAATCTAAACTAAACTCCAAGATTAGCCTTTGGCCTACGGGGACCGCGGTGGGCAGCCGAAACGCAGGCATCAGGCAAGCGAGTCAAGCTACAACTGGGAAGTAAACGATCCAATTAGTTCAGGGTCTCCGCAGAGCCCAGTGCTGATAGATTGGATTAGGCAATACCTAAGCAGAAAAAAGGAAGAAGTGATGGGAGAGTAAGCAAAAAAAAAAAAAAGAAAAGAAAAGAAAGATTAATTAAAACAGAAGCGAGGAAGGAGCCCTCACCCACAGAATGATACATGGCTTCCCCAAAGGGCTCTAACTGGGCCCCCGTAAGCATTTGGTGTGGGGGGGGGGTGTCTCACCTCCACGAGATCAGTTGTTATTTCCGGGCACAGTTTTAGCATCGCGGCGTGCTCCTCCCCTCCGTCCTCCCCCACCCCGCTTTTCCCAACGAATTATTTTTATTTTATATCTACATCTATATATAGATATATAGCTGCTATGCGTTTCTCTTTCCTCTGAGCAATTACGCGGCAGTATATAAAGAGCAGGGGAGATGATGTTAATTAAACAGAAGATAATTTCTGTCAGCCCACAGAGTGGGGGGCCAAGGGGTGGGGGGGAGAGGGGAGGAGGAGGAGGACAGGAGAGGGGGGAAAAGAGCAAGCTGGGCCTTGGCTCCATGGAACGTTTTCTCTGTTCAAAGCACAGGTATTGGTGTCAGCAAGAAAGGGGCTAATTTATTTAAATAATAAACTTAATAAACTTGACCAAAATAAATAAATAAAAAATAAATTACTGCTGGGAGATGTAGAGCAAAGAATACGAGCGGAAGGTACAATGGGAAATCTGACTGAATTTGCAGCGAATACTCCTAGTCCACAAAAACAATGATGCAACGGCGAAGGTGGACACACAAGAGAGGTGTGATATCTTAGGTCTGCAGATTCTTCCCGGAAAAGGGTGGGAAAGAGGGGTCTGAAACAAGGGGGTGAAATGCTCTGAAGTCTGCTACCGGTTCGCTTCGCCGCGTGCATGCGAGGTGCGCACCAGACGCGCGCTTTGCATGCAGGCGCACCGCAGGCGCTACTGCGCAGCGCTGAAAAAAAAAGAGGATTAAGAAGCCTTTTCTACGGTAAGTAGAACAGGAAGGAGGGGGGAACAGCTGTGCCGTGCGATTTAGATTTAGAATGTAAATCACGCGGCACAGCTGATCGTCGGAAATACCGATTTGCCCGAACCGATATCATTTTTTTTTTTTTACTACCGATTCACCCGAACTGGTAGCATTTATTATCGGTTCAGGCGAACCGGTCCAAACCGGTAGTATTTCACCCCTGGTCTGAAAGCCTGCAGAGGTGACTATTAAGCCAAGACTGGTTTTCTTAACTGATGAAAAACAGCCAAACTGACCTGCTATTCCTGCAAAACGTCAGGATGGGAAATTCTGGCTTAAACGTGCGATAAACAACATCTGCAGGTTTTAAAAAAAAGAAAAAAAAAGAAAAGTGTGGATTCTGGACTATAGCAGGTAGTCCTTGGCTTACGACCACCATTTAGCCCAAAATTTCTGTTACTTTGTCAAGCGGGTATTGCCCCATTTTACGCCCTTTCTTGCCCCCGTTATTAAGTGAATCACCGCAGTTGTTAAGTTAGTCACGCGGCTGTTAAGTGAATCTGGCTTCCCCGTCAGCAGGTCACAAAAGGGGATCACGTGACACACACACCCCCGGGACACCGGGACCGTCATAAATATGAGTTCCGTGCGCCTTTGACGTTGAGTCATGCCGGCCACATGACCACGGAGACGCCTTCGGACAGCGCTGGCTCTTCAGCTTTGAAATGGAGATGAGCACCGCCCCCTAGAGTCAGGAACAGCTAGCACATATGTGCGAGGGGAACCTTTACCTTTTACTTTATGGCTGAATATTATATTACAAAAATGATCAGTTTATATATAAACAGATGACAAATGTAGCTTCTTTGGATTATTATTTATCCTGCCTCATCTCTACCTGTATTCTCACACTGCAATCTGATGTGTTTTTTTCAAACCAGCTACAACCTAGAGAGTTCATACTTCCTACAAAGTCATGAGCTACAGTTCACAAATCCTAACTGGGTTAACACAACACATTACGTTGTGACTTAGTGTTGTAGGTGAATCTACCTACTAAATAAACCACTTTAGTAAGACAAAAAGACAAAAAACCTCTTTCCCTCAAAGTTGTTAATTGACAAAATGATGTTATAGCAATAGACTTATATACCGCTTAGACTTATATACCGCTTTATAGTGCTTTATAGCCCTCTCTAAGTGGTTTACAGAGTCAGCCTCTTGCCCCCAACAATCTGGGTCCTCATTTTACCCACCTCGGAAGGATGGAAGGCTGAGTCAACCTTGAGCCTGGTGAGATTCAAACTGCCAAATTTCAGGCAGCCGGCAGGCAGCAGAAGTGGCCTGCAGTACTGCACTCTAACCACTGCGCCACTGCGGCTTGTAGAGCACTGCACAACAGAACAATTAGACACAAGGGCAGTTTTCCCCTGCGTGCCATCACTCTGCTAAACAACTCATTCCCACAACACTGTCAAACTATTTAGTAAGACTGTATTACTACTATTCTTCTCAGCCTTCCTATTACCTATCTCCTCCCACTTATGACTGTAACCTTGTTGCTTATATCTTTACAATTTATATTATTTTATTTAGATTCCCGTATGATTCTGATTGCTTACTTAGTATCCTATGACTATCACTAAGTGTTGTCTCTTATGATTCTTGATGAATGTATTTTTTATGTACACTGAGAGTGTATGCACCGAAGACAAATTCCTTGTGTGTCCAATCACACTTGGCCAATAAAGAATTCTATTCTATTCTATTCTATTCTATTTTCTATTCTATTCTAATTTTCTCTTCTATTCACTCTTCTCTCTTCTATCTATTCACTCTTCTCTATTCTAATTTTCTCTTCTATTCACTCTTCTATTCTATTCACTATTCTCTATTCTACTCTATCCTATCCTATTTCTTCATTCCAATATCTATTCTATTCTATTCTATTCTATTCTATTCTATTCTATTCTATTCCTTTTATTCTATTCTATTCTATTCTATTCACTCTTCTTTATTTTATTTTCTTCACTTCTCTATTCTATTCTATTCTATTCTATTCTATTCTATTCTACTCTATTCTATGTGCTTGTATCTTTCAATTTATATTTTTACTTGTTTCCTAGTACATTTGATAGCTTATTAGTAAGCTTGACTATCACGAAGTGTTATCTTTTTATTCTTGATTAATGTATTTTATTCTCCTTATGTACACCGAGAACATACACCGAAGACAAATTCCTTGTGTGTCCAATCACACTTGGCCAATAAAGAATTCTATTCTATTCTATTCTATTCTATTCTATTCTATTCTATTCTATTCTATTCTATTCTATTCTATTCTATTCTATTCTATTCTATTCTATTCACTCTTCTCTTCTCTTCTCTTCACTCTTTATTTTATTTTCTTCTCTATTCTATTCACTCTTCACTCTTCTCTTCTCTTCTCCTCTCTTCTATGTGTTTGTATCTTTCAATTTATATTGTTTTTACTTGTTTCCTAGTATGATTTGATAGCTTACTAGCAAGCTTGACTATCACGAAGTGTTGTTATCTTTTTATTCTTGATGAATGTATTTTATTCTCATGTACACCGAGAGCATATACACTGAAGACAAATTCCTTGTGTGTCCAATCACACTTGGCCAATAAAGAATTCCATTCTATTCTAATTCAAAGGTAAGGCTTATACTGCATACACTCACCAGGGCCTCGCGCGATGCTCCATTCTCGGTTCCAGAAGAGCTGATCTGCGGAGTGAAAGAAAGAACAAGGTTAGACTGCCACCCAATGGTCATCTCTAAGCAAGCTTACAGTCGCACACCACAGAGGCGGGAGAAAGGCTTATGAACTGCCAGGAGTGCAAATCTATTACAGGTAGTCCTTGACTTACGACGGTTCATTAAGCGACAAAGTTCAAAGTTACAACAGCACTGGAAAACAAGTGACTTGGGACCAGAGGTGAAATCCAGCAGGTTCTGACAGGTTCTGAAGAACCGGTAGCAGAAATTTTGAGCAGTTCGGAGAACCGGCAAAATACCACCTCTGGCTGGCCCCAGAGTGGGCTGGGAATGGGCATTTTGCAGTATCCTTCCCCTGTAGTGGGGTGGGAATGGAGATTTTGCAGTATCCTTCCCCTGCCACGCCTTCCAAGCCACGCCAAGCCCACCAAGCCATGCCTACCGAACCGGTAGTAAAAAAAATTGGATTTCACCACTGCTTAGGACCATGTTTTTCCACGGTTGCCACCTTTCCATGCTGAAAAATCCCCTTAACGACTGTGGCCAAGAAAGGTCGGCAAAATTCATTTGACCACTGTCTCGCTTTAGCAACAGAAACTTGGCGTTCAATCGCGGTCGTTAAGTCGAGGACTACCCGTGTGTAAAAAAAAAAAAAAAAAAAAAGCCTCAATTAAAAGGGTACGGTAATGGAAAGGCTGCAATCCTTGAGGACTAGCACTGCTAGAATAAACAGCCTGACTTGGTAGAAGGTGGTGGGGCTCTTTATTTCAAGCATACAAACAACAGTATAAACCCAATCATTTGCTTCATTTGCTGAATTTGGAACCAGTGGAGAGAGTTAGATTAAGAGCCTTGGTGGCGCAGCAGACTAAAGCGCTGTTAAGTAGCACCAGCTGCCTGCAATTACTGCGAGTTCGAATCTCACCAGGCTCAAGGTTGACTCAGCCTTCCATCCTTCCGAGGTAGGTAAAATGCGGACCCGGATTGTGGGGGCAATAAGCTGACTTTGTATGAAAAGAACACCGCTTGGGGGGGCCCCGAAAGCCCTACTAAGCAGGTATATACAAAAGTATGAAGGCTATTGCTTAATGCATTGTAAGCCGCTGAGTCTCCGGAGAAAGGGCGGCATATAAATCGAACCAATAAATAAATAAAATAAAATAGATTATGGACTCGTAGATTTTACACCTGCGTTCGAGGGTGCTAGCTGGGTATGAATTTAAGTTTAATGCACTCAGGCTGCTGTTGTAAACCGGCTCGAGGTGTGACTTCCATCTGCGGCTCGGCACAAGGAAGAGTAGAAAGTTGGTACTAAAGTAAGACTAACTACAACCACTTTGGAGCTGATTGGTCCTTGGTACTCTCTGGGCTTGCTTGTTTCCTTGCAGACATCATCACATCAACCCGGAGCTACAAATATTCTCCTTTATTTACAACTCCTGCTCTGGAGTTGTAAAGGGGAAACTGAAAAGCCACTTAGGGAAAAAAAATCGTAAACTGAAAGGGGAAGAGGAAGGAGGAGAATAAGCGGGTGGAAAGGAAGCGTAATTCAGGGGCAAAACATTTCCCTTCCTCGGAAAGAGTCACAAGTTCAACCTCTATTTTAAAAAGGCCAGATAGCAGGAAATCGGAAAATCTTAGCTGGGTTTACATTTAATTTATTACATTTATTGGCAACTCCATTAAATGAGCTGCATCCTTTCTTGGGCTTAGGAAACTGATCCCAGGACAGCTTGATTTAAGGCGGTGATTTAAGGCGGTGGTGAAATCCAATTTTTTTTTTCTTACTGGTTCTGTGGGCGTGGTTTGGTGGGCGTGGTGTGGCTTGGTGGGCGTGGTGGAGGAAGGATACTGCAAAATCTCCGTTCCAACCCCACTCCAGGGGAAGGATACTGCAAAATCTCCATTCCCATCCCACTCCAGGGGAAGGATACTGCAAAATCCCCATTCCCTCCCCACTCCAGGGGAAGGATACTGCAAAATCCCCATTCCCTCCCCACTCTGGGGCCAGCCAGAGGTGGTATTTGCCTCTGAACTACTCAAAATTTCCGCTACCGGTTCTCCAGAACCTGCTGGATTTCACCCCTGAATTAAGGAGGGACCAGCTGCTCTATGATTCCAGGCCTGCTCTGAATTTCTTTTTCTCTTTTGATTACTGCACAGCTGTAAGACACAACTTCAGGAAGAGTCGACGTAAAACTTCTAGCCAAATCACCAGGAGGAAAATCAATCAACATCAGAGATGAACCAGACACAACTTGGAGAGCAAAGAAGCCGTGGGCTAGAGAGGGCCCTAAAAGGGCATCCAGACACCCAGTTCTGGCTTTTTTTTTTTTAATTTGATTTATATGCCGCCCTTCTCCAGAGACTCAGGGCAGCTTACAATGTGTTAAGCAATAGCCTTCATACTTTTGTATATTTATACAAAGTCAGCTTATTGCCCCCACAAACTGGGTCCTCAATTTACCTACCTTAGAAAGGATGGAAGGCTGAGTCAACCTTGAGCCTGGCAAGATTCAAACTTACTAATTGCAGACAGCTGGAGTTAAATTACAATGCATTAGTCTGCTGAGCTATCCAGGCTTCTGCCACTCAACAGCCGGCCTTCTACGAAACAAATACCGGCAACGTTTTGTGGTGGTATTATCTGTAGAAAACTTGGAAGTTGCATATTTGTTTTGGCTTCCAAAGAGAAGCAGTTTACTGTCCCAAAGCCAGAGGGAATTTTTTGTTTTGTTTTGTTCAAAGGTAACAAAAAATGTGAAGTTTGCCTTTTTTTTCTTATTTAAAGGGAAAAAAAAAAGCAGAAGTAGGCATACATTAGTGGAAAAGACAAAGAGTCTAATTCCAAACTTTGGATGTTTCCTTCTCCGTTCCACCTCATTAAAAAGTCCAGGCCAGACAGGTGGTCAATAACAGACCCCTCGTATCCCGGACATACATTATTTCAACTTCTACCCTCAAAACGACGCTATAGAGCAGGGGTCTCCAACCTTGGCAACTTTAAGCCTGGAGGACTTCAACTCCCAGAATTCCGGCAAAAACTGGCTGGGGAATTCTGGGAGTTGAAGTCCTCCAGGCTTAAAGTTGCCAAGGTTGGAGACCCCTGCTATAGGACACTGCACACCAGAACAATTACCCTGTTTCCCCCAAAATAAGACACCCCTGATAATAAGCCAAATCTGGCTTTTGGGTACATGGCAATAAGGCCAAGCGCTTATTTCAGGGTTCAAAGAATTATGACACAGGGTCTTATTTTCGGGGAAACACGGTAGACACAAGGACAGTTTTTTCCCCGAATGCCATCACTCTGCTTAACAACTCATTCCCACAACACTGTCAAATAATTTACTAAGCCTGTATTACTATTATTATTCTCTTCCTTACTATTCTCTCTCTTCCCACTTATGACTGTAACCATCTCGCTTGTATCTGTGAGCTTAAATGGACTCCAGAGGATGGTAGAGGACAGGAAGGCCTGGAGGAACGTGGTCCATGGGGGTCGCGATGGGTCAGACATGATTTCGCAACTAACAACTGCCAAAAGAGAACCATCCACTCACAAGCTCCCTTTTCTTCCAAAAAGCTCAATGAAAACAAGATTGTTGACTCTGAAAAGTGGGGGGGGGGGAGATAGAAAGCTGTGGGGAAGATGGGTAACTGGACGCATTGAACACAAAGAACAACAGTGCAACCGTTAGACTAACAAAACAGCCGCGCGCACCACATACGATGGCAAATCCAATTAATATGTTAGTATTTGTATAGGCTTAACCTCCAGAAGTCTGCAGGTGAAGAAAAAAAAGATGATGAAGGGCAATTTGAATCGACTCCGATGAAGGTTTGCCTACCGATTAATATTCAAACAGGTATTCTGCCTTTATGCGGCATTCAAGAAGTTTGTGAGTTAAAGAAAGAACGGGGAAAAAGAATGGGAGGGGGGGGGATTAGTGTGGGTGTGGTGCTTAAAAGAAACTCTTGGCAAAAACAGATCCAGGTTTTTCTAAAGTGAGGTTAACAGAAAGTGTGGCCTACTAAGGGTCTTGGTGGCTCTAGAGACCCTCTAGATTTTATTTATTTTATTGAATTTCTATACCGCCCTACTCCCGAAGGACTCAAGGCGGTGAACAGCCATAAAATAAAACACATACATATACAAAATTTAAAATCAAATAAAATGAATTAAATAAATTTTGGCTGAATTAATACCCATAATTTAAAACACCCATATTTTAAAATACATTAAAATTTAAAATTTGCACTTAAAAGGGAGAAGATTTAGGCGAGGCCAGATCAGGGGGTCCCCAACCTTTCGGACCTCAGGGACCACTAACTTCATAATTTTTAAATCCCGCGGACCACTAATACGATCTGCCTAATGAGCGCCTGGGTGGGCGTGGCCAGGTGGTCATGTGACTGGGTGGGCGTGGCCAACTCGATGGCCAACTCGATGTCACTCACATCGAGGGGCACCTCGAAGGCCTCTACTCGCCCCTCCCCTCCCAGCCACTCCTCGCCTGCCCGCCCGGGCTCCTTAGGGCACCACAGGAAGCAGTTGTTGGAGCTAAGCAGCCACCACAAAAAAGAGTAGGCAAAACAGCTGGCTCAGTTCAAATTGGATCTGACCAAGAAGGAGGCTCAGCAGAAGCACCTCACTGAGGACTAGGAGCATAGGCTTTCCAAGCAGAGGGAAGACCTGCAGGAATGTAAGGCAGGTGCCCGGAGGGTCAGCGGACTGAGATGGTCAGCCAGTTCCAGGCCATGATGCAGTCCCACTGGAACGAGGCCCTCCGCTCTTTGCCACCAGCGGCACTTTCCTCCAGCCTTCACCAAAGCCCCACACCAGGAGGCTGAAGCAGACCCCGAGTCGGAATTTCTGCCCCCCTGCGACCCACACAAGAAGACCCCAAAGGGGGAGACTCTCTGCAGCAACACAAACATTCATTGCACGTATCCGGCCCAGGGGCCGTAGTTTGAGGACCCCTGATTTAGTGCAATATAAAAAAATGCAAATACCGTATTTTTGGCGTATTAGATGACTGGGCGTATAAGACGACCCCGACTTTTCCTGTTAAAATATAGGGTTTGGCTATACTCGCGTATAAGACTACCTCTCTTCCAACGCACACCAAATAAAAATTAAAAACATCAACTGGCTCACCCACAATGTAAAAGCAGCTGTGCTAGACCCAAAATGGCCCCTGCAACAAGCAGGAACCTCACACAGCCACAAAAAGCCAAAAAAAACAACTTTCACACTTTACAACACAAAATTCCACATACAGCTTTGCGAGATTTTGTGTGTTTGTGTAGTTAGAGTGAAACACTACAGAAACACACTAAATCTCAGAAAGCTGCACAAATATTATTTTATTTTATTTTTATTTTTATATGAAAACTAAATTTAAAACTTCCTAAACTTTAAATGGCTAGGTCTAAAAAAGAACAACTAAAAAAAAAAACCCAATTAACTATTTTTTTTAAAGCTCCCAAAGGGGAAAAAAATTACCCAATAGAACAGGGGTCTCCAATCTTGGCCACTTAAAGACTTGTAGACTTAACTCCCAGAATTTCTCAGCCAGCTTTGTTTTGCTGGCTGAGGAATTCTGGGAGTTGAAGTCCACAACTCCCTGCCTGCTTGATTGCAGGCAGGGAGTGGCTTGCTGATGGAATGGATTCAGGCAAGCCAAGCAAGGCAAGAGTTGCGACTAGCAGCTAAGGTAAGCAAGCTGGAGGGGGAAAACTTTTTTCCTTTTACATGGCTCTGATGATCCCAGCTGAGTTGCCTGCTAATCAGGCAACGCAGCTGGGATCACCAGAGCCATTTAAGGCTCGTCAGAGCCTTTTGGGCTAGTCTGCCTGGTTACAGGAGAACGACATCCGGCGTATAAGACAACCCCCGACTTTGAGATTTTCATGTGTTAAAAAAGTCGTTCTTATACGCCAGAAAATACGTTAATTTCTGCAGATCACCCAAAATTTTCTCATGGACCACCAGTTGGTGACCGCTGGTCTAAATGGGTGTGACCCATTTTTGTGTGTGTTATTATAATTTGGGGAGGTTTAATGGGGCAAAATTGGTGCCTTTTAACTTGTAGGTGCTTAAAGAGTCTTTTTTTTGGGGGGGGAACCCTTTAAACTTCCTGGGGCCTTTTCTGAAAGGGATGCTGCCCCCCCGACTTTCAGAAAGTGGCTCTCAACCATGTTGCATAGAGTCTGGCGTGTCCCCTCGGATAACAGCGATTGTGCAGCCCTGTGCTAAGAGAATCTAAAGAGAGTTGAAGAGCACATAGAAAAAAGTAGGGCCCCCCTCCAATTATTTTTTTTTAATCACAAGCATTTTTCATTCCTGTAAGGTTGTGATAAAAGAAAGATGGCCCAATGATTACAAGTCTGCCTTTTTTCTTGCTTTTCAGCTTGTGTATTGAGCTGGAATTCTCAGCTGCCCTCATCTATTATCTTCTCAGAAACCACAATTGCTTGTCTCTCTCTTCTTTTTTCCCCCTTTTAAAGACTTTATTGAATTTTACATAAATGTAGAGATATTTAAAAAAAAAAACCTTCCAGACTCCTCAGAGACGCAGCCTAAATGATTCATCCAATTAGAACTTCATTTGGCTATTATAGAAAATATTGAGCTATATAAATCAGTTCAGGTTAAGATGAAGGAGTACGAAAAAGACAAATGTTTATGGACGTGTCTAAAGAAATGGATTAAAAAAAAAAAAAAAAAAAACAAGGACAGAGTATATAAATAAATTAAAAAAAACACAACAGCCAAGGGCAGATAAATAGGCTTTTTGCAGAATAATTTTCTGGTATTTATTCAGTCTCTTAAATACATCAGCTTTCAATTGAAAATCACCAGACTCCTGTATCAATCACAGCTAGTCCTGATAAAGGCCTACTACAATTGTGATTCTGCACAGCTTAAAAATGAACCCATGGTTCACTGTTAGAAAGGGATAAGAAAAATCACGTACAAAAAATAGCGGGACTGCTCACCAACATGCAGAAATAGATCAAAATAAGTACTGTTGTAAATATAAACAGCCATGTACAAATATCACAGCTATTCATACTTGCCAGAGAGTTTGGGTTTTTTTTGCTACTATGATGTGCTATGGATCAACGTCCTGGCTAAATAATATTAAGACAAAAGAAATGAATGAAATAAGAAAGTTCTTCCTGTGTTCCTAGAAAGGAATCTCCAACCTTTCTGGGCATCCCTCACAACTGGCTAGGCATGACAGTATCTTGTGGGCACACCGGCTGACCAATGGTGAAAAAAGTCAGGTTCTACATTTAGGCAAGAAAAACAAAATGCACAGGTACGGTATAGGTGGTACCTTGCTCAATAGTGGTGACTGTGAGAAAGATCTTGGAATCCTAATGGACAACTATTTAAATAGGAGTCAGCTGTGTGCTGCAGCTGCCAAAAAAAGCCAACACAGCTGCATCAACAGATGGATAGAATCAAGATCACCTGAAGTGTTGAGACCACTTTATAAGGCCTTGGTAAGACCACACTTAGAATATGGCATCCAGTTTTGGTCGCCACGATGCAAAAAAGGATGTGGAGACTCTAGAAAGAGTGCAGAGAAGAACCACAAAGATAATTAGGGGAATGGAGGCTAAAACTTATGAAGAACGGTTGCAGGAACTGGGTATGTCTAGTTTAATAAAAAGAAGGACTCGGGGAGACATGACAGCAATCTTCCAATATCTCAGGGGCCGCCACAAACAAAAGGGAGCGAATCTATTTCCAAAGCCCCCGAGGGCAGGACAAGAAGCAATGGGTGGAAACTCATCAAGGAGAGAAGCAAACTTAGAACTAAGGAGAAATTTCCTGATGGTTAGAAGAATTAATCGTGGAACAATTACTTGCCTCCAGAAGTTGTGAATGCTCCAACACTGGAAATTTTTAAGAAGATGTTGGATAACCATTTCTCTGAAGTGGTGTAGGGCTTCCTGCCTAAGCAGGGGGTTGGACTAGAAGACCTCCAAGGTCCCTTCCAACTCTGTTATTCTATTCTAAATATCATCAGCTGATTAAGATGCCTAGGTTCAAATAACAGGAATCTATTAGGAAGATAAGAATTTTAAGTATGATAAAGAAAAACATGGTTTTTATTTCTCTTCACAAATGTTTTGTAATCCCTCTTACTTTGGGCCTCAAACCTTGCCAGGCTGGGGACAAGGGAAGGCAAAAACCTCTCACGCCTCTTCCTGGGGAAAAATGGAACCTGCAGATTTGCAGATTGCGCCTGGCACTCTAGTGCCCTGTCAATGCAGGACTACAACTTCCATCACACCCGACTAAAGAAAGGTTGACTGACCGCCAGAAGTCAATAAACTTCCCATCTCCATAAAAAGGGGACCTGCTGGAATAAATGCCCACCCTCCCCTCCTGGAGAGGCGGGCAGAGAGAGAGAAGGGGGTTGATGCTATGTAAGAAAATGATCCCTCCCTCCCTCCCTCTTTGCTGCTTTTAATTTCAGACAGCCTCCAAAGATAGGACTTACTCCTTACTCCTGGGTCCTTTCCAAGGGGCAGAAACTTAATTTTTCCTCTGCCCCCTTTGCCCCTACACAATGCACCATGAACCCCACCTACCCACCCCCAAAACTCCTCCATCCATCCCTTTTTTAGGGATTCTCCCTTGTCTTTTTTCTTAAGGAAGGGGAAGGACAGAAGAGCCCATTCTCACCCCCCACAGTGCCTTCATTTATGTGTGAACCCCTATTTCTCTCTCACACACACCTTCATTTATGTGTGAACCCCCAAACTCCTCCATGCATTCCACCCCTTTTTTAGGGATTTTCCCTTGTTCTTTTTCTTAAGAGAGGGGGGAGAAGAGCCCATTTCTAACTACCCCGTGCCTTCATTTGTGTGTGAACCCCCTTCTCTCTCTCTCTCTTACACACACACACCTTCATTTATGTGATAACCCCAAAAACTCCTCCATCCATTCCACCCCCTTTTTTAGGGGTTCTCCCTTGTTCTTTTTCTTAAAGAGAGGGGGGGAGGATAGAGAGCCCATTTCTAACCCCCCCAGTGCCTTCATTTATGTGGACTCCCCTCCTCCAACCCCCCAATTACGAAGCAAACCCCTCTGCTTCCCCCTATTTCCTGGGTATTTCTAGGGGTTTCTCCCCTAAGAGCCTACATGGAGGGGGTGAGGGGTGGAGGAGAGGGTGGTGGGAAGGAGAGAGGAGGGGGAGAGAGAGGGAAGTGGAGAGGGGGGAGGATAGAGGAGAGGAGAGAGGGGGAGAGGAGGGAAGAGGGGAGAGAGGGGGAGTGGAGAGGGGGGAGAGAGGGGAGGAGAGAGGAGGGGGGAAGGGGGGAGAGAGGGAGAGGGGGAGGAGAGAGGAGGGAGAGATATGGGGGAGAGGAGAGGGGGAAGAAAGAGGGGGAGGGGGAAAAAGAGAGGGGGAGAGAGGAGGAAGGAGGGGAAAAGAGAGGGGGAGAGAGAGGGGGAGGAGGGAGAAAAGAGGAGGGGGGAGGAGAAACGAGGGAGGAGGGGGAGATAGGGGGGAGGAGAGAGAGAGGGGGGGAAGGGAGAGACGGGGGGATGGGAAAGAAAGGGCCGCCCCTCCTCCTCCTCCCTCCTTTACGGGGCAAAAGGGCGCCCCATACCTGCCTACCTGCCTTCCCCCTTGATGGAGCTGGTGGGGGGGGGGCTTGAGAGTTTCCCCCCACTTTGCAACCGGGAAGGAGCCGAGGCCGAAGCCCCCCCGAGGGCCCTAAGCGCCCTCTCCGCCTTCCAGGGGACGAGGAGTGACCCCCCCCTTCCCCGTGGCAAGGCTCCTGCCCGCTCTCCCACGGGCTCCAGCCCAGCCTCACCTGCCCAGGTTGCTCAGCCTGCTCCGAGGAGGCCATCTTCCCAGAACGGCTAATCGCGGCCGAGGCTGCAAAAAAACCGATGGCCGAGCCGAAAAAAGGCAGCGGAACGGGGGGGGGGGGGGGGAGAGGCCGGAGCAATCGAGCCCCGAGGCGCCGATCTGGGGGGGGAAAAAGCGCCGGCCTCGATTGGACGAACTTCTTCATTTAAACAGATTGGGGGGGGGGGGGGAAGGAAGGAGTTGGAAGAGGGACCTTGTAGGTCATCTAGTCCAACCCCTCCCCAACCCCCCCACCCATGCAAGGAGAAGACCCTAGGTGGCTCCAGTGGCTAAGGCGCTGAGTTTTAGGGTCGGCAGTTCGGGGGTTCGAGCCCTAGCGCAGGTCTCCTGCAGTGAGCGAGGGGGTTTGGGCTAGATGACCTCCCAAGGTCCCTTCCAACGTTCTGTTACTGTTCTGAACCCTGCCTACGTCCTTCCTTCCTTCCTTCCTTCTTCCTTCCTCCTTTCTTTCTTTCTTTTTTTTTTGCAAAAAGATTTTTTTTATTTTTCAACACACAAATTACATCTTTTGGGAACAGAGCCCTCATCAGTTTTTACACAATTTTTCTTTCCATCTTTAAACAAAACTTTTATATGTTTTTTTTTTTGCCCTAATGCTTATTTCTTAATCTTAAATCGCCTATCTCAACTAATACCATCTTAAAAAAAAAAAAATTAAGTCCAAACCGTCGCCCAAGCAGGAGACCCCAACACCATTTCTGACAGAGGGCAGGTCCAGTTTCTTCGGAAGCTTCCAGGGGTGAAGCTTTCCCACAATTTCTGAGTAACAGAATAATAACGACAGAATAACAAAGAGTCGGAAGGGGCCTTAGAGGTCATCTAGCTATATATAGCTAAAAATATTAAGAAGCGTGGTCTGCCTGTCTTAAAATATGGAGTGTATTTAAAATAGTTAAAATATCCACTATGAAATATAGAATAGAATAGAATTCTTCATTGGCCAAGTGTGATTGGACACACAAGGAATTTGACTTAGGTGTATATGCTCTCAATGTACATAAGGAGAATAAAATACATTCCTCAAGAATAAAAAGAAGGTTTTTACGATAATTTGACTAATTTAGATAAAATTTTAACAGGTACTGATGAAAAGGTAATTAAGAATAAAAAGATACAACACTTAGTGATAGTCAAGGTTACTAATAAGCTATCAAATCGTACTAGGAAACCAATAAAAACAATATAAATTGAAAGATACAAGCGACATGGTTATAGCCATAAGTGGGAAGAGATAGATACTAGTAAGGAAGAGAAGGATAATATTAATACAGTCTTAGTAAATTATTTGACAGTGTTGTGGGAATTAATTAATCTGTTAAGCAGAGTGATGACATTCAGGAAAAAACTGTCCTTGTGTCTAGTTGTTCTGGTGTGCAGTGCTCTATAGCGTCGTTTGGAGGGTAGAAGTTGAAACAATTTATGTTCAGGATGCGAGGGGTCTGTAGATATTTTAGATAGACATTTTGGAATCAATAACGGGCCTGGTGGCTCAGCAGACTAATAGCCTGTTATTATCATTCAGCTGCCTGCCATTACTGCAGGTTCGAATCTCGCCAGGCTCAAGGTTGACTCAGCCTTCCATCCTTTCTATGGTAGGTAAATTGAGGACCCAGTTTGTGGGGGCAATAAGCTGACTTTGTATAAATATACAAAAGTATGAAGGCTATTGCTTACCGCATTGTAAGTCGCCCTGAGTCTCCGGAGAAGGGCGGCATATAAATCAAATTTAAAAATAAAATAAAATAATAAAATAAAATAAAATCACAAACTCAGAATGTACCTATTGGTGTTTTGGCAGGAACTGGGAAGATGACTATAAGCAGTAAAACCTTTTGCTTCCAACAAAAAGTTTGAGTGGGGATGAAAACTACGTTCCCCATCATGCCACAGGATATTGAGACTGAACTACATTTCCCAGAGTGCCTCAGCAGAGTACACCGGGCGCTCTGATTGGTTTCCTGCAGCTGATTGTTGTTCTACAAGAGAATTCAAACGAAAGGGAAGCAAAGCGAAAGGAAAAAAGCGATGGCAGAGGGTAAGTCAAGGCTACCCCGGTTGAAGCAATGCCTGATCAGGCGGATGGGACAAAAGGAACAGCATGGGGTGGCTGCTTCCACCCTCCAGGAACTGAAGATGAAAGGTAAGACGTTCTGCTTTAGGGATATCAGAGCACGCACATTTTGCCCCACAGGCAGAGGGACCACAGGTGAAATTGCCCACCTGTTGTTGTTAGTCGTCTCCAACCCATCGCAACCCCATGGACCACATTCCTCCAGGCCTTCCTGTCCTCTACCATCCTTCGGAGTCCGTTGAAGCTCCCGCCGACTGCTTCAGTGACTCCATCCAGCCACCTCGTTCTCTGCCGTCCCCTTCTTCTTTTGCCCTCCATCGTTCCCAGCATTCGGCTCTTCTTCCTTCATTAGATGGCCAAAGGATTTGAGTTTCCTCTTCAGGATCTGGCCTTCTAAAGAGCAGTCAGGGTTGATCTCCAGTCCAAGGGACTCGCGGGAGTCTTCTCCAGCACCAGAGTTCAAAGGCCTCCATTCTTTGGTGCTCAGCCTTCCTTATGGTCCAACTTTCACAGCCAGACGTTGCAACTGGGAAAAGCATGATGTATAGATGTATAGTACATCCACTGTATGAGATACAGATGTTCTGTTTTCTGGGCATTAAAGTATGGAGAGAAAGAGAAGAGAAGGACCAGGGGAGACATGATAGCAATGTTCCAATATTTGAAGGGCTGCCACAGAGAGGAAGGAGGTCAAGCTATTTTCCAAAGCACCGGAAGGCCAGACAAGGAATAATAATGGATGGAAACTGATCAAGGAGAGATTCAACCTGGAAATAAGGAGGAATTGGGTGTATCTAGTTTAGTGATAAGAAGGACTAGGGGGGAACATGATACCATGGTTCCAGTATTTGAGGGGCTGCCAGAGAGAGGAGGGGGTCAAAGCTATTTTCCAAAGCACCCGAAGGCCAGACAAGAAATAATAATGGATGGAAATTGACCAAGGAGAGATTCAACCTGCAAATAAGGAGGAATTTTCTGACAGTGAGAACAATCAACCCATGGAACAGAAGTTGCCTTCGGAAGTTGTGGGAGCTTCATCCCTGGAAGCTTTCAAGAAGAGATTGGACTGCCATCTATCAGAGATGGTGTAGTGTCTTCTTGGGTTGGGGTTGGACTAGATGACCTACAAGGTCCCTTCCAACTCTGTTAATCTGAAGGCTAAATCTGAACCTGTGGGTTTTTTTTTTTTTTTTTAGGGCTGGTACAAAGGGCAGGAAATAAAACTAACACGAGAAACCTTCTCGGCCCGATGTAGAAAAATTGTCCTCTTTTTTCCCACAGCCTGCAATCTGCTAGCAATTGACTTGGCCTCCCAGCCTGTCACTCTGGTATTGGCTGAAGACGGCACCATAATAGATGACAACGATTACTTTTTGTGTCTGCCCCAAAACACCAAATTTGGGGTGGTAGCCAAGAATGAGAAATGGACCAGCACAGGTAATGAAATTAACGCTTTAGGTAGAAGCTCAGATCCAAAGAAGCGCAAACGAGGTTTGTCCCAGGATAGATAACTTTGATCGACCATTCAGAAGATGAATTCAAGGATCAGTTGGCCCTCTGAATGCCTTACTATTACACTTGGAGAAGTTTATAGATGTTTGTTTGGGGGGTGGGAAGAAAAAGTTTAAAACGCATATGCTTTTATGTTTTTAAAAATAGAATGGAATAGGAATAGAATAGAATAGAATAGAATAGAATAGAATAGAATAGAATAGAATAGAATAGAATAGAATAGAATTTTTTTATTGGCCAAGTGTGATTGGACACACAAGGAATTTGTCTTTGGTGCATACGCTCTCGGTGTATATAAAAGACAAGATACATTCGTCAAGAATCATAAGGTACAACACGTAATGATAGTCATAGGGAACAAATAAGCAATCAAATCATATTAGGAAACCGTCAATATAAATCTTTAATAAACCCTGTTAGCGTGAAATGGTGCCAATAGACTCTTTCTGACGTTGGGTGATGCCCAGTGTGTGAAATTACACACCTCTCTTAATTTTTAATGTCTACTGGATTCACAATTCTATCCGTTTCAGGTGAGGGCACAACTTGGTTAGGGGAAGAAATCACAAACACGAATGAAGTGGACAGCAGTGGAGAGAAATGGAAGGTTTTGGCCAGACAATTGAAAAACAACCTGTCTACCATCGTACTGATGTCCGAAGAAGACCTCCAGGTAGGATAAGATCAAGTCTACAATATCTCTTGTTTCAGTCTAACTCTTTCCCTTGTCACCTTTGTTTTATACAGAATGGATTAAAAAATTGATGATTTTTTTTTTAAAAAAATAGGATTTTTTTTATTTTTATAAAAATTAGTTTAATATAATGCTTTTGGAGTAAAAAAAAATCTATCTAAAGATAGTTTTCTAATTAAGATACATTCATAATTTAATTTATTCAGCATGAAACGGAGCTTCGTGATGTAGCACGAGGAGGCTGTATATTTCTGCAATATTTACGTTTTTAGTAAACTCATTCAATGAACTTAAGCTCTGCAAGCTGAGAGAACATGCACTGCATAGAATCGAATCGAATCGAATCGAATCGAATAGAATAGAATAGAATAGAATAGAATAGAATAGAATAGAATAGAATTTTTATTGGCCAAGTGTGATTGGACACACAAGGAATTTGTCTTGGTGCATAAGCTCTCTGTTCTAAAATTCTAAAACATGCACTGCATTGATGCCTTCACACAATTTCACAGTAACCGTGAGATACAAATCATAAAACATAAAGTTCAGGAATATTCCTGTATCCCATTGTTTTGCAAATCTCATGTACACTACAAACTGTACGATGGTTTGAAGAGAAGTGCATTCTGTACCACCAGGCTCTTAAGTGTGAGGAGGAAGGGCAAGCAGTAAAAAGGAAAGTGAAACCTTCTAAGCAGCTTATCGATATAATATTAAAGAGCACCTGTCATTTCAGATCCATCATGGCAGCAGCGCCTGTTAGCGGGCATCCACTCACCTGCTGCCTGCTACGTCCCTCATCTTGTGTCACTGCCGCATCACCAGCTGTCCCATTAAAGTGACTGGGACGGTCGGTGAGTCAACAGCGGGTCAGAGGAGGAGCCGCCACGGGACAGAGATGACAACGGCTCTTTAAAATTTACGATTTAAATCGAGTTGATTTCAATCAAGCCTTTTTTACTAGTGATTTAAATCATGGTTTAAATCGACTTGATTTAAATTGTGATTTCAATTGACTCACTTTAAATCAAATCCAGCCTGGTTTTATACAGGGATTGGATAAATAGATTTATATGGCCACCCAATTTCTGGAATCTTCCATCAGCAAAACTGGCATTCCTTCTATTTAATGAGGGCTTCGAGCTAACGGGGGGAAGCCTGAGTGTCTCTCACCTTGGCTACCAAGGGCTGGGTCCTGTCTCCTTCCAGGCACTCGTTGAGGTACCGTGTTCAGATCTGGCTCGGGAACTTTCGGAGAATCAGCTCCAAACCCAAAAGTTACAAGCGACCCTTCAGGAGACTCTGGATAGGCGGGAAGAGGAGCGACGATCCCGTCAGCTTCTGGAACTTTACCTGCAGGCAATAAAAAAGGAGGATGAGGCTACATCCACAGCACAAGGTAATAAAGATCAGACTCCAAAATCCATTCAGCATAACAGAATTGGAAGGGGCCTTGGAGGTCTTCTAGTCCAACCCCCTGCTTAAGCAGGAAACCCTACACTATTTCAGACAAATGGTTATCCCACATCTTCTTAAAAACTTCCAGTGTTGGAGCATTCGCAACTTCTAGTGGCAAGTCGTTCCACTGGTTAATTGTTCTCACTGTCAGGAAATTTCTCCTTAGTTCTAAGGTGCTTCTCTCCTTGATGAGTTTCCACCCATTTGGAGAAGTACTGCCTAGTAACCAAGGAAGGATGGAGCAGACATGTTAATACTAACGTACTACCTCTCAGATCTATACCTCAGCAGCTCTACAAGTAGTCCTCCACTTACAACAGTTCATTTAGTGACTGGTCAAAATGACAACGGCACTGAGAAAAGTGATGCATGACCGTTTTTCACGATGGTTACAGCATCCCTGTGGCCACGTGATCAAAATTTGGGCCCTTTGCAACTGATTCGTATTTATGACGGTTGCAGTGTCCCAGGATCCCTTTTTGCGACCTTCTGACGTCAACAGGGAAGCCAGATTCACTTAACAACCGGGTGACTAACTTAAAAACTGCAGCGATTCACTTAAACGACGGTGGCAAGAAAGGTCGCGAAATGGGACGAAACTCACTTAACCAGTGTCTCACTTAGCCAACAACTTCATATATTATTGGGGGTGGAAAGAGATGCATTGATAAAAGGAAATGCATGAATGCATTTTGTGAAAACTGCAGCTAAATGCAGTGTAGTTTTAAGGGGCTTCGGCATTTTCTGTAGAATACTGTAATCTAATAAATAAATGGTAAACTTATTGTATACATCTGTCTTAGTTTTAATTGTAATTATACTTGAACTTACCTTTAATTTTTAATCATAGTTACCTATTTTAGTGCTTAATCTATAATTCCTGATCTAATTGACTATTGTTGTTTTAGAACAATATTTATTAGTATAGCTTTTTGAAATAAAGCTTACATAAAATTAAAAAATAAAAGAAACGTTGGGGCTCGATTATGGTCGTAAATCGAGGACTACCTATCTACCCTTCTCCTTTAAGTAGCAACCACGGAATTTTTCCCTTTTTTTTTTTTTAAACTTGGTGCCAGCACAATGCTTAGATGCGGTATGAGTTCCTTGACATTATTTTAATTTATGGAACCTTTTCAAGCAAGCCAGGATGAAAAGTCCGGTTGGTAAAAACGGGTTTTCTCTGTGAGCCAAAAGACGGAGGAGGATTGAAATGGAGCAAACCATTCTGTGCAAGTTCGAGCATGTTTCAAATTAGTGTTACCCATATTTATACCTTACAAAAACATTATGACCATGGGAGAAGCTCTTAAAGTGATTAATAATTGCTGGTTCGGCCAGCTATAGCCGGACAGTGACCATTTCTCACTCTGAGCCAAAGTGCCGTGTATCCCATTGATTGTAAGCTGCTTGGGAGATTATTTTGAGTGGACAAACAGCACACATGTTTTATTTATTTTATTTCTTTGATTTGTTTTGGTTGTTAGAAAATCTTGCAAAGCTTCTTCTCCGGTAACATTGTATTGCTAACTAGGGCATACAAAACCTTTGCCAGACCAATTCTTGAATACAGCTCATCTGCCAGGAATCCACACTGTATAAAGGACATTAATACAATCGAACGAGTCCAGAGGTATTTCACGAGAAGAGTCCTCCACTCCTCTGCGCACAGTAGAATCCCTTATGCCACCAGGCTTGAAATTTTGGCCTTGGACAACCTAGAACTATGCTGCCTTCGGTCTGACCTAAGCGTAGAACACAAAATTATCTGCTACAACGTCCTACCTGTCAACGACTACTTCAGTTTTTAACCACAATAATACACGGGCAAACAATCGATACAAACTCAAGGTAAACCGCTCCAAACTCGATTGCAGAAAATACGACTTCAGCAACAGAGTGGTCAACGCCGGGAATGCTCTACCCGACTCCGTTGTTACAGCCTCAAACCCTCACAGCTTCCACCTCAAACTGTCTACCGTGGACCTCACCCCATTCCTAAGAGGTCCGTAAAGGGGGCGTGCATAAGCGCACCAGCGTGCCTACCATCCCTGTCCTAGTGTTCCCATTTATCTGTACTTCCTTCTTTTGTTTTTATGTTTATATCTATTCCTGCTATCTTGTACAGGTCTGACAAATAAATAAAGAAATAGTTTCTTGAAAAAAGACACTACTGGTGGCAATAGTGAGAGAAAAGCCAAAAGGTTTCCAAGGGAATCTTGCTTCAAATGTCTCCACAGACTCTTCTCTTTGTGTCTAGCATCAGAAGCGGAGGAAAAATCCGAGGGAGGAAACGATACCGTGGACATGGGGAGCAGCCGACCAATTTCAGTCGAAAGGACTCGGTTGAATGTCCGCGTCGTTACTCTGCTGAAAGAAAAGCCTGCCCCAGAGCTCAGCCTGGCCAGTCAAGATTTAGAGGTGGGCAAATGCAGGCTGGTTTTTCCCTACCCATATTTTTGAGATAGAAAAAGAGCATTTCTAACAAAATCTCTTTTGTTTTCTGTCGCAGCTGGTTTGCAAAGAAGATTCAGAAGCTCTTTCTCAGGCCCTACGCTGGGACAAACGCAAGACCGAAGCCTTACAGGAGGCGTGCGGGCAGGAGCTTTCAAGACGAGGGCAACAATTTCACTCTCTAAATTCACTGAGGAGCATCTCCAAAGGAAAGAAAAAACTACCAGAGCCTGGGGAACGGTCGAGTTCTAAACGCAGGAAGTAAAAAGCCCTGGAAGTCGGGAATTTTTGATGGATGAATCGCCTTTTTGGGTTTCCTGAATGGTAAAATGTCATCTCTTTTCCAGCCAACCAACGAAATATAAAAGCAAAAGGCAACTGACTTTGTCGTATCACATTTCACCAAACTATTTATTTATAGGAAGTGCTAGTCCAAGACAAAAAGTATTTTACCTTTTTAACCTTCGAAGATTTATGGTGTAGATTGAAGTACAAAGCCAGTAATGGTGTTTTGAATAAGGCCCTTTCTTTGATGCTTAAAGGTAGGACTATGTAGCTGCCAAGATGCAGAATTTTAACAAAGGACCTGCTTTTAAATTATTGTTAATTTTATAGGGATTATATATATATAAAAGTATCTGGAGCATGTGGCTTTGAATATGAACAGCTGATAATGGATGTAGGGCTATGGGACACACTCTATTATGTTAATGATTAATTTTTTGGGGGGGGGAAACCCATTTATATTTAAGAAGTAAAGGCTTTGTATTATTGGCTACCATTTTGACTGCTGATTGAGCAATTAAACTTCAATATTACATAGGCTTGCCTTGGGATACGTATTCAAGGAGGACAGCCCTCCATAAAGGTAAAGGTAAAGGTTTCCCTCGCACATATGTGCTAGTCGTTCCCGACTCTAGAGGGCAGTGTTCATCTCTGTTTCAAAGCCGAAGAGCCAGCGCTGCCCGAAGACGTCTCCATGGTCATGTGGCTGGCATGACTCAATGCCAAAGGCGCAAGGAAGGCTGTTCCCTTCCCTATTTTTCCTACTTGCATTTTTTACCTGCTTTCGAACTGCTAGGTTGGCAGAAGCTGGGACGAGTCACGGGAGCTCACTCCATTATGGGGCAATAGGGATTCGAACCGCTGAACTGACGACCTTTCGATTGACAAGCTCAGCGTCTTAGCCACTGAGCCACTGCGTCCCTCACACACAGCCCTCCATAATAATTTGTAAAAGTAGCAGTAACTTGTAAAATAAAACTGACAGTCAAACAGTCGTGTTTTACACACACACACACACACACACACACACACACACACACAATTAAATCCAAATATATTTGTCTCTTAACTGAACCAACTGAAGCACTAAATAAGAAATTCATCTAAAACCACATGAGATATTTCACTCTCCACTGAAGGCAGCACAAAGGTTAGGTACATGTAGTAATATTTTATTTCAGCATGGAACAGTTGTATGGGGAAACAACTTGGCACTGGCAAACATAAAAAACAGGAAAGACGAGCTGGCACACACCATTCTTAGCTTGCCCGTAAGCCTCTTTGTGGAACTCTTAAAAGGTGTCTTACAATCTTTTTTGAGTTTGTGTTTTGTTTCAGAGGATGGCTATGCTGTACATATCGAGGGCACAGAAAACCCTCCATCATGACAATGGACATACTGGGTGTCCCCCCAGCCTTGACAGTTTTCTCGCAAGAGCATTTCAGATGCTCTAATGTTGAATTGGCATAAATGTTCAACTGAGGCTTCTGTTTTTGTTCCCTTGCCAACCCCTCTTAAGTGGCACGCAATGATTTTGTCAATACAAACATGGGAACTCTGCTTTTAGTGACACTTACCCAAAAAAAAAAAAAAATGCAGTCAAGAAGGGTTTGAAAGCTTTTTGGAGGCTTCGTACGTTTTAAGTTTAGAGCTCGGCTCCTGGCGTTTTCAATACGTTTGCTAAAAAAATATAGTCAAAATTGTGAATACAGTGTAGCTTTGCAGTTTAGCTTTGCACAAAAAGAGCCTTAAGCGTAAAATATTAGCTTTCTTCTCTTTTCTGTATTTTTTTTTTTTTTAAAGAAATCACTTTCTCAACTTTTGGGATAAGAATGTGCCTGAAATGTGATCGTCTAAGCCTGCATAAAAAACCAGGAGCCCGAGATGACCAGAATAAAATTATCTTTGAGCCACTGAAGCAGAAGGAAAAAAGGAGTGCCAGTTTACTGACAAGAGTTCTGAATTCTTTTTGTATACATCCTTCCTCAATCTTACAGTATTTGGTTATTCTTTTATTTCTGTCTATACTGTCTATTTGGGCTGCTAGTACCACTTAAAAGTAAAATTATGTCTTTCACAGAAGTCCTTAGAAGAAGGAAATGATTTCAATTTTTTTCCCCTTTGGGAAACGGCTTCGAGAGGAATTTTACAGGCATGGGATTCATACATTTTTTTTTTCTTGTTAAATTAAACAGAAGCCTGAGAGGAAGTTTACAAGCATGTTTTGCTGATGGATATCGTCAAACAGAAGAGCAAATGGGAAACGGTTCTCTTCGTATATTCTATGTACAACCAAAGATTAACAGAGAGTTGGAAGGGACCTTGCAGGTCATCTAGTCCAGCCCCCTGCCCAAGCAGGAGACCCTACATCTGCCTCTACCTAGGATTGAACTCACCACCTCCTGATTCTGAGGCAAGAGCTCCACCTCTAGGCCACAGCAGCTGTTCATATAAATGTTCAAAGTACATTTAAAACATGAGCAAAGTTGTGTTTTGCCACACAAGAGATGGGGGTGGGGAGAGGGCACCTGAGTGGGGGGTCAGATTGGAAGGGACCTTGTAGGTCATCTAGTCCAACCCCCCGCCCCCGCTCAAGCAGGAGACCCTACACCATTTCTGACAAATGGCAGTCCAATCTTTTCTTGAAAGCCTCCAGTGATGAAGCTCCCACAACTTCCGGAGGCAACTTCTGTTCCATGGGTTGATTGTTCTCACTGTCAGAAACTTTCTCCTTATTTCTAGGTTGAATCTCTCCTTGGTCAGTTTCCATCCATTATTCCTTCTTTGGCCTTGGAGTGCCTTGGAGAACAGCTTGAACTCCCTTCCTCCTCTCTGGGGCAGCCCCTCAAATATTGGAAGACTGCTATCATGTCTCCCCTGGTCCTTCTCTTCACTAGACCAGCCATGCCGAGTTCCTGCAACTGTTCTTTGTATGTTTCAGCCTCTAGTCCCCCTCTAATCATCCTGGTTTCTCTTCTCTGCACTTTTTCTAGACTCTCAATATCTTTTTTGTAGTGTGGTGACCAAAGCTGGATGCAATACTCTAGGTGTGGTCTTACTAAGGCTTTATAGAGTGGTATTAGTACCTCCCTTGATCTTGATTGTATCCCTCTGCTAATGCAATTTAGGATTGCATTGGCTTTTTAGCTGCCGCTGCACACTCTTCACTCATATTTAGCTGATTGTCCACTAAGACTCCAAGATCTCTCTCAAAGTCACTGGTATTACGGCTGGTTTCCCCCAGTTTATATGTCTGCTTTTGGTTTTTCTTACCTAAGTGTAGGACTTTACTTTCCTCTACACTGAATTTCATTTTGTTAGATAGGACCCAGCGTTCAAGTCTGTCAAGATCCATCTGGATCTTGAGCCTATCTTCTAGGGGGTTAGCTATTCCTGCCAGCTTAGTACCATCTGCAAATTTGGTGAGTTCCCCTTCTATTCCCTCATCTAAGTCATATATGAAGATATTGAAGAGTACTGGGCCTAAGACAGAACCTCATGGCGCCCCACTGCTGACTTCTCTCCATGTAGACTTAGACCAGGGGGTCTGCAACCTTAAACACTCAAAGAGCCATTTGGACCTGTTTCCCACAGAAAAGAAAACACCGGGAGCCACAAAACCCTTCCCGTGCCTGACTATTACTCAAGCGGCCACAAAACTAGCATATGAAGTTGAATTAAACATTCTCTTTTCTTCTGAAACTTTTCTTTTATTGGATTTATCCACAGTTGGCCTACCGGGGATTGAAAAGCTCAATAAATCGTGTGGTGGCAGGTGTCACACATTGGCGGTTGTGACGCATATTTTGAGTGAAGGGAACCGCAGCAGAGGGGTGAAAGAGCCACATGCGGCTCCAGAGCCGCAGGTTGCTGACCCCTGACTTAGACCCATTAAGGACTACTCGTTGAGTACGGTTTGTCAGCCAGTTGCGATCCAACAGCAATATAAACAAATATAAATATATAAACAAACAATATAAACAAAACCTTCGGCAGGCGCACTTCTAATACCAGTAGAAAGGAAAGTGAAATTGAATTAGAGAAGAGGGTTTTACTCCCAAAAGTCACCAATCGGATCCACTCGAGTCCATCCGGGCAGGGAACAATTGGTTAGCACGAGGAGAAGGTTTTCCAGAAGAAATTTTTACAGGATGCCTTTTCCCGAGTTGGAGGCTGAGGAGCAGGGGGTCTCTGTTCCCGCGGTCCGGCTCCAATCTTCCCTTGCCTTGACAGATGGGACGTATTCATGTGTGATGCCCGTTCGGTCAACCCCGAGAGGAGAACCAGCAACTCCTTCTTTTCTAGGTCTGCTGGTGCCTGGAAATACTTGCAAACGAAGCAAAAGCGAATTAAAAACATGGTTGTGGAAAGAAGTGAGGGGAAGCGAGGCTTTAACGTTTAAAGGCTGGGAGATTTAAGCTGCCTTGCCTTGGCAAGGAGATCCTGTTCAGTTTCATGCACAGATCCTTCCCTTATTCCTAAAGATCCTTTCAACCGGACATGGAAAGGCTCAAATATGCCCTGTAGGAGGTAAGGATGTTTCAAACTGACCTAGATGTAATGTCTGAACCTGCAAGCAAAGGACTTGCTCTCCTAGCAAATTGCTATTGAAAACGTGGAGAAATGTAAACCATGAGATTTTGAAGCTTATTCTTCTCACGTTCTGTCCTGTCTCTGTGGTTTCAAAGGATGCTCCTGTCACTGAATGACTATGCCTTGATCCAAAAGAACCACCACACATAGAAAGAAAGTAGCATGCCAAGGAAAAAGCTTCTACCAACTCTACATTGCTTTTTTGAGGTTTGATGGTTGGTCTTGTATTTTGAAGCAGAAATTAAGCAAGCAGAATTCCTTTTTGCTCTTTCCTTCGAACACAATTTCACTCTAGTCCAGTTTCATTTAAAAGCTCTCTTGTTAAAGCAACAGCTATCAGCCGTTAAATCTATCAGGCTGCCATGCTGCAGCTCATACAAGAATTTGGGAAGAAAAATAACCATTTTTTTAATGGTAGATTTTTATGGAGCGATCTTTGAATCTGTTTCGGGAGGAGCGTAATTCAAACATCCCGAGCTGAAAACTTTTAAAACAGCTTTTTAAATGTATCTTTCAGACAGCAATTATTTTGATGAAGGTGAAGATGTCGTGGGATCTTTTTAATGAGACGTATATAATGGAAATTCAAGGGAAAGCTTATCAATGCCTCAGAGCTGCTATTCAGCTTTTGTTTGTGACAGGCTGTTTCCTGATTCTTTGTACTATTTTCTCCCAATTTTTGCTTTGAAACAGGATCACCTTAGCATAAGTTATCTTATTCCCCCCCGCCCCCAAATGAGGGTTCTTTTCATTAAAATGTTTCCAAAGCAGGATCCCTATCAAAGTGTAAACACATTTTAGTCACATTCAGGGTACAAGAAAAAGCAAATCATTTAGCCAATGAAGTATCCCCCAAGCTAACCCAGTGAATTTCAATTCAAGCTTATTTTAAAATACTCCGGAATGAAACCTCCATGCTAACTCTATAGCTGATGAATATTCTGGCTATATTTTATCAGCAAAAGAACAAGATTTCTTCTGCCCTCGGCTTACCTTGTTCTGTTGCCTCAACAGCCCTTCTGGAACAGGAAGTGCAACCGTTCTGTCACCCCCCATGGGCCTGGGAAACAGGACCAGCCCCAGAAGGAACAGCCAGAGAAGTGGGGAGAACGCTTGCAACGCCATCTAGCTCAGATGGAGCCTGAACTTCACCTGCTTGCAAGTTATATGTTGTGCTTTTTAGACGTGGGGAGGGAGGTTTTCTGTTTTCCAATCTGCTAGGTTTTTATTAGAGGAGCCATTTGCCACCCCCACCTCACCCAACCATTCCTTTCTTTCCAAACTCGAGCAATGACGCATAAGCCGGGGCGCAATTAAGTCTCCAAATTGTGCATTTTGTACGCTTTAACCCTTAATTAGTGTCTCTGGGTGTCAATCCCTTTAAAGCACATTTGCCATCAATTTAAGCTGTATGTGCATTTTTATTTGCTAAAAAAAACCCCTCTCTCCATCCGACTAAACCTCATTTCCTCACCATTATTCCCACAATGATTAGGACGCTTTGGGTACAAAATAGTGTGATTTTAGCAAAGTAATGATTCACTGCGGCAAACTAAGCAGAGGGGAGCAAAGAAAGCCAACTCAAGAGAACCACAAGTCTTGAGATGGTTTTTTAATGAGAAGCAAAACCAAGTTTACTATTAATAATGACAATTTTTCCAAGCAAAAATAAAAATAAAAATCCCAAAGAGCAAAATGTTGGCCAAAATCAGGCAAGGTATATAGTACAGATGAAACATATTCAAAATTAGAATAAATCCGGGGAAAAGATTCAGAATAAAGGCAAAATTTGACTACTAGTTCCTTGCGATAGAGTGGGAATAACAAAGTTATTAGGTAGAAGCAAATGAGACAGTCTATAGTGGGGAAGGTATGTTACAGGTTGCTATAATATTAGAAGGCACAGAGAAAATCAATAGACTGTGTTTCTCATAATACTGGATTGCTGTATCACCCAATAAAATTGGTTGTCAGGAGATTTTGTAAACAACAAACTCGCGTTATCCCATATACAGTGTAGAATTGATTGATGACATTCACTGTCATAAGATGCAGAGGTTACTTAGATGCCTAGTTATGAGAGGACAAAACAAATTCATTCAGGATGGAAATGTTTATTAACTTTGTTCTGTTATTATTAATAAAATTCAGTTCAGTTCAAAGGGAAAATGCCATTCAGTGATGGGCAGGGATCACATATATCATTTTAAATGTATAACGTGGTTTGACCAATTTTGTGAAACCCTGATCTTCTTACGTGCGAAGAAAGCCAATTGTCTTATTCAATAGAATAGAATAGAATAGAACAGAATAGAATAGAATAGAATAAAGAATAAGAATTAGAATTCTTTATTGGCCAAGTATGATTGGACACAGAAGGAATTTGTGTTTGGTCCGTATGCTCTCAGTGTACATAAAAAGACAAGATACGTTCATCAAGAATCATAAGGTACAACACTTAATGATAGTCATAGAATAGAATCCAGTTTAAGAACTGTGCCTTAGTATGGTATGAAAAATCAAGTATTAGTGCTGAGGAACAAAATAACTGAGCTTTTCAACGCTGAACTAAATATTTAGGATGATCCAGGACAATTTGAATGTAAAAATATGTCTAAAGTATTTTCAAGAAGGGACAGGAACTATTCCTGTGCGAACGCAGGAAAGATCACAAGATACGTATTTTTTCCTTATTTTTCTCCAGTGCCTGTAGCTTTACTGCTTATAGATGATATTACGTGTCCAATTTCTAGCCGCCAACTTTTCTTCGTAGGAAAATTAGTACAGTGTAAAGCCCTGAAGATCTGCTCTTAAGATTTCCAAACATTTTGTCCAGTGAGAACTAAATGCGCCTTTTGCTCTTTATAAGGTATACAATCATCATTCTTCAGGTGGATCTTTCTCATCTTAAATAACTCACTCCCGGCAATCATCCAACTTCCCCATTCAGGTATATTTTTCTTTTCCCAATGTTTATTGCTTTTATTTTCCAAATACACTGTGCTTATTTAAATTTTTTAAAAAGTAGAATTGTAATCTAGGCAATATGACACTGAAGATCTGGGTCCATAATGAACATGAGAAATCCCCATCTTGACCTCAGCAAAAGTGAGTTTTACGCCATGTTGGAATCTTCATTCTCGATTGCCACAGGTTCTTCAAGCTCATTCGAATTTCTTCCTCCTTTCTTAGCAGCTGATTTCTTTTTTTTTCTCTCTTTTTGTTCCAGGTTATTCAAAGAAAGCTCATCACTCTTCTGAGTAATATACTTCAACTAGAAATATAGAGAATGTCATCAATCACCTATAGTGGCCTAGATTCACCAGGCAGCCAGTGAAACACATAGCAATGCACAAACACATCCAATGTACAGATAAACATGAAGATCTGTAGGCAGGTTGACATCCAGGTTTCTCAGTCTGGACCAATACAAAATGTAATAAAACAGCATCTATCTAGCAATCTAACTGCTCGTGGTAAATAGATAGCAAGCTGTGATTCAAGATAAAAATCCATTGGATATGTCAATTATTAAATCTCTGGCTACAAATGCGTGCCCCCGAAAAGTCAATGCTGTTTAATCGTTTCTCCCATCCAATCTAAGCAGTTATAACAGTTAACACTTATCAAATTCAAGAGAAAAAGGAATGTATTCATTCATTTCCTCCATTCATTTTTATCTACCAATGCATCTACTAGTTGATTTTAGTCAGATTTTTCATTTGTTTTATAGTAGGAAGGACGGTAGATCAGTCTGCACACAAATTTACTGTATAACTCTTTTCCCACCTTTAATTGTTTTAATTTGTTGCAGGATGATTGTAATGGTTATTATATAATGGTAGGAGACCTGTTCATAATGCGAAGACCCCAATTTGATCCCCAGCAATTAAAAAGGGCTAACTAGCAGATGACATGTCGGGCAAGGTGTAACATAATGAAACTACAACTCTGAACGTTCTCCATCATCAACCATGCTAGCTAAGAAAAAAGATGAGATTTCAACAATGCTTGAACTTCTGGCCTGAGTTGGTTTAAGACATTTTCCTAATTGTAAATATGCTTATATCCTCTCCAAACAAGATTGCTCAATTCATTTTTGACAAGAGAAAAACAGACCTACCAAGATTAGCAAATTACATATGTACTAAGTGTGAGCCAGGAGTGTTTATAGGAATTTGGTTCAATTTATGACTCCCATGTATAGCCCGATCTATACACTTCAAAGCAAAATAAATCTCATTTGTTTTTGCCAGTTTTACTGATAAATCTGTTGTTAGGATGACTGCATCTTGTTTCAATTTTCTTCTGTATAAAAAACAGCTTATTGGAGCCATTTGGCCCGTGACAACTCATACATTCTTTTTCTCCTTTTACATTACTCCTGTTTTATAGCATCTATAGCTTCTCTCCCATTTTCAATTTATTTGCTGTACAAATGAATGATGGGGTAAGTGCAAATGAGTTCTATCAGGATATAATGTGGCACTATATTCTCAACAAAATTTAGCTTTAAATACAATAGTCCAATCAAAGGGTGGTGGCTGAAATAGCAAGTCTATATAAAGAATGGTATCCTAATTTGCTCTCCATAAGCAAATTCCTCTAACTTTTATACTAAGAATTACTTTTCAAATTAATTTGCAAATAGATTGCTGTCTTATGGAAGAGGTAAAGAGAGGAAGATGAGGAAGAGGAAGGCTCAAATGTTATTTGATCCTTCACAGATTCCAGTACAGGTAGTCCTCAACTTACAGCCATTCATTTAGTGACAATGAACAAGTTACAACGGCACTGAAAATGGACTTATCACCATTTTTCACATTTGTGTGAAATGTGCAGCATCCTCATGGTCACGTGATCAAAATTTGGATGCTTGGCAATTGGCATGTATTTCTGACAGTTGCAGTGTCCTGGGGTCATGTGATCATCTTTTACAACCTTCTGACAAGCAACGTCGATGGGGAAGCCAGATTCATTTAACAACTCTGTTACTAACTTAATAACTGCAATGATTCACTTAACAACTTTGGCAAGAAAAGTGGTAAAATGGGATGATATTCATTTAAACCTGCCTTGATTAGTAACATAAATTTGGGGTTCGATTGTGGTCGTAAGTCAAGAACCACCTGAATATTTCTCTTCTTTGATATTCTACTGGCCCAAATTCTTTGTAAGAAAGAAATTCACCAACTATAAACAAGTGACTTTGGTACAATTGTAATCCTGGAGCATCGGAGTAGCTATTTTGCTCTTCCGTTCTATGTTCAATTAAATTGCTCTGCAGCTGTTGGTTCAAGGACGCACAACTCAGCTGAACGCTTCAGCCCCACCCACCCTGCCTTTCGAAAATAGCTAAATATCGCATGGCGAGGAGGAGGAGGAGGAGGAGAAGCGTGCCCTGCTGGGATTTAAAATTAGCAGAAACACTGGCTCTGTTCGTTTGAAGCTGAAGATCTACTTTAAATAAAAGAGACTGCATGTATCAGTAGCTGATAGGGCAGCTTATAGACAATGCATAATAAACATGCCAGAGAAATGCGAGAGAGGCCTTTGTGCTCATCAGCCAACTCGACAATCTGCAGCAAAAGGTATCAGCCTCCCACATTCATTCACAAACATAAACACCACTCATACCAGGTACTATCAAAGGCATCAAAGCAGGACTATTTGTAGTCCTTTATTTTGGGGCGGGGGTGTTATGAAAATTAGGGCTGTGTACTAGAAAACAAAAACTGGGACGCAAGAAATCACTGACTTTGCATTTGCATTACTAAGCAGGTGGAAAGTGAGAAGCAAGGCACCCATCTCTGGCAGGTACTGAAGTGCTAACTTTTCCACCTGGTTGACCCAAAAGTCAACGTTCTTCAAATAAAGTGAAGTCGGAGGGAAATTCCAGGATGAAAGCAGAATTTACCCTTGAAGTTGAATTGCCTGGCTAATAATAATAATAATAATAATAATAATAATAATAATAATAATAATAATAATAATAATAATTTTATTTCTATACCGCCCTTCTCCCGAAGGACTCAGGGCGGTGTACAGCCTATTTAAAAACACAGACAAAACAATGATATAAAATTTAAAATAATTAAATAAGTGGCTCAAATTTAAAACCCCAATAAATTTAAATACCCCAATTTAAAACTATTGTGTTGATAGTCCGGCCTGGCGGAACAACAGGGTCTTCAATGCGCAGCGAAACACCCGGAGGTCGGAGATCTTACGAATTTCCGGGGGCAGTTCATTCCACAGGGCTGGGGCTCCCACAGAGAAGGCCCTCCCCCTGGGCGTCGCCAGCCGACATAACTTGGCTGATGGCACCCTGAGGAGGCCCTCTCTGTGGGAACGAACTGGTCGGTGGGAGGCTATTGGTGGCAGAAGACGGTCTCGGAGGTACCCGGGTCCTATGCCATGGAGCGCTTTAAAGGTGGTAACCAACACCTTGAATCGCACCCGGAAGACCACCGGGAGCCAGTGCAGCTTGCGCAGGAGGGGTGTCACATGGGCATAACAGGTTGCGCCCATAACCACCCGCGCGGCCGCATTCTGGACCAGCTGGAGCCTCCGAGTGCTCTTCAAGGGGAGCCCCATGTAGAGAGCATTACAATAGTCCAACCGGGAGGTGACAAGGGCATGAGTGACCGTGCGCAAGGCGTCCCGGTCCAGAAAGGGCTGCAACTGGCAAATCAGGCGAACCTGATAAAAGGCCCCCCTGGCCACGGCCGTCATATGCTCTTCTAAAGACAGCCGTGCGTCCAGGAGGACACCCAGATTGCGAGCCCTCTCTGTGGGGGGCAAAGATTCACCCCCAATAGTCAGCGATGGCACCTGCTGACTATATCGGGGCGCCGATATTATGAATCAACTGGGAGGCCTTCTCCATTTATAAATTGCTATTGCAAAAGAGGGAACCTTGTGCTTTTCAGTAAGAATTAACATTACAGGATCAGGATCGTAATCTGAGTTTAAAGCAGGAGGTCAGAAAGTAAGCCATGGCTGTTTCTAAAGTCCAGGATGGCCATGAGTAAGACAAAAGAGGTTTTGCTTCTTAAAGCTACAGCGTCATAAAAGTAATGGGCACAGGAATATAACATTTCCAAACTACCCTTTGTAGTGTTCAGTGCACTGCAGGGAAAAGTACATTGTATGATGATAGCCCTTTAAGCCTGTAATGCAGTTTAAATTCTTGTATGTGTAAAGCTGCTGGCTTTTCCAATATGGTGGCTTTCAGCCAGATTCCCAACTGTTCTGATATCAAAAAACAGCCCCTAATATTTTGAGACCATCACACTCATTAATGCTGTTCTTGTCCTCCAAAGCAATGCTAGTAACTTCCAGAATTTGAGAAGCAATGTAGCAGTTCGATCAATCAAATCCATGATGCCAAGAAGTTCTTGTAGAGATATGTCCCCTAGGACGGTGGCCTCTGTGGGGTGTATATCCATGTATGATGGGTATGAAACAGGCAAAATGACAACTGCAGCATTGCAATTATCACAAAGAGCTAGAACTTTAATTACAATGCTGCAACCACCATCTTGCCTGTTTTCTCCCTTCTGTGGAGATGCCGCTGTCTAAAGATGCTGGGGAACAACTGTTTTTATGACACTTGTATTGGCCTATAGGTACTTCTACTCTACAGATAGTCCTCAACTTACAACAGTTCATTTAGTGACCATTCACAGCACTGAAAAAAGTTACTTATGATCATTTTTACACTACTGTCGGTTGCAGCATCCTCAGGATCAAAATTCCCTACGCTTGGCAAATGACTCGTATTTATGATGATTGCAGTGACCGGGGATAAGTGATCACCTTTTGTGAGCAAAGCAAAGTCAGTGGAGAAGCCAGATTCATTTAACAACTCTGTTACTAGCTTAACAACTGCAGCGATTCACTTAACAACTGTAGCAAGGAAGGTTGTAAAATGGGACTAAACTCACTTAACACCTGTCTCACTCAGCAACAGAAATGTTGGCCTCAGTTGTGGTAAATCGAAGACTACCTAGTCTTCAAATATACTGTTAGCCAGCCTCCGTAAACCAGCGTATCACCATTCAAGCAGCCTTCAGCATTTAGAAGAAACGTAACAGTAAACAAGGCTTTCCCAGTGAAACCCCAGACCCAAAAGGGAAGGGTCCCAATCTCACCAAGGAGTTGCTCCTTCGAGCCAAAAGTTTCACATCTTCAACATTAACTGTACTCCGTTTTCCGTGCCTATGAGGGGCAGGAGGAAGTGATCAGGTTAGAAGAAGGTTGCAGGAAAATTGTCTAATCTTAAAATTATTATTATTATTATTATTATTCATTAGATTTCTATACCGCCCTACTCCCGAAGGACTCAGGGCGGTGCACAGCCAAACAATAAAAACACATACAATACAAAATTTAAAAATAGAATAAAATCAAATTAAATAATTTTGGCCCCGACAAATTTAAAACCCCAAACTTTTAAAACCAATTTAAAATTGAATATATAAATACTAAAAAATATTTAAAATTTTAAAAATCTTTTATAAAAGAGGGGGAAAATTAGGCCAGGCCGGCCTGGTGAAATAGTAAGGTCTTTAAGGCGCGGCGGAAGGTGCGCAGATCCGGGATCCTCCGTATCTCTGGGGGGAGCTCGTTCCAGATAGTAGGTGCCCCCACAGAGAAGGCTCTCCCCCTGGGGGCCGCCAGTCGGCATTGTTTGGCTGACGGCACCCGGAGGAGCCCCTCTCTATGGGAGCGTACCGGCCGGTGGGAGGCTATTGGTGGTAGTAGGCGGTCCCGCAAGTACCCGGGTCCTAAGCCATGGAGCACTTTAAAGGTGGTAACCAAAACCTTGAAGCGCACCCGGAAGACCACCGGGAGCCAGTGCAGCTCGCGCAGGAGAGGTGTTACATGGGAACGCCATGTCGCTCCCATTACCACCCGCGCGGCCGCACTCTGCGCCAGTTGGAGCCTCCGGGTGCTCCTCAAGGGGAGCCCCATGTAGAGAGCGTTGCAATAGTCCAGGCGGGAGGTGACAAGGGCATGAGTGACCGTGCGTAAAGAGTCCCGATCCAGAAAGGGACGCAACTGGCGAATCAGGCGAACCTGATGAAAAATCCTCCCGGTCACGGCCGTCAAGTGCTCTTCTAAAGACAGCCGTGAGTCCAGGAGGACGCCCAAGTTGCGAGCCCTCTCCGTGGGGGCCAATGATTCGCCCCCAATAGTCAGTGATGGCGTCAACTGACTATATCGGGACGTCGGAAACCACAGCCACTCAGTCTTGGATGGGTTGAGCCTGAGCCTGTTCCTCCCCATCCAGATCCGTACGGCCTCCAGGCACCGGGACATCACTTCAAGGGCATCGTTGGGGTGATCCGGGGTGGAGATGTACAGCTGGGTGTCGTCAGCGTACTGATGGTACTCCACCCCGAAACCACGGATGATCTCGCCCAGCGGCTTCACATAAATGTTGAACAGGAGAGGCGAGAGGACCGACCCTTGCGGCACCCCACATATGAGGGGCCTCGGGGTCGACCTCTGTCCCCCTGTCAACACAGACTGCGACCGGTCAGAGAGAAAGGAGGAGAACCACCGCAACACAGTGCCTCCCACCCCCAACTCTTCCAACCGGTGCAGCATGATACCATGGTCGATGGTATCAAAAGCCGCTGAGAGATCTAACAGGACCAGGACAGAGGAGCACCCCCTGTCCCGAGCCCTCCAGAGATCATCAACCAACGCGACCAATGCCGTTTCCGTGCTGTACCCGGGCCTGAAGCCCGACTGGAACGGATCCAGATACGTCGTTTCATCCAGGTGCTGGGGGAGCTGTTGCGCGACCACACTCTCAACAACCTTCGCAACAAAGCGAAGATTGGAGACCGGACGATAATTTACCAACATTGCCGGGTCCAGGGAAGGCTTCTTGAGGAGAGGCCTCACCACCGCCTCTTTCAAGGCGGCGGGAAAGTCACCCTCACTCAGCGAAGCGTTTATAATCCCCTGGAGCCAGCCTCGTGTCACTTCCCGGGAAGCCAGTACTAACCAGGAAGGACACGGGTCCAATAAACAAGTGGTCGCGTTCAGTCTACCCAGAATCCTGTCCACGTCCTCAGGGGTCACAGGATCAAACTCATCCCAGATAACATTCTCAAGACCTGCCCCTGTCTCTCCCCCTGAGACTACCCAGTCGGAGTCCAAATCTTCCCGAATCTGAGTGATTTTGTCATACAGATACTGAACAAAATCCTCGGCTCTACCCTCCAAGGGGTCCTCCCGCGCTTCCTGGTGGAGCAGGGAGCGGGTCACCCTAAAGAGGGCGGCCGGGCGATTATCTGATGACGCAATAAGAGCAGCAAAATAACTACATTTCGCTGCTTTTATCGCCACTAAGTAATTCCTAATGTGGGATCTTACTAGTGTCCGGTCAGATTCAAGAAGACTGGCCCTCCAACTACTCTCTAGGCGTCTTTTCCGGCGCTTCAACTCCCTCAGCTCCTCGGTAAACCAAGGAGCCAATTGAGATCGGCGCCGGGTCAAATCTTTTATCAAAAAAGTTGCTTGAGTGTAAATCGTTCAAACTTTTTCTACAACTGCTAGGTACATAAACAAAATGAGCTTTTTTACACAGTGACAAGTAGATTATGTTTGAAATGCTGCTGGGATTTTAATTTGGCTAAAAGGCCCCTGATTTAGCCAGCCCTCCTAGACTTCTTTTCAAGACTAAATTGACCATTTATCCATCAGACTTCGAATGAGAAACAGCAGGGACATTTTGTTCCTTCTGTTTTGATGTTTATCTACGTAGAATGAAATGTTCCCTTGGCAACTGATACACTGTGGAGAAAGTTATCAAATTACTATTCTGTACTACAGCAATTTTCATTGATAATAGGAAACTTGACTGCGTTACTTTGTAATTCTGTAATTGTATTCTATATACAAGCAACGTTGTTTGAACCGAGGGAAGGGCAGGCCTTGAAATATTTCCTGTGCACTAGTACAATGTTTCATCTGATCTTCCCATGGTTCTTGAGACTCTAAAATAAAATTATGATAAATGGAAGTGAGGGGGTAGAGAAGGAGAGAATTATCTCAGCAAACTCTAGGGGGAAAAAATCCCCAAAGCTGGACGAAGATACCACTGGATATTAAAAACCAGATTCTTTGTGCGTCATTCAAGTCCCGCTTGATTTATATATTAACACACTTGCCCATTATATAAAGACATTGATTTAGAATTGTAATGTGCGAAATGAAAATTGACTTTCATTAACCCAGAAAAATGGACACAAAAGCAAAATGTAAGTGGAATGAGATGGGGGGGGGAGAGAGAGATGAAATTATGACTAGCTAAAAACAGATACTGCAAGGAGAGGTCTGATCTTGTGGCAGTCTCGTGTTTTTAGACAAAAAAAAAACACCAGATGTACATTTTTTCTATCAGTGGCAGATAGAAGAGAGCAAAAGAAAAAGCTACACAAATACAAGAGGAGGAATTGAGGAGGACAAGTCTCAACCTGGCAAAAAGATTAGATTACAACACCTCCCAATCCAAACACCATCCAGTTACTTCATTAAGCCTATGGAATATTTTACTGCAAAAATCTGTATACTTCTAATATAATACAAAAGCATACTCTCTGTCTGTTCATTAACTAGCACCCTTCTTAGTCCACCCTTTTTTTCAAGAGCTTGGCGCCAGATACACAAGTAATTTAACATAGTTATTAAATAAAATATGAATTAATGCAGTGAAATAGAGTCCCAGAATTAATTTTAGACCATCCTTGCTAAAAGCCAGCTGGCTGAAAGCAAGAGGCTAAGAATGTATGTGGATATGACACTCAACAGAAAACAAAAGAAAAATATTTTTCTAGTTGTCTTATCAGACAAAGATACATGCTGATTATTGTTAAGTATTACCTCTTTCCAGAGTACTTACTTGGCAAACATTTCAAGGTCCTTTGCAAAAAATTCTGAAAGGGGAAAATTAAAAGTATCTTAAAATGTTTTTACTTGAAAAGCAGAGCCAATTTCAACACAAAAAGTTATAGGTAAATCATCACTGTTTAATGTAACCTAGCTTCCAATATTATCATAAACAGATTTATTTGTAAACAGCCCCAGCTTGTTAGTTAGGTGGGGATGAAAACTACATTGGTTATAGAATAGCAGTTTTGTAAGCTAAGAAAATATCTAATAAAACATTCCAGAAAAATTAAAGGCAATGTATCAAGGATAACAGGATGAATGAAAGAAAAAGAAATATACCCATAAGAATAAATTTTCTGAGCTAAAATTCTGGATCTTATTAAACAAATACTTCAAAGTGCACAGGAGGAGGAGGAACATAGCACCAATCTAGAACTCCTTAAAACAGCTGCACCCTTTTGGATTTCAACATTTGCACTGCTATCTGTTCCAAAGCCTGTTTTAAGATCAAATCCACAATCTGGAAGGAGTATGTGACAAAATATACATGATGACATCACACAAATGTACATGATGACATCACACAAATGCCATGATTTGCCTCTTTGTGTCAGACATCTGGACACAAATACATACCAGTCAGTGGTGAAATCCAAATTTTCTTACTACCGGTTCTGTGGGAATGGCTTGGTGGGCGTGGTGTGGCTTGGTAGGGGAAGGATACTGCAAAATCTTCATTCCCTCCCTACTCCTGGGGGAAGGATATTGCAAAATCTCCATTCCCACTCTACTCTGGGGCCAGCCAGAGGGGTTATTTGCTGATTCTCTGAACTACTCAAAATTTCCACTACCGGTTCTCCGTACTCAAAATTTCCGCTATCAGTTCTCCAGAACCTGTCAGAACCTGCTGGATTTCATCCCTGATACCAGTAGTCATGTATGAATTGGAAGCTCCCTCTTTGCCACTGGTAAAGAAGTCTAGAGTACAATTGCTCTCTGGTTTTAACTGATTTTGCTGAGGGATCTGTGTATTTTCTCTAGTTTTATTAAAGTTATCTCCAAGTTTATTGCCAGTTTGTTTTTTAAAGAAATACTACAATATTGAAAAGATAAGGAAAAGTACCGCATTGTCTAAAGGTGATCTCGGAAATAGCTGCAATGGTCTGTCTGCTAAACTGAATGTTTTTATCTTCAGCAACTTCCTGGCACAGACAGGCAACAGTGTAATGAAAAGCCGCTTTCAACCTCTAGGAAAAACATAGTTAAGGAGGAAAAGTTACAAAATTATTTTATGCACTGTTGTGTGTAGATATTATACCAGGTCTTCAAACTAACTAAGTAAACTCAATACATAAGAAATAAATGAAGTACAATTATCAAAGCAGAGGTTTTTGGACTCTGAGAAATTTAAGAATTGGGGATACCCAGAGCGATCAGGAATTTTGGGATTTCATATCCCTTTCAACATGTTATAATGGCATCCATATCTAAATCTAAACCGGATTCACATTTTTTTCAGAAAAATCAGCATTTTTTACAAGTTTCTTAACTGGCCTTGTGTAAAATATTTGAAAACCACCTGTGTATGTTTACGTGTGTATGTGCATATATAATTCATATACATATGTATATATATATATAGGGCACGTGTTTATAGACACACACAGAGGGTATTTTTGGTAAATCCATAAAAAGTCAGGTCTTCCAGACAACTTAATATATCAGCGACATGGAATATTCAATATTTATATTATTTCTATTCTGCCTCTGACGCTTGACTGCCTCTGGTTTACAAGTAAAACAGTACTTTTAGTTATTTATTTAGTTATTTATTTAGTTATATTTAGTTTGTCAAGTATGTATGAGAAAACAAGTATGAACATAACATATAAACATATAAGTATAAACAGGTATAAGTACATACATATTAAATGAGTATGAATAAATGGGAACAGTAGGCACCTGTGTATGTTTACGTGTGTATGTGCATATACAATTCATATACCTATGTATATATAGGGCATGTGTGTATATACATATACACACACACACACAGAGGGTATTTTTATATATCCCTATATAAAATATATATTTTATATATATATATATAAATATATATTTGTATTATATATCCATAAAACGTCAGGCCTTCCAGACAATTTAATATATCAGTGACATTGAATATTCAATATTTATATTGTTTCTATTCTGCCTCTGACGCTTGACTGCCTCTGGTTTACAAGTAAAACAGCAATTTATTTTATTTTATATCTATCTATCTATCTATCTATCTATCTATCTATCTATCTATCTATCTAAAAATGTAAATGTTCATTTGTTCAAAATCTTAAATCTCCAAAAGTTCTTCACTGATTGCTTTGAAATTTTGACACAATGTTGCATTCGAATACGCGCGTTTTTATATACCTATATTATATAGATGTCACACCTGCTTTTTATATTATATTTAGTTTGTCAAGCATGTATGGGAAAACAAGTATAAGTATGAACATAACATATAAACATATAAGTATAAATAGGTATAAGTACATACATATTAAATGATTACGAATAAATGGGAACAGTAGGCACGCTGGGGCGCTTATGCACGCCCCCTATTTATTTCTTATTTTTTAAAATTATTTTATTTTCTTATTTTATTTTATTTATTGTTATTATGATATTTATTATCATTTTCTTCTAAATTTTTCTTTACTCCTTTGAGGCCCGGCCTTTGAAACATGCTTTAAAAAAGTATAGCTGCATTTTCTCTGAATGAAAAATAATAACATAGGGTGCCAGGCCAACAAAGCTGACTGTGTGTGTGTGTGTGTATTTATACAATAAAGTGTATGTTTAAATTTCTGTATAAAGTGAAAGGGGGGGAAATGTCACTCCAACCACTCTCATTCCCGATATTCCGTCCCCAAAAGCAGCGCTCTGTCCATGCTCAGAGGACATAACCCAAGTTTGCCAGCAAGCAGGATTACCTTCCCTCCTCCTCTTCCTGAGGAAACTCCCAAAAGACACATGCTCTCTGCACATGCTCAGAGACCCCTTCCACCACCACCGACAACAATGCTTCCTTTCCCCCGCCCCCCTCCTCCTCCTCCCCGGTCTCGTGGAATACTTCCAACAGCCCAAGAAACGGCGCTCTGCACGTGCTCAGAGGCACGTTGGCGGCCGCAGCGATGCTCATTTCCCCCACCTCATAACCGCCAAATTCCCTCACGGCCGCCCGTCGCATTAAACAATAAAGGAGAAGAAAGAGAAAACAGGCCGCAGGCGGAGGATTCAGAATTTTAGCCGTGCCCGCCCTCTGCATATGCTCAGGGGCGCCCTGTTTCCGGGCGTGGGAGGGGGGGAGGGGAAAGAGTGGTACCTGCGCCTCAGTTTCCATGGCGGCCAAAATGGCGGCCGCGTTTCCCGCCTTTTTTTTCTCCCCCCCCCCCCCGCCTCAGGCGTCGCTGCTGAGGGGCGGGGCCGCCAAGCGCAGTCTCCTCCCCCCCCAAGAAGGGAGGCCACGCCTCCCACCCGCTGCTTTCAAGCGTCGGATTACAAACCCCTGTGAGGGTGGATGGAGGATGATGATGGGGGCTAGTGCAGGGGTGGGCAAATATGGCCCCTTTATGACCTGTGGACTTCAACTCCCAGAATTCCTGAGCCAGCCAAGCTGGCTCAGGAATTCTGGGAGTTGAAGTCCACAGGTTGTAAAAGGGCCACAGTAGGCCACCCCTGGGCTAGTGGTAGTCCCGCTGTGGAAAGTGGGAGGGGAGGGAAAGGGGTGTCTGAGCTGGCCTGAAAACGACGTGAAATGGAAATAAACGTGTATATTTAATAACAGACTTGGAAGGGACCTTGGAGGTCCTCTAGTCCAACCCCCTGCTCAAGCAGGAAACCCTACACCACTTCAGACAGCCATTTTCTCAGAAATGGTGTAGGGTTTCCTGCCTGGGCAGGGGGTTGGACTAGAAGACCTCCAAGGTCCCTTCCAACTCTGTTATTCTATTCTATTCTATTCCATTCCATTCCATTCCATTTCCTTATTCTATTCTATTCCATTTCCTTATTCTGTTCTATTCTATTCTATTTCCTTATTCTATTCTATTCTATTCCATTCCATTCCTATTCTATTCTATTCTAATTTATTTCCAATTCTAATTATTCTATCTATTCTATTTCCTTATTCTATTCTATTCTATTCTATTCCATTCCATTTCCTTATTCTATTCTATTCTATTCTATTCTAATTTATCTCCAATTCTAATTATTTTATTCTATTCTATTCTATTCTATTTCCTTATTGTATTCTATTCTATTCTATTCCATTCCTATTCTATTCTATTCTATTCTACCCTATATATCATTTCAGACAAAAGGGTTGTCCAATCTCTTCCTAATAATATAATGTAGAATTGAATCAAAACCAAAAGGTAAATAAAGAGAAAATAAAAAAGGATGGGAGTGTAAATGAAATATTAAAATATGGATTCTAAAGGAAAGAATATGAAACGTATATTCTCTTTCACAATCTTTTCTTTATGTTTTCTTTTACTTTCTTTTTCTTTTTTTTTTTTATCCTTTTATGGGCACTTTATATTTTCTTGCATCCAAGAGGATGAAAGTGAAAATGTTAAGGGAAGGAAATTTAGGAAATTTTAAGAAAAATAGGAAAGGATGTAAAGTAAAAAAGGATTAAAAATGTAAATGAAACAAAATGTAAAGAATAAAAATGAAATAAAGTAAAATCCAAAGGATAGAAGTGTGTATATATGAATGCTAGAAGTAAACCATATAAAATAAAAATGATTACATTTGCTTTTGCTTATCATTTTTTAAAAAAAACTTTTTTCCCAAATTTGCTTTCAACGTAGTCTCTGCCGGTCTCCCTCTTAAATAAAGCCAAATAATTCCTTTTAATCGGGTCAACAGTCAAAAAGAAGACAGAAAAACTGAAGGCAGCTAAAGATGTAGACTCTGCCCTTTTGAGGGTTTGTTTTCAATTCATTATTTTTATTTTTGTTGGATGATGAACATGTTTATTTGAAGCATGTTACTTATTAAGAATAGTAGTAATTACTTTTAACATGGTTTTTTGTTTTCAAGAAACCTGATTCCTATTTTTTAAATTTTTTGCTTGGACGATCCCATCCAAGCAAAATATGGGTAGCAATACATGGTCCATCATCCTGGGCCACCTCTGGCAGTAAATGGGGAACTGTAGTCCAAGACATTCGAGATTACCAGGGCAATTTTGGGACTGAAGACCAGATAACAGGATCTGGTATGCTAATTGGTATGCTGATATGCTAATAAACAAGCCAGCCAAGGTTTGGAGGGGCTAACTACAAATCCCATCATCCCTGCCCCTTTGCCAAGCTTTAATTCTTGTTTCTGTACATCAAGACCTTCTTCCAAATTGCTACAATCTCAAGGGATTAAAAAAAGCGAAAATGAATTGGAAACAAGCATTTATTTCAGCAGAATTCCATTTTATTCCATCCATTTTATTTCTGGCTTTTGCCTAAGACACCATAAGAATGTCTTTACAAAAAAAATAATAATAATAGAAAATAAAAGCTAAAACTGGACATCTACAGAAATGCCCAAAGGTTTGGAGACTCCCTCTATGTAGCTTTCATGGGGTTTCTGTCCTCTAGGCGTTATAGGACGAAGATGAGACGGAGCCCCCGTGCCCCGTCCAGTTGGTGTGAACGAATTCGCCCGGTTTTGACAACAATTCGTAGGTGTGGGCCCCGAAATAATCCCGCTGAGCCTAAGAGACAGAAAATGCACAACATTTTGAGTTGACAACTTGAGACTTAGACCGTTCACGACGAAAGAACTAATACTGACCAAGATTGCATTCGCACAACCACTGTTGCAAGCCAAAATTGACCAGATGGTGGCTTCCAAGCAGGGATGAAATCTACTTACCTTTCCTACTGGTTCGGAAGTGCATGATCCATGCCTGCACGATTTGCACAGAGTGTAAAAAACAGGTTACTTCCTGGTTAAAACCAGGAAGTAATGATGTCTGGGCCAATGGGCGGAGCCTTGTGCTGCCGCCACTACTGGTTCTCCGAACCACCTGCCACGCCGCTACCAGTTCGCCCAACTGGTAGCATTTCACCCCTGCTTCCAAAAAGTTGGTTTCTATTCCCAGAATTCTTAGTTGGTTAAGCAATTCTGGGAATTGAAGTCCACGCCTCTGAAGGATGCTCTGTGGTTTATGGAGCTTTCCCAATGGGGTTCTAGATTTATTAACATCCCCCCCACTTTTTTTCCTTCTTTATATTTATATATATATATATTTATTTGATTTCTATACCGCCCTACTCCCGAAGGACTCAGGGCGGTGCACAGCCAAACAATAAAACACATACATACAAAATTTAAAAGTAGAATTAAAATCAAATTAAATAGTTTTGGTCCAGACAAATTAAAACCCCGAACTATTTAAAACCGATTTTAAAATTTGAATATATAAAATACTAAAAGATATTAAAAAATTAAAAATCTTTTATAAAAGAGGGAGAAAATTAGGCCAGGCCCGCCTGGTGAAATAATAAGGTCTTTAGAGCGCGGCGGAAGGTGCGCAGATCCGGGATCCTCCGTATCTCCGGGGGGAGCTCGTTCCAGATAGTAGGTGCCCCCACAGAGAAGGCTCTCCCCCTGGGGACCGCCAGTCGGCATTGTTTGGCTGACGGCACCCGGAGGAGTCATTGTTTGAGATAACAATTAGACCCACAAAGAAACACTGCAAACAAAGAAAATAAAGTCTTCCAAAATATAATTACCCTTCTACCCTGTTTCCCCTAAAATAAGACATCCCCTGATAATAAACCCCAATCAGGCTTTTGAGCGCCTGCCACTAAAATAAGCACTCCCTTGAAAATAAGCCCTCCCCAAAAATATTTAAATGCATGTGCAGTCAGTCCCTGCCATTTCCTCTGGTTTCCTCCATGCACCCCAAAATAATAAGACCTCCCTGAAAATAAAGCCAAAAAAAATATAAGACAGGGTCCTATTTTCGGGGAAACACGGTATTGAGAATCAGAGTTAAGATGGGATTCAACAAGCTGTGGATAGAAAAAAGAAATTAGGAATCGAAATGAGTTTAACATCAGACTCCATTCGTCAGTTACTCACTTGAATTAGGTTAGCGGGCAAAGTGCCATGTCTGTACCCATCATAAAACGCTAAGGCTGTGGTGAAACAGGGCATCGGGATTCCCATCTGGACCCCCGTGCTAATTGTACGTCGCCATGAGTCCTTGGGAAAAGACAAAAGTGCAGAAAAGTTAATTTTAAGTCGGACGGACTTCAAGTCCCAGGATTCCCAGCCAAAAAAGTCTTCATGAAGTTACCCACCTGACAATTCTCCACTGCCGTCTTGAAAAAGACATCTAGGAGTAAATTTTGCAGGTCGGGGGTTCGGTCAAAAGCTTCTTTGATTTTGCCCAGGAAAACGCTGCCCAGGAGATATATGAAAATAGCCATTTAAGAAATATTGAAATGAATTAAGGTGGAAGCCTCAGAAGGTTAAACCGATGAGATCCAAGTCTGTTAAGATTTTTGCCATCTTAATCTGGCCCTCTTCTATCTTTATCTATTTGGAAAATTTATACTGTCGCCTATTCACACGTGGCAACTCTTCGATTTTCTTTAACCGTTGTGGAATGTTGTCGGCCCCATTTTGACAATATTTCCAGAACGTTTGACCGGAATGGTTAGTCTGTGTTGTACGCAGAGCTTTTGCCACTGAATGTCCATCCTCCCATCGTTTTCCTGCTTCTGGCTTACCTCCTGATGATGCAGCCTCCACGCCACATCAATGCAATCGCGCCATAATTTAAGGTCCAGCCAAACTCCTTGGCGGCTTGCCTCAGTAACATGAATCCCTGGGCATAGGAAATGATCTTGGAAGCATAGAGGGCCTATAGGAAGGACACAAGTTAAGAGAATGGCATGCATGCACAATATTAACCATGATGTCTTTTAAACCATGATGATCCATAACCAAAATAAAGGACTTTGATTCTGACTAACCACAGTTTGCAAAGTAAGCCATCGATGAACACATCTTACTAAGAAATAATAAATTCACAAATTATGCCGAATACCTCCCCCGCTCCCAAACTAGCCATCTTATGATTCAGAGTGATGGCAAACCAAGATTTAGGAAGGACCTCAGCAAAGTTAGGTCTGGGGTATCTTCAGATCATAAAACAGTTTGTCCTATAAAATAAAACATTTTGCTGAGCCACAGACCAGACCATTTTCCTTCAATGATGCCCTTCAGATATTTAAGATTATAATCCTTACTTTAATCTACCACTAGATGGCAGCAGAAAACCGCAGAAAACTCTAATTACTGCCACCATGTGCTCCTCCAGAGTTCTGCAGCTGAGATAAAATATGCCTCTAATTTTCAACATATTATGGAATCAATGAATTATGGAGAGAGCCATATTGAGGGATGCTGGTCCGGTTTGTGTTCCAGCCCAAATCCCTCTTACCATCACATTCATAAAATACCAAAGCTCCAACAAGGGATCAGGCCCACTGACAGGAAAAGCTGTGAACTCACTTTACGAATGTCCTCCAGAAACTCTGCCTTATTCCCACTAAACGCCTTTGCTTTGGGACCACTTAAAAGTTTGCTGGCTTGCATCCTTTCGTCCTTGAGCGAAGACAAACACCGGGCAAAAACAGCTTCTCCTTTTTGAAAGGAAACACAAGAAAACCAAATTATTCCTGACCACTCCAAGTTAAAGACCAAAACTCCGTCGCGTGCACCACTGGCAATTTCAAACTGAACAGGGATGCATTTCAAAAAAGCAACTTAGTTTACTCTACTAAGGAAAGGCATTAAAAGAAATTGTAAACATAACCGAGCCGGATAATCAAATTACAAACAATAACACATGTGCTTTCTTGCTAAAACTTATTTCAGGTTCATTTGCAGCTATGTAGTCGCAGCAAAAGGGAAATAAAACCTAACTTAATCTTTGCTACCTGTGTTTCCCCAAAAATAAGACCCTGTCTTATATTTTTTTGAACCCCCAAATAAGCACTTGGCCTTATTTTCGGGGAGGTCTTATTATTTTGGGGCACGTGGAGCAAGACGGGGCTCCTCTTGCCGTCTTACCTGATTTCCAGCTCTGCGTTTAAGTATTTTCAGGGAGGGCTTATTTTCGGGGGGGAATTTTAGTTCATGCGCTCAAAAGCCCGATTGGGCTTAATTATCAGGGGATGTCTTATTTTCGGGGAAACCGGGTATAAATTTAGAAGACCCTGTTTCCCCTAAAATAAGACATCCCCTGATAATAAGCCCAATTGGGCTTTTGAACGCATGCACTAAAATAAGCCCCCCCTGAAAATAAGCCCTCCCCGAAAATATTTAAACACATGTGCAGCAGGTCCCCGCCATTTCCTTTTGTTTCCTCCACGCGCCCCAAAATAATAAGACCTCCTTGAAAATAAGGCCAAGCGCTTATTTCGGGGTTCAAAAAAATATAAGCCAGGGTCTTATTTTCGGGGAAACATGGTAATAATAGCCTCCAGTTAAAATATACACGCAAAAAGAGTGGTTTACAGCAGGGATCCCCAACCATGGGGCCACGGATTGGTACCGGTCCGTGGCCTGTTACGAACTGGGCTGCACAGCTGGAGGTGAGCGGCAGGGAGTGAAATATGGGATCTAGGTTATGCACTCCTCCTTCCCACCCAACCCCAAATTATCTCCCACGAAACCGGTACCAAACAGGTTCAGTACCACCAGTTTACACCACTGGTTCAACCACTTCATTTAAAAGCTAAGTCTTAAGGTTAAGCTCTGCTATTTTTTCAATTTTGTTAGCTTTTGTCAGCCTGTGATGGTTTACGATTCCCTCCCTCTCTGGTGCATCAACGTAAGGGGTCCATTCAGGATCCAATGCGTAAACATGTCCTTCCATCTCCCTAAATCAAAAGGTTTTTTTTAAAAAAAAAAATCCTGCAGATTTATGTTCTTCGCAGTCAGGCACATTAATTTCCTCCATGCCAGCAAAACCGCTCCTTTGCTGAGGAAGAATGAATCATCGTCTTTCAGGAACCTGCAAGTCATGCTGATAACAGGTAAAAAAAAAAACCCAGCAACAATAGAAATTCACTTGTTTGGCAGCCCAGCTTCTCTCCAAATTGCAGCCCTTTCTCAAGCAGACCAGAATTATTTTGGGTGTATTTTAATGAGGAGTGGAGAAAGAAACTAAACAAATCTCCCCCAAAAATTGGGCGTGTCCCCAAAAAGAAAAGAAGGATGCAGTGTTAATCAGAGGAAGGTTTAAAAAGTCTCATTTCCTTAACTGCAAAAGAGGTTTGCAAAATAGCAAATATGCAGAGCAAAGGTAAGCCACCTATAAGAGTAACGGGAACGCCGTATTCCAAAGCAGAAATCGCTGTCCATTTTCCCGTTCCTTTCTGTCCGGCGCTGTCCCTGATTTTAGGAAGCAAGTGTTTTCCATCCGTGTCACGGAATTTCAAGATGTCAGCTGTGATTTCAATCAGGAAGGAATCCAGTTCGGTCTTATTCCACTCCTGGAACACCTGGGAAAGGAAAGAGGGGGGGGGGGGTGGGAGGGGAAGTCAGTCCTGCATTTGCTGGGCCCAAGGAAATCTCCTTCCATCCTTCCAGTAAGTTTCTGGAAAGTTATCTTACCCAATTTAGAAGAGGTATCTAAGAGGTATCTATGATGTGGCCATGATCAATCAATTAATCTATTGTAGAAACATGGGGGCGGGTGGGGTGGGGTAGGGTGGACAAGATGACCTCCAAAGTCCCTTCCAACTCTATTATTCTGTGGACATGCTGGTCTATGATTATGTACAATATTTCCTTCTTTTTTTCCTGCCTTCCTTCTCCTTACCTCCCTTCTCCTCCTTTCCTTTCTTCCCTTCCCTTTTTCCTTTCCTTCCCTTCCTTTTTTCCTTCCCTTTCCTTACTTCCCTTCCCTTCCTTTCCTTCCCCCCCTTCCCTTTTTCCTTTCCTTTCCTTCCCTCCTCTTCCTTTCCTTTTCTTTCCCTTTCTTCCCTTTCATTCCCTTTCCTTCCCTTTTTCCTTTCCTTTCTTACTTCCCTTCCTTTCCTTTTCCTTTCTTTTCCTTCCCTCCTCTTCCTTTCCTTTCCTTTCCTTTCCTTTCCTTTCCTTTCCTTTCCTTTCCTTTCCTTTCCTTTCCTTTCCTTTCCTTCCCTCCTCTTCCTTCCTTTCCTTTCCTTTCCTTTCCTTTCTTCCTTCTCCCCCTATCTCTTGTTGCATGTTAGTTCAGGGTGGGTCTGGAAACAGACCTGAACTTTTGCAGCTCCTGGGCTTGTGTGGACTTGCGGTAGCATTAATGCTGCAAAATTAGAGCGGGATCTCGCGATAAACCTCTATGGAAGGTTACCAGGCCTTGCTGATAAAACTTGGCTTAAAGAGGCCGAAAGACAAACAGATCCCTTTTCGGAATTTGGAGGCTGTGTCTTTTGGGAGGGAGCTTGACTAAGGGGTTGGACTAGAAGACCTCCAAGGTCCCTTCCAACTCCGTTATTCTAAAACCTTCTATAAACCCTCTCCTTCCTTCCTTCCTTTCCTTTTCCCCTCCATTTATTCTTCTCTCCATTTATCTTTCCCTCTTTCCTTCCATTTAGCCCTCCGCTTCCAGGGAAGGAAGCAGAGAGAGAAGACGCTGTCTAGGGAATGGTCAGATAAGCGAGGCCGTAGCCCTCAGCTGCGTAATGGACAGAAAAAGAAATTCAGAGGTGCCCCCCTTAAGTTCTCAGCCTGTAAGATTTGTCCTTTTGGATTTGTTAATGCTGCCTTAGAATAAACCAAGTTAAGGAAAGATGGTTATAGAAATTTAATACCTTACGCTCAGTGGTGAAATCCAATTTTTTTTTCCTACCGGTTTTGTGGGCGTGGCTTGGTGGGCGTGGCAGGGGAAGGATACTGCAAAATCTCCATTCCCACCCCACTCCAGGGGAAAGATACTGCAAAATCCCCATTCCCTCCTCACTCCTGGGGGAAGGATATTGCAAAATCTCCATTCTCACCCCATTCTGGGGCCAGCCAGAGGTGGTATTTGCCCGTTCTCCGAACTACTCAAAATTTCCTCTACCGGTTCTCCAGAACCTGTCAGAACCTGCTGGATTTCACCCCTGCTTATCCTACATATAATTACGGCGAATATCATTTGCCCAAAATTGCAAACAACAACACGCTCCATCAAATACAACGATTATACAAAAGGTGCTAGAATGCACAGAAATGAATAAATTAACGATGGAATTGAGGGACAGAGAGGAAATAGTATATTATGAGACATGGGAATAGGTGGTATAACCGGCTGGAAAAGAAGTCTAAAATCAATGTATTCTGAATGTTAAGAGAAGATAATAGAAGGAAAAATATATATATTTAGAGTGTAGTAGTTATGTATATATTGTATATTTATTTATTTTATTATTTTATTTATTTATTATATTTCTATACCGCCTTTCTCCCGTAGGACTCAAGGCGGTGTACAGTCAAGAAAAATATAGACACACAAACATCATAAAATTGCTAATTCAAATTATTACTTAGTTTGGTCAATCAAATAAAACCCAGAATTAGATAACATTTAAAAAATCATTCACATGTTCGTATGTTTAGCCCTGCCTGTTGGAACATCAGGGTCTTGAGGGCACGGCGGAAAGCACGGAGATCAGGGATATTCCGTATCTCCGGGGGCAGTTCATTCCAAAGGGTTGGAGCCCCCACAGAGAAGGCCCTCCCCCTGGGAGTCGCCAGTCGACATAATTTGACTGACGGTACCCTGAGTAGTCCCTCCCTGTATATATATTAGATAAATAAATACTTAAGAAATAAGAATGTATATGTGCACAATAAGATGAAGGAGATGATGAATTTAAGAAAAAATTCCGATAACGGGAAGCTGTAAAAGTGTAACTGTGATTTTAAATGTGAAAAATGTTGAATAAAAATTATTTAAAAAAAGAAGAATAAACCAAGTTAGCCTGGTTGTGTTTCTCCTTCATCCTACTTGGAAGGCATAAACTACCCATCTTTCCATCAAGCGGCATCATTTCAGAATGGCCGCCCTCTCTCTCTCGAGTCATTTAGACCTTACAACAACCCCCTCCTTGCTCCGTTCCCAACTGCGTCTCTGACCCACCTTGGACATCTCGTCGTGGTCCATGGCCAGCACGTCTTTCATAAGGTGGTAAGCCTCGCAGATCAGCTGCATGTCACCGTACTCGATCCCGTTATGTACCATCTTCACGAAATGCCCGGCTCCTTCATCTCCCACCTGTTGGGCACAACGAAGAAGGAACCACGTCAGTAATTTTTTCATCGGGGTTCAGGACCTGCTCGTGAAGAAGATGCAAGTTGAAGAAATGAATCAACTCTGAGAGCAACAGTGCTCAAACTTGAATCTTTCCCCCATTTTTCAGCCGGTCTCTTCATCTTACATAAATGCAACCCAGCTGAACAGAAGTAGCAGTAGCAATAGCATTGTCAGGTTTCGATGTCATCTCAAATAAATTGCATTTCCAAACAAATAATCTTTGCTGAAATCTTCCATTTATTGAGAACAACAATCTGTTCCTGACTCTGTCGTAGCCGACACTAACCCTCTGATCCCAAACCCTTCCCTTTCCGTTCCCCAATTCTCAGCGTCTCATTGGCCATCTTCCAAGTCAGTCTCCCCATCTCCTGACTTCAACTCACAGGAATGTCCCCCCTCCCATCCCATCTCCTAGGGGATATTATCTACAGAGAAAATAAGTAGGTGAAAAGTCAAGCCTCGTCTTCTTCTCTTTATGGCAGCACTAGAATGCTGACAAGCATTTAGACTTACCGTATTTTTCAGAGTATAAGATGCACTTGTTTCCCCTCCTAAAAGAGGCTGAAAATTTAGGTGCGTCTTATACTCCGAATGCGGTGCCCAAAATGGCTACCCGGAACAGCTGCTGCCTTCTCTTACCCCTTCGCCTGCTTTAGTCACTGGGGCTCACTCCAACTATCAGCTGTGCTTTTGAAGCTGTTTTTCAGCCCCAAGCAGCGTGATAAAATGGGGCAAAACTCACTTAACTTGCCCCCACTTAGCAACAAAAATTGTGGGCTCAATGGTAGCCGTAAGTTGAGGACAACCTACATAAAATCTGAAGGGCTTCAGTAGAAAGACTCACCCAGTCACAACATGGTTCCCCAGTTCCTACTTTGGCTGCGATGCTCTGAAATATTGTCTTGATGTGAGGCCTGGAAAGGAAGAAAGCAGGGACAGGTGTTAGTAAAATGCACTCAACTACCTCCTCCTCCTCCTCCTTCTTCTCCTCCTCCTCCTCCTTTTCCTTCTCCTCCTCCTTCTTCCTCTTTCTCCTCCTCTTCTTCCTCCCTCTTCTCCTCCTCCTTTGTCTTCTTCTCCTTCTCCTCCTCCTCTCCTTCTCCTTCTCGTCTTCTGTTTCTCCTCCTCCTCTTCCTTCTTCTCCTCCTCCTCCTTCACCTTCTTCTTCTCCTCCTCTTCTTCCTCCTCCTCCTCCTTTTTCTTCTTCTCTTTCTTCTCCTCCTCCTCCTCTTCTGTTTCTCCTCCTCCACCTTCTCCTCCTCCTCCTCCTTCTTCTCCTCCTCCCTCTTCCTCCTCCTCCTTCTCCTTTTTCTTCTTCTCCTTCTTCTCCTCCATGTCTTCCTCCTCCTCCTTCTCCTTCTTGTGCCATATCCATCATCGGATGTTGGCAATCATGTTGGCGATCCTATTTTTGTCAACAGCCATGTGTAAAAAGTGCTGCTGAGTTTTGTCCAAACCAGTCCCTTAGGTTTTGAAACCATTATGTTTTTCTGCCTGGACCTCATTTGCCTTCAATCTTTCCTTGGAGGATTAAGTGAAGGATGCTGTATTTTTCCGGGTGTCGCATCACATGTCCGAAATATTCTAACTTTTCGCTTTTTTATAGTTTTGATGATTTCCTTTGGCTTTTCCAAGCGGCTTATCGCCTCCTCATTTCTGATTTTGTCGACCCAGCTTATACGTAACAGCCGCCTGTAAATCCACATTTCAAATGCTTCTAGTCTCTTCAAGTGGTTTTCTGTCAAAAATCCAGCTCTCCACTCTGTAGAGCAGGATAGAAAAGATGTAGCATCTGAGAAGCCTGATTTTCAGTCTTAGGCTTATGTCGTGACTGCAGAAGACTTTTTTCATTTCGAAGAATGCTGTTCGAGCTTTCTCTGTCCTTGTCTTTACTTCAGTGCTCATGTCCCATGCAAATTAGAACCAAGATACGTGGTCCTTTCAACTTTTTCTAATGTTATTCCTTCCGAAGTTATCGGTGGTAAATTAATGGGTTGTTTGCTGACGACCGTGATCTTGGGTTTTGAGGTGTTAAGCTTCAAGACATATTTTTCAGATATTTCTGTGACTCTGTTGATGAGGAACTGAAGCAGTGGTGAAATCCAAACGGCATTTCTGACGATCAGCTGTGCCGCATGATTTATATTCGCTAGAAAGCAGGAAATCCTGCTTTCTAGCGAATATAAATCGCGCGGCACAGCTGTTCCACCCCCTCGTTCTACTTACCTTGTTAAGCGTCCTTTTTCTGCATGCGCGGGCAGCGAACCGGTGGCAAATCGCGGAGGATTTCGCCACTGAACTGAAGGTCTTCATGCTTACTGGCAAGCAGAACTATGTCATCAGCATATTTTAACTCCTGCCAGCCTCTAATTCCTAGCAGCCTTAAGATAAAGGACGAGGGAATAGTTATGGCAACCGTCTGAAATACGTACCATGCTTCTTTCGCTCCCCCTGGCATAAGAGAGGGTCCGTATCGGGCTCCTTCTTCACCCCCACTTACTCCGCTCCCCACAAACAGGATGCCTTTTTCCTTGAGTTCCTTGCAACGTCTCTAAAACAGGGGGGGGAAAGGGGGGGCAGAGAAAATGAGAAAAAGAGGATTGCCAAGGAGAAACTAATTTTTCGAATTCAGAATGAAGCATTTATCTTTATAAATTATAAATGTCTATGGAGATTCTCAGTCCTCCAGGTCATAGTTGTCCCAAAGGTGTTTTTTTTTTCAAGAGGCAACTAGACTTTCTGGTTTTCCTTTGAAGACGTTTCGCTTCTCATCCAAGAAGCTCCTTCAGCTAAACATCTTCAAAGAAAAACCAGAAAGTCCAGATCTGAGGAAGCAGTTGCTTCTCTTTATAAACTTCCTTTCTGAACTGGGGAAGATGGCTGAGATCCTGCTCATCTCCCACGTCCGTGGAAGTTAGTTGGGCTTAAGGAAAAGGAACTTTTCTAAAAAAAAAGAAAAAAAGCAGCTGAAATGTTAAGCGTATCATGAATTCCCTGAGCTTGGCTTAGTGGAGGTGGGCTGGTCCAACAAGGCCTCAAAAGCTGTTCAACCAAAGACACCTTCTGTCAACTTCCAAAGCATCCCTGGCCTGCTCTCCACTTGCCATAGGCAAGGGGGATTGGGAAAACGGCGAAGCAGCATGGCAGCCAAAAACAAAAGCACATTCCAGACATATCTCTCTCAAGGCTGTCTCCCAGGGTTACCCACAGTGGGCAGGAAGAGAGTGATCTCTACAACCCACAAAATTGCTCCTGTTGGCGAATGTGACTGATGACAAACCCTGGGGGAAGGGGGGAAACAGGGTCAAGATTGGGTTGTAAATTACATGGGGTCAGAGTTGGCTTCATGCCGACATGAAGCTCCTAATAAATAAATGGATTTCTTTTGAAGCTTGGCTCAAGGCTCATGATTTAATTAGGGCATCTGTCGGAACCCTGACACCTTCTTTTGAAAGAGACAAAAGCAGATTCTAAACAATTCAATATTTTTCAAGTGAGACGAGCCCAGAACACAGGTTCATTTCTGAGAAGTCCCCCCCCCAAAAAATAATCCATGGAAGAAGAATTGGCTAGCAGAGACCTACCGTGGTATCTCTATATTCCGAATTTCCTCCATCAATAATGATATCCCCACGAGAAAGCAATGGCACCTGAAAACACAAGGAGGACATTTTTTGTGGATCAGCTAAAAAGACCAAGTCACGTGATCCCGTTTTTACGACTTTCTGACAAGCAAAGTCAACGGGGAGGTCAGATTCATTGAACAACTGTGTGACTAACTTAACAACCGCAGTGATTCGCTTAAGAACTGTGGCAGGTTGTAACATTGGGGGGGGGGAACCCGCTTAAAAAAAAATCTTGCTCAGCAACAGAAATTTTGGGCTCAACTGTGATCGTAAGTCGAGGACTATCTGTGAAATGGAGCAGCATTAGGAGAATAGGGAGAAACTGTAATACATGTAGGACGAGCCACAATTGTTGGTCCCAAGTGTCAACTCGCAAAACATCCCTGGCCTGCTCTCGAGTTGTCACAGGCAAGGGGGATGGGAAAACGGCGAAGCAGCACGGCAGCCAAAAACAAAAGCACACTCCAGACATATTTTTCTCAAGGCTGTCTCCCAGGGTTACTCACAGCGGCCGGAGGGGAGTGATCACTACAACCCACAAAATTGCTCCTGTTGGCGAATGTGACTGATGACACACCCTGGGGGGAGGAGGGAAACAGGGTCAAGTCTGGGCCGTAAATTACGTGGGGTCAGAATTGGCTTCACTTGGAACATGCCAACATGAAGCTCCTAATAAATAACTGGATTTCTTTTGAAGCTTGGCTCGAGGCTCATGATTTAATTAGGTCATCCGTCGGAAGCCTGACACCAAGGTGTCCACACAGCCTCTTTTGGCCACTCCTATTTATTTGCTAGGTATATCAAACCCAAGCCAGCATTACAAGGGGCAGCTGGCATCTTGGAGGGGTTTCCTTACCAACTTGTTGATGAAATCATCCACGGCGCTTCCGGCCTTGACCAGAAGCATGACACGACGGGGTTTTTTCAGTTTTGAGACCATTTCCTCTAAGGTGTGTGCTCCAATCACTTTGGTGCCCTTGGCCTCATTGGCAAGGAAATCATCCACCTTGGAAACTGTCCGGTTAAAAGCACATACCTGGGCAATGAAAGGAAGAAGAAGTTGAAGAAGAAACCAGAAACTTCAGAAATGCAATTATTTAAAAAGCCTGTTTTCCCTGCTTTCTTGTTGCAGACTAGGAAAATCTTTCCTGAATGATCAACTGCATTTTCCTATCTCCCCTTTCCCCTGGCAAAAAATTATTTATTGCTCATTTGCTGAATTATACTTATTTATGAGTTAAGTTACACAGAAACAAAATTATTACTTTTTGCATGATTTGTGCCCTCTGCTTCACAATCACACTGCAGACTCAGCTGCAGAACGTCTGATTGAGGAGAGAGCTCAAGGAAGTGAGTCAAGCTACATTTTACAGGTAAATATTCCAAGGCAAGAGAATGAGAGAAATATTCCTTTTTAAAGGATTTCCTCTTTGTTTTTCTTAAATGGCATCCTTATTATAAAGCCAATAGGAAAATGATTATTGATTTTCACGGCTTATATTCTTTAAGGTGGCCATAACAATGCTATCAGGTGCCTAAAACCAAGACTGAAAAGCTATAGTTGACATAGAAGAAAAAGATGTTAATAAAAGAATTAATAACCTATGGTGGAATTTATCACCACAAAGTTATTGAAGCCACATCTCACAGACATCTGATCTGAGGAATGTCCACAGGGATGGGCTTCAAAAATTTTAGCAAGGGGTTCTCTGCCCGGTTGCTGGGTGGGCGTGGCCATGGTGGGTGTGGCCCAGTTGGCCTCCTGCACCATGGCTGGTGGGGGGGCGTTTTTCCCCTCCCCAGACTCCGGAGGCTTTCCTCAAGCCTCCGGGAGGGTAAAAACGTCCTCCCCAGGCTCCGGAGGCACTTCCCGAACTTCCGGTAGGCCCTTTTTTCGCCCTCCCTGAGCCTCTGCACACACCCTGCATTTACCTGCATCCAAAACGGGTCACGTGGGGACTCCTGGGACGGGTGGGCAGGGCCAGCCAGGAGTGGGATTTGGGGGTTCTCCGAGCTGCACAGAATCTTAGCTAGAAGTTCTCCCGAATCCTTGCAAACCCCCAGCAGCCCACCCCTGAATGTCCAGCTTCTGCCTCTCGCAAATCATTTTGCACCGAATCTTTGCAACTCAAGGTTTACTCACCACAAAACCATGATCATTCATATTGAGGATGAGATTCTGACCCATGACCGCCAGGCCAATCAGCGCAATATCTGCTCTGTAAAAAAAGAAGCGAGGAAAAATTATGTTTAGATGGCAAATTTGGTTCCAAAAAAAAAGAGATTTCATCCCCTCTGTGCCGGGCAGCCTGTGAAATGTCCTTAGGTTACCCAAGCAAGTAAGCCCAGCTACAAAGAAAACAAAAGTAGCAGCACTGGGATCAGTAGCAAATTATTCGTAAATTATCTTTCTGCAAGGTGCCCAGTTTGATGACTTTTTTTTTTTTTTTGAGTAGTTACCATAAAATTATATGCGAAGGGAAAGATAATTTAATCAAGAATGTCATGCTTTTCAACCTTTCTTTGAGAGATAAAAGTGGCTTTTTTTTTCGTGGAATTCTAGATTTCAGGCCAAATTCCTGCAGTCTGCGCCGAACAGTCCTCGCACTCAACTTCACATTGCATTGTGCCATTTCATCTTGTATGCACCCAGGTGATTTTCTTCCGTCACGTAGGCACAGCCTCTTAATTCTTCTGTCATCGCTTGCTGTCGTGCACCTTTTCCTGCCTTTACCGGTGAGGTTTTCTAGTGACTGAGTCTCCTTATACCTCTTCAAAAACTTAGAAATGCCGCCTTTGGTTAAGTTTCCACCCATTTTTCTTCTAATCTCTTCATAACTGCAGCCTTGTTCACTTAATAATACTATTTTGCTTCGCTTGGTGGGCGACCAGTCAGCTCTTTGCGCCATTAATTTTATGACGGTTTAACAAGCTCACGAAATGAAAGAATGCAAAAAAAAAACAAACCCCACAACCAACTTGATGGCGATGACATAACACACTGACCGAATGTCCTGCTCTGAGCTTCAATACATGACATCAATAAATGAATCCTACTGTGATCTGATTGGCTCATTGCCAAAACAAGATGGCACCTGATTGGCTCTCTAAACACTTGTGCTCATTGGCTGCAACCAGATGATGGAGAGCTACCTGATATCAACCTAAGCAAGCTGTGCTTCCTTTTTCTGGTTATTCGGCTGTAACTTTTCACAGAATACAGATAACTGAACATGCTTTGTTGCATGACATTCTTGATTAAATTCTCTTTCCATTGATGTATAATTGTAAGGTACTGCTCCAAATAAAAGTGGTGTTATTAGCCATCAAACCTCAGAAAGACACTTTTCGCAAAAGGTTTCCACAATTTTGGCCACCGCTGTATATGAATATTACATTTATATATTATATTATAAGCATTGCTTCTCACCTTAGGCTTCCCACAGCAATCTAAACATCACCCTAAACCATAGATCATGGTTTGCAAGCCACAAGGGGGGGGCAAAAAACACACTACCCTGTTTCACCCCCAAAATAAGACATCCCCTGATAATAAGCCCAATCGGGCTTTTGAGCGCATGGCAATAAGGCCAAGCGCTTATTTCGGGGTTCAAAAAAATCTAAGACAGGGTCTTATTTCCGGGGAAACACGGTAGGCCCATGATGGCAAACCTATGGCACGCGTGCCTAAAGTGGCACACGGAGCCATAACACCTGGCATGCACGGCGCTGACTGTTCCTCGTGCATGCATATGTGACAATCAGCTGGCTTTTGTGCTTGCGGCAGTGCCGGAAACCGGAAGAGCTGTTTTGTGAGCATGCACTCTGGCCAGCTGATCGGTGCACGCATGGCAGTAACTGGATGACTTGCCAGCCAGCACGCATGCATGCACGCGCCGGAAACCAGGAGTAAATTTTTCAGCATGCACGTGCCCCCTGGGCAACTCCTCTTCCTAATCGCGGCCCAGACTCCCTTTTCAGCATTTGGTGCCCTGCGCGTGAGCTCCAGAGGTGGTATTCAGCAGGTTCTGACCAGTTCTGGAGAACTGGTAGCGGAAATTGTGAGTAGTTCGGAGAGCCGGTAAATACCACCTCTGAGTGGCCCCGCCCCCATCTATTCTCTGCCTCCCAAGTCCCAGCTGATTGGGAGGAAATGGGGATTTTGAAGTAACCTTCCCCTGCCATGCTTGCCACGCCACACCACACTCACCAAGCCACGCCCACAGAACCGGTAGTAAAAAAAATTGAATCCCACCACTGGCGAGATCCCTTTCGGCACTTGGTGCCGAAACTGTTCGCCATCACTGCACTAGGCCAAACCAACTGAGTTTCATCAGAGATTGGAGTGCACACACACGCACACAAGTGAGAATACTCATAAGAAGCAGTTAAAGCTCAGGAAGGTTGCAAGTTGGATTTGCTAAATGCTCATATCCCCAGAAGGCAGAGTTGGGTTGCAACAGCCTCTTGCCTCAAAGAAGAATCAGGAAGGAAATAGGATTTCTTAATCCAGCCTATTTTTCTCTCTCTCTTCAGCCCTGGCACTCAGCTTGAAGTCAAAATCAGTGGTGGGGTAAAGGTAAAGGTTCCCCTCGCATATATGTGCTAGTTGTTCCCGACTCTAGGGGGCGGTGCTGATTTCCGTTTCTAAGCCAAAGAGCCAGCGCTGTCCGAAGACGCCTCCGTGGTCATGTGGCCGGCATGACTCAACGCCAAAGGCGCACGGAACGCTGTGACCTTCCCACCAAAGGTGGTGCCTATTTTTCTACTTGCATTTTTTACCTGCTTTCGAACTGCTAGGTTGGCAGAAGCTGGGACAAGTCACGGGAGCTCACTCCGTTACGCAGCACTAGGGACTCGAACTGCTGAACTGCCAACCTTTCAATCGACAAACTCAGCGTTTTAGTCACTGAGCCACCGCATCCCTTACACTGGTCCCTACACCGTGTCCTACACAGTGGTGTAGCCCTCCAGAATTAAACCAAGTCAGCTGCAGAGATCAAGGAAGTGATGGGGAAAAAAATTGCAGGCAGAAATTCTTTACTTCCCAGAAGCGAAGGAGATTATTTGCAGGGTGTAAACTATCGTCTGAGCTCAGAAAAATCAAGAAATTATGATTCTTTTTGTGTGTGAGGGAACTTTCCTGTGCCTATCCTAGCTTCTCTGCTTGGTGTTTTTTTCTCTCCCTCTCAAGGAAAACTTAAACCAGAGGCCTTGAGTGGATCGGTTGAAAAATTGACTTGGGTTTTCTCTGGGATCTGGAGGAGATCAATGTCTTTCTGTGCTTGATCTGCAAACTGGCAAAAACCACCCATTCCAGGGAGCAGCCATTACAATGCCTTGTGGCAATGAGTTCCACAGGTTCATTATTTTCTGTGAAAAAAGGAACTGTTTGAAATCATACTCTTGAAATCATGTTCTTAAATAAGGAAAAAGTTAAGATTCTACTTTGATCCTTGCTTTTTACATACAATGATCACTGGCCTGCCAGGATCCCCTAATTCTACAGGTCACTTGAGTTTCCACTAAAATAACTTCCTTTTCAGTTCCTCTCTGTTCTTGCCAATCCTGGCCACCTTTTTTTTCTCTCAGGTTAACTAGGTTTGCTGAGCAGGCCATGACTTAACACCCACATCACCAACCTATCCAAACCATGGTTGATGATCTATCCTGGCTGAAGCCCCCACATGTCCCAAGCCCAGCCAAACCAGAGTTTATCTTTCGCATCTGAACCAAACCAAGATTTAGCCATCATGGCAATCTTAGGGTGTGTGTGTGTGTGTGGGGGGAATTGGCCTGAGGTAAATTTATTAATTTGACAGCTTCTGCCTCACTTTTTTTTTTTTTTTTACATGGAACGATACATTTGAAGTGTGGCTTTGTCAGCCAATAGAAAACTGTCAGGGGGGGGGAAAAAACAGGAAGAGCCAATAAAAGGAGCCCCAAATTGAACCACCTATCAGGTGAGAGCGGAGGTGGAGGGGGGAAAGGGTATATAAGGGGGACCCCCGTTGGGACCAGGCTCAGAGCGTCGGGGAAATAGCTGCGGGTGAGGAAGAGAAAAGAAGAAGAGAAAAAAACGAGACAGAAGAGTGAAGAAGCGAGGAAGAAAGAAGGGGGAACGAAGCGCGCTGAGGGAAAAGTCACCGCTCCTCCCCAGAAGTCTGGGGCAAAGTAGCCCGCCTAAAGGGGAGAGCGAAGCGGCTGGAGTCACTGCCCACCTCAGAGGTCTGAGGCGAAGACGGCACCTGCTCCAGCAGGCGGTGCCAAAAAAAAAAAAAAAGGACGCCCCAATTTGGCGCTCTCCCTCAGTCTCCTCAGGCCGCTGGTAGCCCGGGGGGTGCCGCATCCCTCCCTCGTCTCCATCGGCCCGGCTGAGCCCGGCTTCCAGACCCAATAAGACGCTCCAATACCCGCATCCTGTCTCGTTCTTTTCGGGGTGGGACAGCCAAGTCTGTGGGGACGGATTCCTTTCTCGTCCGACCGCGGGGCCTGAGGGAACTTTGAGGGGAGGGGGGCAATATTCGGCGTTTGTTTCGCTCGGTTCTTTTCGCCTCACGAGCGCCTGCGAGGGTCCAATGAGCCTCGGGGTGGGTGGGTAGGGGTCTCTGGGCATGTGCTGAGCGCCGCCCCGCCTTCTTTCCTCTCCCCCCTCCCTTTGGTACCCGGCTCGGTGCGTAAAGGCGTGCGAAGCGAAGGGGGCCGGGGGGGGGAGTGGCGTTTCTGCGCATGTTTGGGGGGAGGGGGGGGGGCCCTCCTCCCCCCGCCCCCCCCCCCCCCCCACCGAAGACCTCCGAAGCGGACGCGACTTACTCGGCCATGGCGACGGCAGGCAGGCGAGCGAGCGAGCGGAGGAGGGGAAAAAAAGGCTGCTCTTCGCAGGCGAGGCTTCCCTCGGTCTGATCCGGCCCACCGCTTCGGGGCGCCTTGCCCTTTAAAGGCGGAGCATGCCGGCCTCCCTCCTTCTCTTGACCACCCCACGGGGGGGGGGAAGTGGGCTGGGCGTGGCGAAGAGGAGGAAAAGGAGGGCCTGGGATCGGCTCACCTTCGGCCCCATCCCTCGTCGGTGCCGCCTCCCCTGTCGGGCAGCAATGAATGAATGAATGAATGAATGAAGGTGGACCCGGAAAAAGGGCTCGGGGTTTGCAACGCGCGTCACGTTTTCTTGGCGTTACGCGGGAGATCGGGAGCGCTTTTCGCCGGGGACTAGAAATGGGTTGCTCGTATTGGGGGTGGGAGGAGTAGTTTCACCTGTCTGTAATAGTATCTTTCTCTCTGCTTATTCATCCACCGCCCACCCATCTCTAAGCACCCGTTTCACCTAACATCCATCCACCCAGTGGTGAAATTCAATTTTTTTTTTACTACCGGTTCTGTGGGCGTGGCAGGGGAAGGATACTGCAGAATCCCCATTCCCACCCCACTCCAGGGGAAAGAATACTGCAAAATCCCCATTCCCACCCCACTCCAGGGGAAAGGATACTGCAAAACCCCCATTCCCACCCACTCCAGGGGAAAGGATACTGCAAAATCCCCATTCCCTTCACACTCCAGGGGAAAGGATACTGCAAAATCCCCATTCCCACCCCACTCAGGGGAAAGGATACTGCAAAATCCCCATTCCCACCCCACTCCAGGGGAAAGGATACTGCAAAATCCCCATTCCCTCCCCACTCCAGGGGAAAGGATACTGCAAAATCCCCATTCCCACCCCACCCCAGGGCCAGCCAGAGGTGGTATTTGCCAGTTCTCCAAACTACTCAAAATTTCCGCTGCTGGTTTGTCAGAACCTGCTGGATTTCACCCCTGCATCCATCCATCTTCACCATGTGGAAGGTGGGGAACAGGAGAGGAGACTTAAAAAGAGATGAAGAAACTTCTTGGATGAGAAGGGAAAGGTCTTCAAAGAAAAACAGGGAAGTCCGGTGACCTCTTGAAAAAAAAGCACCTTTGGGGACAACCATCACCTGGATGACTGAGAATCCCCATAGACTTAATAGTGATTTTTCTTGATATTCTGGCTGCCATGAGTCTCCTCCCCACTTTAGGTCCACGGGGACCCTCAATTCATTCCCATTGAAAAAGGAGAAATCCACCAACTTCTAAAGTCTCGGTTTTTTCAGCCCAAATTCAGGGTAGCACAATCCTCATACCAACAATATTGCCTGTGTGTTTGTTTTCCTCCTGCCCTGCTCCATTTTTCTTTGTGTCTTCTAGGGGCTCCATAGGGTTAACAGTAACAGTTGAAAGGGACCTTGGAGGTCATCTAATCCAAACCCCCAACACCTTTACTAGGGATTTGAATCACAGTCCTTTCTGATCGACAAGTTCAGTGTCTTAGCCACTGAGCCACCTAGTCAGGCTAGTTGAATCAACTGGAATCCAACTGAGAAACCTCCTACAAGGATCTTATTCAAAAGGTAGCCCAAAAATCCCCCATGCCTTTGTAAATAAACAAGACAATATAAAACAAGCACACACCTTGCTCATACGCTAGTTGTATCTTTATTGTTTTCCACCTTGCTTACTAACATTTCAGTGGTGCAGTTACCATACACAAGAGTTAGATTAAGAGTATCTGCATTGCACACCTAAAGGCTATACAGCAAAATGGTTCCAAATTAGTACAAATACATGAAGTCTATTTACAGTTTGTATACCCAAGCTCCAAACATCAGTTATATTTACAAAATAAAACATGGGTTTGCCGGGGATGGGGAGGGGACGGAGGGAGGTTGGGACAAAAGGGAGTCAAAAATTAATCGTAACGTCAAAACGCGTTTTGAATGGATTCCTTCCAACCGGGATGAGATCGGTTCCAAATGAATAAAATTTGAGAATTGGGTCCAAAAGGCCACTTCAGTTGGGCAGCAAAGAAAGGGGAGGGGGGGGTATGTGGGTGGGTGGAGTGGCAGGTCCTTGTTAAAAAAAAAACAACAAAATATATCTGCAAATGTACAAAGTGAGTGGATCCTAACAAGAGGAAAACTGCAAAGCACAAAGGATTTGGGTCAGGAGTGTCCAATCTTGGCTACTTTAAGACCGGTGGACTTCAACTCCCAGAATTCCCCAGCCAGCCATGGCTGGCTGGGGAATTCTGGGAGTTGAAGTCCTCCAGTCTTAAAAGTGGCCGTCGTTGGACTCCCCGGATTTAGGTAATCAATAAATAAGGAAATGGGCTGGGTGTTGCAAGCAGGTTGGGAGTTCCACCGATGCTGCTCCAGGAAGCAGAGAAGAATCTCTTGTTATTCTGCAAAGCTTCAAAATCCGGCCTTCACTTCGGCCGGTCGTCTTCAGCTGTGCCTGGATGGATTTGAACCCCACACCGAAGTGGCCATCGGAGCCAAAAATAAAAGTTCCCTCCCTGTCCCCTCTCCCCAGGGCTAGTGAGGAAGCACAGCATGAAATACATTCCTGACACACTTTTTTTTTTTTAAAAAAAAGCATAAGGCGCTAGCCACCAACGAGGCAGGAAGGAATGGTAGTGGGTAACTTTGTTTTCCCCGGACGAACTAACTGAGGTCCTGTTTCGGATACATTCAAGGAACCTTTAAGCAGCAAAGTTAAGTTTTTTTTTTTTTTTTAAATATTCCCCTGTTATTTAAAGCAGCATGTTAGAAATAAAAAAAACAAATGACGAGAACGGAATGTGAAATTTATCTTGTACCGTGTGATGCCTGGGCAGACACAGGATTAATTCATGGCGGATCATACAAGAGGGGGAGGAGAACAATGAAGGTTGAGGTTTATGTACAAGGAAAGCCAGCACAAATACACATGCGTTTACAAACAAAAAAAAACTAATTAAATTCCTATAGTGCATCAAGTTAACAAAGCGGAAGGAAGGAAAACGTCTTTGCTTGGAAAACACCATCAGGACTTCGCTTGGTTTCCTTTTCTAATTTAATGTCATTTAATAACAAAAGGGGCACCGGGCAGAAGAATTGAGGTATGCTGTTTGCAAAGAGAGAGAGATATATAAGGATGAATCAACTGACTCCGATTGAACGAAAGGAATAGATGATTCTGTAATCACCATCAGGGTAACAGCCTCGGCTTCAGCTTCCATCATTTCCTTAGCTGGGAACTCTGCAAAGATGTCAACGGTCCTTCCTTGGAGCCGCGGGGCCTGCGCAGAGGGTTGGCTGGCCCGTGGCAGCGGCGGCCTGCAGCTCCAGAGACCGGCCCAAAGAGCTGGCTGGCTCTAGGCCGTGTCGACTGGTTAAAGCTTTCTACATCCAGCTTCTGCTGAAATTCAGGTGATTTCTTTTTAAAGCGAAGCACAGAGGCGGAATTTCTTTTTCTGCTTTGCAAAAAAAAAAAAAAAAGCAGGGCTGGGTAATTTTTTAGGATGTGTAAGGAGTGGGGGGGGGGGGGAGAAATCATCTTAATTCCCCCGAGATCATTTTAAATCATCCGCCGGACAACCAAATCCGGAGCATCTAAAATAAGCAGCGGAAGAAGGCTTAAGATTTAAGACTGAACCTCTTGCGTAAAGATTAGCCCAAGGTGAGAAGTGGTGCCCCTTGTGTAATCTGTCAGCTACGTTGTTCCCTTCTGACCCTTTAAGGCTCCTATATATAATTCTTCTCCTGTTACGTGTGGTGTGGTTTTTCCAGAGCAAATTTTCCGACAGCTTTGTTCCAAGCTCAACAAACAAAACAATTATAGTAGTGTAAGACACCCTATTGCCAGAACATTCCATTTTTTCCAGCATCAGACAGATTCCCTCCACCATTTTTATAGCCCAAAGCTGGAGTGTCTTTTATTGTGCACCAAAAACAATAAAATTAAATTAACTCGTCATTAAAATCACTGCAAAATGCCCCCCCCCCAAAAAAACACTGGCTCTGCAGCCTTGTAGTATGGGTGTTGTGTATAGTGTCATCAAAAGGCTGAAAATCCCACTGTTAAGACTCTTTTTTTAGTGCAATAAACCCAAAACCATCAAAGCAAATACATAACTATGTCCCATTTCAGAATCCAAGCTCCTTTTACAGGTTCCCTTCGCTCTATGCTAGGGGCCGTCCGACTTTGGCAACTCGGAAGACCCTGTGGACTTCAACTCCCAGAATTCCCCCAGCCGGGGGAATTCTGGGAGTTGAAGTCCACAGGGTCTTCTGAGTGGCTAAGATTGGACGCCCTTGCTCTGCGCGGAAGTGGCACAGAAAATGCTCAGAAAATCTCCCCGACTCTACGTCACGGCAAACTCTGTGGACTACCACGGCAGAATTAAAAGAGGGTTTCCACCCACCCCACCCCAAATGAAAAAGCCCCCTCCCCTGGAGGCTCTAACCAAGGGGGTCTCACAAAGGCATTGATCTGAAGATTGGGTGGGTGGGGGGTAAGCTACACCCCGGGCTAACCCCAATGGGATGAATGCAAAGAATTAAACTGTGTGCATGGTTTTTTTGTAAGGGAAAAATCAGATTTTTGCCTTTCTCCGGACAGACCGGGGATTACCAAGGCTCCTTCTGGGCCCTTCTCTGCCCAAATTGAGCCGAGATGCTCAAAACCGAAAGGAGACACACACACACACACACACACACACCTTCGATTGGAGGATGGAGAAAGCCTGTTTGGAAAGCCAATGAGGTCACGTTTTTCCCACTCCGGCTTGCAGGCAAAAGCCGGGAAGGAGCACATCCACTTCCACCATGGAAATAATGCCCTGATAAGCTAAATCGAGAAAGGGGAAGGCTGGCTGGATTTCTTGATATAGGAAGTGAGCATTCAGACATGCTGCAGTTTGAATATGAATTTCTTGGGAGGTTCTGCCAAAGGAGGTATAGGGCTGTCTAAGAACCCCTAAAAGGGAGAGACGCTTCCTGCAGGAGACAATCGGTGGTTGTGGAGTGTCGGTTAGGCCGCCTTTTCACCACCCTGTTTTCAACTACTTTCCTGACTCAGGAATACCCGAGCAATGCTCTTGGTGGTACAGAGAGAGAGAGAGAGAGAGAGAGGAAGAGAGAGGGAGGGAGGGAGGAAAGGAGCTGAGCTTTAAAGCAGGAATGTTTTTAAAATAAATATAAATGATCCTTCGACCGTGGGAAAGGCAGGGAGAAAGCGGTGCTGCCCCTCAGCCCCAATGCTGGTTAAATCGCCCCTTTCACCGGACAGACCCATGGGTGGGCTGCTGGGGGTTCACAGGGGTTCGGGAGAACCTCTAGCTAAGATTCTCTGCAGTTCGGAGAACCCCCCAAATCCCACTCCTGGCTGGCCCTGCTCGCCCCCGCCTCTCCCAGGAGTCCCCCCGCGGCCTGTTTTGGATGCAGGTAAGTGCAGGGCATGCACAGAGGCTCAGGGAGGGCGAAAAACGGGCCTACCGGAAGGCCGCCAGAGGGCCTCCGGAGCCTGGGGAGGCCGTTTTCGCCTTTCTGGAGGCTCGAGGAAAGCCTCTGGAGCCCGGGAAGGGTGAAAACCCCCCCCCCCCCCCCGCCGTGGTGCAGGAGGCCGACTAGGCCACACCCATCATGGCCATGCCCACCCAGCAACCGGGGAGAGAACCCCTTGTTAAACTTTTTGAAGCCCACCCCTGGCTAGACCCCATTTCAAACACCGTTCCGCTTTCCTCCGGTTGATTCTGCCGATGCAAAAAACAGGGCGCTACATTAAGCCCACCCTCTGCCTACTATTCCATTGTGCCGGTTCAAATCCTTCAGAGACAGAGGCAAGATTCCCAACTTTCCACACGGTGCTCGGGGCAGGGGATCAAGGGCAGGCAGATCCCTCAGCCAGTGTCCCCCCCACTCCTTCCTGAAGGTCTGAAACTTCCTCATCTGAATCTGCCCCAAAGAGAAAGTTGCAGGCAGCCATCACTGGCCAAGCTGCAAGGAATGAACTGTTAACCAGGCTACGCCGGCGGTTGAAAACCGAGCCTGGATTATGTATGTCCACCCTCCTGGTGATAACCGATTCCTAAACCAGAGATCCAAAATAATAGATCCAAAAGTAAATAAATAAATACAACATCCGAAGTAAAGGCAACATACACTGGGAAGGGAACGCCCCCCACAAAGGAAGGGCAGGAGTCTTTCCTGGTGAAACACAATCTGGTTATTTCCAAGCCATCAAAGTTAAGACGAAAAATCAAATCCTTGACATCCAGACAGAGACAAACACACCGTAGAGAGCAGGAGAGGCGACGTCACTTGGGGGTTAGGAACCAAGGGCCCACATGGGAGAGGGGAGGGGGGAGTTTTCTTTTCTTTTTTTTAAACAAAAAAAAAAGTCGTGCATATATAAATATGAACCCCCCCTTTCAGTCCCGTTTTCCTCCCCGCTCAACCCACATATTTTTCCCTCCCTCCCGTCATTTCGTCTTCAATTTGGCCACATGCGATTACTAGTGTTTTCAACACTTGAAAAGGGGAAAAAAATCATTAGAGTAGTATTTTTCTTTTTAAAAAAGGGGTGGGGGGTGGGGAAGGAAAGAGAGAAGAGAGAAAGGAAAGAATGTGGGGAAAGTGCTGGAAGTGAGCCAAGTTAAGCCACAGGGGTTGAGGGGGAGGTGTTAAATACAAGGGAAGGGAGCGACTCAAATATCACTAGAGAAAATGAGAGGGGAGGTTTTATCTTATAGCCAAAGATGGATTTGGGAGAAAATAAAAATTGCAATGAGAATTCCCGAGGGACCTCAGTACTTCAGTTGTCCGGAGAGTCTTCGGGCGAGTTTGGACCTGCAGAGGAGGAAGAAGAGGACAGGAAGTGAAGGAACCGCACCCGGCACCGAGGTGGAACACACAACTCAACCACACAGACTGCGTCTCTCCTAACCGGGCAGGACTCTAAAGTTTATCCTCTTCCTCAAAAAACCGCCTCAAGGCTTTTCAACTCCGCCCATTGCTGAGAAGGTTACAATTCAGGCTGGGAGAGAAATACAGCCTGCAAAAGGGGATTTGGGAGATGCCAGACTCCTGGAGTCGTGTTTCTAGAAGTGGGAGAATCGGAATCGATCTTTTATCACGGCCGCAAGACTGGCGCAAAAGTTAAAAATTTAAAGTAAATGTCTAAGTTATTGGAAAATAACTTAAGCAAAGTAGCAATAGGAATAAGGATCTTTAGTTCTTTAGGTGTTTTTTTTCCCCCCTCTTATTGTCATTTTGCTACTGAAACAAACGGTGACTGGATTTGAATCCTGAAGGAGATGGTTCATGTAGAAATTATCTGATTTCTCTAATAGAGGGAGAATACTGTATTTTTTGGGCTATAAGACGCACTTTTTTGTCTCCCGAAATGGGAGGAAAATGTCTGTGCGTCTTATATACCGAATATTGCTGAAGCCCTGCCCACCCGCCGGTCATTTTTTTTGGCCTCCGCACACCCCATTTTCAGGCGTTTCAGGCCTTTTTTCGGCCCGTTTTAGAGGCTTTTTTTGGGCCAAAAAAAGCCTTCAAAATAGGCCAAAAAAAGCCTCCAAACCGGGCCAAAAAAGGCTGAAAAATTGGGCTGAAAAAAGCCCCCAAGAGAGGCCGAAAAAAGCCTCGAAAACGGGCTGAAAAAAGCCCCCAAAACAGGCCGAAAAAGACTGGAAAGGGGCCAAAAAAAAGGGTTGGAAAAAGCCTCAAAAACAGGCTCAAAAAAGCCCCCAAAACAGGTCGAAAAAAGCCGCAAAAACAGGCCGAAAAAAGGCTGGAAAGGGGCCGAAAAAAAGGCCCGAAAACAGGGCGCGTGGAGGCCAAAAACTTTTTTTTGCTATTTTCTTCTTCTAAATTTATGGAACACCTTATAGTCCGAAAAATACGGTATATATGGATCTGAGGTCCCTGCAGAACATGCAGCACAACAGGACAAGTGAGATATCTTTCGGTTTCCCATTGCCACACTGTCACTGAGTGCAGCTGTTTTAAATGCGTGTGGCTGGGCTGACAGGCCTGAGTTAAAACTTGCTTGTCTCCCAGGCTCCTCATCTCTGCTCTCCCATCATCCGCTAGCAGTGAGGCGGCTTTTTAACTTCCTCTTTGCTGATGAACATCCCTTTTTTCCCCCCCCTTTCTAACCGATTCCCTCCCTTCTCACCCGTTTTGCAACACTTCCTCTGGAAGGAAACACACCCACCTGTTTTTCCTGGCAGACCTGAAATTTCCACCAGCCCCTCCCCGTGACTCCCCAGGCCCTTTTCCCCTACGAAGTGGTCGATGCATGCTGTTCCCATTTCAGCAGGGGTGAAATGCTACCGGTTTGGACCGGTTCGGCTAAAACAGTAGCGATGGTGGTGGTGGTTCGGAGAACCGGTAGCAATGGCAGCGCGAGGCTCCGCCCACCCTCCCGGTCATCGTTACTTCCTGGTTTTAACCAGGAAGTAACCTGTTTTTTTACCCTCTGTGCATGGACAGGAGGATTTGCACATGTGCAGAGGATCCAAGCGCACGCGAGTGCGTGCATTTCCAAACCGGTAAGGAAGGTAAGTAGATTTCACCCCTGCATTTCAGGGTTTTAACCTGGTTTATGATGGCCTGTGTGCTCACTCTGCTAGTGTCTGCAGAGCACAAAGGACTCATTTCAACCCTGAGCTACAAATATTCTATTCTATTCTATTCTATTCTATTCTATTCTATTCTATTCTATTCTATTCTATTCTATTCTATTCTATTCTATTCTATTCTATTCTATTTTTCCTTCCTTCCTTCCTTCCTTCCTTCCTTCCTTCCTTCCTTCCTTCCTTCCTTCCTTCCTTTCTCTTTTCCTTCCTTCCTCCCTCCTTGGTACTAGCACTGATGATGTTGATGTAAATGAAGCGGGCTCTGATAGATGACCACTGGATAACTTTCTATTCACTCTATTCTAAAAAGCAATGCATCCGGTTGGAAAAAGTACAAACTCAGCCAAAATCCTTTTGGTTCCTCTAGGAGGCCTCTAAGTTGTCAGAAGAAAGGAACATTCTAATGACATACAGCTTAAAGGTTGGTTAGGTCAAGGGGATCCACATGAGTTAAAAGTTGTCTATCGTCAGAAGATGATTTGAGTCTATGCTTCAGTAATCTACAAAAAGAATTATAACTGTTTTGCAAAGAAACTCAGTAATTAGGAAATGTCAATTAAAAATGACAAATGTATATGACCATATGAATTGCTGAGTTAACAGAATCCTTTGTCTAGAAGGGTATAAAACCATTGTACCTAATTTCTGTCTTTGTTCAACGCCTCATGTACAGAGCTTTGAACCTATTGCGCAATATACAAATTGTCTCTGATTAATCCAAAAGTTGTGTTTGTCTTATTAAATCCACAACAATGTTACCTAGTTAGGGTCATAAAATGTCTGCAAGAAAACAAGCCAGCTCAGAGAGCACCAAGGACAGTAGTGGGTTTCTACCGGTTCGCCCCGCTCACTCTGCTAGTATCCTCAGGCCATGACGCCCCAGGCCCGCTCCAACAGCAGCCCCGACGTGTCCCTCTTACCGTATCGTGCCAGCAAGAAGGGGGTTGAAGGCGTACAACCAGTCGCTCATGTCTTTGTCGTTGAGGGCTTGGAGGAGGACGCCGCGGTGTCTGGTACAGACGGCAAAGGTGTTTGGTGTCTAAAATGCAAAAATAAAACATGCCCGGCGTTTTAAGCGTTTTTCTCCCTCTCCTTCCACGATTTTCAAATCTCCATGATTCTGTAAAATGGATGTTTGTTAAGCAATATCGGCTTTACAGAATCGTGAAGGTTTGAAAATTCTTGGCCAGGTTTGTCACTGCGTTATTTTATTTACTAGCTGAGCTTCATATTTCTGGACTATCTGACTTTCCGTACCTTGTCAAGAATTGTTATCAAAAGTTACTACGCATGTCTGCATTCTTTCACTTGCTTCACACACTCTTTCCTTTGTTCTCATGCCACGGGGGTGTCGACTGCTGGAAAGCAGCCGGCCCGAATTACTTTCAAAATGTAGCAATTAACTTTTCTTAGTTAGTGAGGTGTTTTATTTTCTTTATAACAAATAAATGAGTTTTATTAGAGAACTTTTCTTCGCGTTTCTTTTCAGAATATTCCAACAAGGAGGAGCCACGATCCATCCTCTAAACCAGGGTGATTTTTCCCAGAGCCAAACATGGGATTAATCGATGCCCTGACATTGTTTTCAGAAGACCCGTCGTCCCTTCCTCCCCAAGGGAATCCTTCTTGATCTGTATAGGGTTCGAAGGCCATCTTACCACCGCGGTGGGATTTGGCACCAAGTAGGGGATCATTGAAAGATGAGCCAGCGGTGTGTGGCGGGAGCCAAAAAAAACTAATACAATCCTGGGTTGCATCAGCAGAGGCACAGAATCAAAATCACGTGGAAAATTAGTATTGTTTTTATAAAGCTTTAGTAAGGCCACGCCTGCAATACAGCATCCAGTGTTCGTCACCACGTTACAAAAATGGTGTTGAGACTTTGGAAAAATGTGTAAAGAGCAATTAAGATGACTAAAGGTCTGGAGACTAAAACCTAGGAAGAACGGTTGCAGGGATTGGGTATAGACAATTTTATTCCACCAGGCGTGCCTGGCCTAATCTTTTCCCTCTTTTTAATTATGTTATTTTAAATTGGTTTTTTAAATGATTGAGGTTTTAATACGTTTGGGCCAAATTTGTTTAATTCGATTTTACTTTGTTTTTAAATTTTGTATCTATGTATTTTTACTGTTTGGCTGTTCACCGCCCTGAGTCCTTCGGGAGTAGGGCAGTATATAAATTAATTAAATAATAAATAAATAAAATAAAATAAAATAAAATAATAAAATAAAATAAAATAAAATAAAATAAAATAAAAATAAAATAAAATAAATAAAATAAAATAAAATAAAATAATAAAATAAAATAAAATAATAAAATAAAATAAAATAAAATAAAATAAATAGCCAGTCTAGTGAAAAGAAGGACTGGGGGGGACATGATAGTAACATTCCAATATTGGAGGGACTTAGGAAATGACTATTACCTAACTTGTTGGGTTGGCAATATATAAACCCTCCATGTCGCTTTAAGACTGCTGTATTGCATCATACTGTGTCGATTGGTTAGCTCTGTAGCCAATCTCCTTAAGAGGGAGCTAGACACATGGTTTGTTCTTTTTGCTGTTCTTGCTCTCTGATATCTCTGTATGCTACTGTTTGCAAATCCAGAAGAACAGTTTATTGTGAATGACTATGACGACTGGTAAGAAGACTTTGTTATTGGATTATCCCTGGACTGTCATTTTGGCTTTCTCCTGCTTTATATGTGTATGACCTGGACTGTTTATTGGACTGTGCCTTACTATTTTTCCTGAAAGTAAACTATAACACAACTCAGTGTATCTGTGTAGTGGCTGTGCTTATTCATAACTACTCTCAACCGTTTTCATGTGCATACCCTTGCTACTCAAGGGTTATTCCTTAACAGAGGGGCTGCCCCGAAGAAGAGGGGGATTCAACCTATTTTACAAAGCCCCAGAAGGCAGGACAAGAAACAATGGATGGAAACTAATCAGGGAGAGAAGCAACCTGGAATGAAGGAGAAACTTCCTAACGGTGAGGACAATCAACCACTGGAACAGAAGTTGCCTCCAGAAGTTGTGGGTGCTTCATCATTGCAGGTTTTTAAGAAAAGACTGGAGAGCCAGCTGTCTGAAAGGATATAGAGTCTCCTGATTGAGCAGGGGGTTGGACTAGAAGACCTCCAAGGTCCTCTTCCAGCTCTTATTTTAATTTCCTCCCTCTACTTTCTGCACCCAGGACAAGAGTGATCTCTTTGCAACTTCCCAGGGATTAAAGAGCCTGCTCCGAGTTTCTGGAGATGCCACTGACCTTCACCATGGCCTGCTGATCCTCGCTGTACTCCACCTGAGCCGTGGAGAGGTTGATGATCCCCCTTTCCACTGGGTCCTTGTCGCTATTATAGATGAAGACGTACGGGCGGCGCACCACCACAAAATGTTTGGCCCACGAAGGGGAGAGGGGCTCCTTGAAGTGAAGGTAGCCTTTCTTGGAGACCACGGACCTGGAAGCGGAGCCCAGCACATAACAGACCGTCAGGGCAGGGAGGAGGGGTGGGCTTCAAAAATTTTATCAAGGGGTTCTCTGCCCCATTGCTGGGTGGGCGTGGCCTAGTCAGCCTCCTCCACCATGGTGGGGTGTGGGGTGGGGAGCGTTTTTGCCCTCCCCGGGCTCCGGAGGCTTTTCTCGAGCCTCCGGGAAGGCAAAAATGGCCTCCCAGGCTCCTGAGGCCCTCTGGAGGCCGGAAACAGGCCCGTTTCTCGCCTTCCCAAATTTCCAGTAGGCCCATTTTCCACCCTCCCTGAGTCTCCGCATGCACCCTGCACTTACCTGCATTCAAAACGGGCCGTGTGGGGACTCCTGGGAGGAGAGGGGTGGGCGGGGCCAGCCAGGAATGGGATTTGGGGGTTCTCCAAACTGCACAGAATTTTAGCTAGAGGTTCTCCCGAACCCCTGCGAACCCCCAGCAGCCCACCCCTGCCAGGGAGTCTGACTGGTTGGAGCACCGGGAAAACCCTCTCCTTCTCAGTGGGAGGAAAAGCTATGAATCGGAGCCTTCCAGAGGCTGGGATGGAGCAACCCATCTTCAAAACGGGGGACGTTGGCTTTTTCTCCCCTGTTGTGAATGGCACCTTCCTTCCAATAAGGAAGATTCTTACCCAGGTCGGATTTCCTCGATATCCGGAACGAGGTTTAAAAACTCGTTTTTCCCGGCCCTTGCCAAATAAGAAACTTCCGCAGGGGGTGTCAGCTGGAATGGTTCTGCCTCCAGTCCAGGGCTAGAGGCCCGAGAATTTCCTTCGGGAGTTCTTTGGTTTAAAAAAAAAGAAAGAAAACGATCCAAAATGAAAAAAATGTGGTTAATTAAAAGTCAGGCGCGCTGCAAAGGCAGAAAAACACTAACTCGGTTCATTAATGTTTCATGATCAGTTCCGAGTCAAACAAACAATCAAAACAAACTCACAACAATCAAGGCTCCAAGTTATTTTGGGAGGTCTTTGGGGTTATTTATCTGTGCCCCTTATAAACCTGGATTAAGGGGACCAGAGAGCACCAAGGACTCCTCCTTTCAACCTTGAGCTACAAATATTCTATTCTATTCTATTCTATTCTATTCTATTCTATTCTATTCTATTCTATTCTATTCTATTCTATTCATTCCATTCCATTATTTTCTTTTTCTTTCTTTCTTTCTTTCTTTCTTTCTTTCTTTCTTTCTTTCTTTCTTTCTTTCTTTCTTTCTTTCTACATCTTTTATTTGCAGTTTTCTTTTCACACCATAATAATAATATAATAACAACAACAACAACTTTATTGTCATTGTACGTGTATACATAGTATACCCATACAACGAAATTCACTTAACACCCAAAGACCAGGTTTTCGTTTTCAGCATAGTTTGATTAACACAAGAAAAAAAAAAGTCTGCCTCCCAGCAATTTACCTCCTTGCAGCAAGCAGCAGAGGCCCACGCAAAACAGCTGAGAGCAAAACAGGCTGAGAGTCGGGAGGCCGATCCAATCAACTTGTGCTAATTAGACTGTGCTGAAGCTGACATGAGCTGTTTCTTCTTGCTACTTGCTGCAAGGAGGTAAACTGCTGGGAGGTAGAGCCCAAAAGGTGGGGGCCAGGGGTGGGCGGGGCTACATTCGGTGTATAAGACACATCTAAATTTTCACCCCCTTTTAGGGGGAAAAAAGGTGCGTCTTATACTCCGAAAAATACAGTAGTTTTCAACTTACCACAGTTCATTTAAGGGTTGTTCAAAGTTACAAACGGCACTGAAAAAAGTGACTTAAGACCGTTCTTCACACTTATGACCGTTGCAGCCTCCTCATGGTCACATGATCAAAATTCAGAAGCTTGGCAACTGACTCATATTTATGACGGTTGCAGTGTCCTGCAGTTGTGTGTGCAACACCTGTTGCGACCTTCTGACAAGCAAAGTCAATGGGGAAGCCAGATTCACTTAACAACCGTTTTCCTGACTCAGGAACTGCAGCGATTCACTTAACAACGGTAGCAAGAAAGGTCGTAAAATGGAGCAAAATTCAACTTAACAAATGTTTCGCTAAGTAACAGAAATGTTGTGGTCATAAATTGAGGACTACCTGTATACAAATAAATCCATAAAATGTGATGAATGGAAGGCAATTCCCACATTTGCCCAGCTGCTCTCTCTCTCTCTCTCTCTCTCTCTCTCTCTCTCACACACACACACACAAACAAACCAGGGGTGGGTTCTAAATTTTTTTACTACCGGTTCTGTGGGAGTGGCTTATTTTGTGGGTGTGGCTTGGAGGTCATGTGACTAGGTGGGCGTGGCTAGCTGGTCAGAGTCATTTCTGCAAGGTCCTTGCACTTACGACCAGTCCTCGCACTTACGACCTGACTCATTTGTTTGCTTTTAACACTGATCAGCTGTAGGACAGCCCTTTGAAGCCCCGCGGCAAAAGTTTAAACAGTTTTTTCCCTCTAGTCATCAGCTGGGACTCAGGAGGCATCAATAGATTGGGGGTGGGACCAAATAAAAGGTAAGAATAACGTGGGAGGGCAGGGGCGGAGAACCGGTTCGGTGATGTCATATCGTCACCGCTACCGGCTTGACCGAACCGGGAGGAACTCACCACTGAAATAAACACACATCCATAGCCTCATCTGTGTCAGATCTGTGTCTTCTGATCTTCAGCAGTGCCTTATGGATCCTGTGCAGTGGTGGGTTTCAAAATTTTTTACTACTGTTCTGTGGGCGTGGCTTGGTGGGCGTGGCATGGCTTGGTGGGTGTGGCAGGGGAAGGATACTGTAAAATCTCCATTCCCACCCCACTGCAGGGGAAGGATGCTGTCAAATCTCCATTCCCTCCCCAATCCAGGAGAAGGTTACTGCAAAATCCCCATTTCCTTCCAATCAGCTGGGATTTGGGGAGGCAGAGAATAGATGGGGGCGGGGCCAGTCAGAATTTTTACTTCCGGTTCTCTGAACTACTCAAAATTTCCGCTACCGGTTCTCCAGAACTGGTCAGAACCTGCTGAAACCCACCTCTGATTCTGTGTAAGGTTAAAGGGCCAATGCAGATGTGTAACTCCTGATGTGAGTTTGCAATCAAATCAAAACTTGCCTATCCTGGTACCTCCAATATATACAGTGAATTCCTGCCTATCAGGTTCGTTGGAACAGGTCTGAGTTTCCTGGTGCCCTCTGATTAATGGTGCAGGAAGTTCTCAATTGCAAGGTCTAATTTTAATCAAAGGTGATGAAAGTTTAAAGACTTGGCTTGTTTATTTTTCTAAGGCTGGTTTAATTTCATTCGTTAGGCAAACTGGGAGGTAAAAATTACATTAAAAAGGCTTCTCCTTGCAAGGAGTAGCAAGCTTTATTAAACTGAAAAATATGCCACTGATTCAGGATTTTCCAACCGTGGCAATTTTAAGACCCGTGGACTTCAACTCCCAGAATTCCCCGGTCAACATGGCTGGCTGTGGAATGGGATACCTTGGTTTAATTCAGGGGTGTCAGACTCGCGTCGTCACGGCGTCGTCACATGACGTATTGGGACTTTCCCCCCTTTACCTAAACCGGGCAGGGGCGGGGCCAGCACATGACGCATCTGGCCCACGAGTTTAACACCCCTACTCTAATTCATTGAGATACAGAGCTTCCATCTTCCCTTGCTCTTTTTTGAACTGGCCTCATCATGTTGCTGGAACAAGATTTAAAAAAAAAAAATTGGGAAAGATGGTAGCCACATTTCCAGGGGTGCTTCTGAAGGGGAACGGCGTCTCAAAAAAGACAAGATGGCAGCCATGCTTAAGTGACAGTTCCCCTTTCTTTAATGTGTTACTCGTGCAATATGGTTTGGACGACTGTGCAGGTGTGTCCCCGTTGCTTGACTTTTTTGACTCTCTGTGAGCCACCCCTGATCTCCATCATCACAGATCTGAAAATGGCGTCTACAAAGGCATAAAGGGGAACGTTCAACTGTGGAAGAAGCCTTAGGTAAAGGTAAAGGTTCCCCTCGCACGTATGCGTGGGTGGGCAGGGCTACATTCGGTGTATAAGACGCACCTAAATTTTCACCCCCTTTTAGGGGGGAAAAAAGGTGCATCTTATACTCCGAAAAATACGGTATGTTACTCCTACTTTGTATACAGAACTTTAAAAACTGTGCTTGTTTTTAGAAAAAAAGGAATCACCAAAGTGCTAATTGAAATGCTGCAGATAAATTAAAGGCCTTCTCTGCTTTAGCAGAACAGTGCAATTTAGAAGCTAAGTGAAACAGAATCTACATGAAATTGGATGGGAGACCTTGAATTCCCATCTTAAAACTCTTGTATACACTGAGAATGACAACTCTTAATTTTTCTAGGTTGGTCTATTTCTCCTTCTCCTTTTCCTAGCCACAATAGGAGATTTATTCCTCTTAAACCGCAGCATTTTTATCAGTCACAAAATAAATGTTTTTTCTGAGAAACGTTATGAGTGGGGAAAAAAATCAAGGCGTGAAGGCGAAGGCTATTTATTCTGTCAGAAAAATTGGTTCCCAGTTTTATTAACATAAGTTTCCTAAAACTACAGCTGGCCAAAATAAATAAATGATGTTTCCTTCTTAAAAGAAGCGTAAATATATTTTTATTTCTGAGAGCGATCAGAACTGGAAAAGATCTCGGGAAGACCGCAAGCTGGAGGGAGAGTCAGCACGGGATTCACTTAAAAACTGCAGTGATATGCTAAACCAGAGTTCCCCAAACTTTTCCAGCTTTGCAGATCAGTGAAATAAAATTAAAAATGCTTTTAAAAGCCTCTGACGATCCCAGCTGAGTTGCCTGATTGTCAGAGGCTTTTAAAAGCATTTTTTAAACAACCTCTTCGGCCGAAGAGGTTGTAGAAAAAATGGTTTTAAAAGTTTTTTTTTAAAAAAAGCCCACGCCCACTCAGTCACATTACCCCACCACCACCAAGCCACGCCCACAGAACTGGTAGTAACAAATTTTACATTTCACCACTGGAGAGATTCGCTTAGCAACCACTTTGCGTAGCAATGGAAATTTGAGTCCTGATTGTGTCTGTTAGTTGAGGAGTGTGTAGTGCGTCCCTGCCTTCCCTGTTCCCTTGCATAATTCTGGTTCATTTCAGTTTGTGGCTCATTTTGCATTTTTAGGAGAAATCTGGGACACAGAAGTATCTAGCTAAGGCACAGAAGCAGAGGTGGGATTGACATAATTTACCTACTGCTTCGCCCAGCCCTGAAAATTTGAGCATGCCCACCTTCCGCATATGCACCCAGCCTCAAAACTGTGCCTAAATAAGACTGCATAGATCTGGGGCAGGTGGGTGGCCCCATGCATTCCTTCCTTCCTTCCTTCCTTCCTTCCTTCCTTCCTTCCTTCCTTCTTTCTCTCTCTCCCACCCTCCTCTCTCTTTTCCTTCCTTCCTTCTCCTTGGTACTACCACTGATGATGTTACCTAGTTGGGGTCATAAAAACGTCTGCAAGAAAACAAGCCAGCTCAGAGAGCACCAAGGACCCCCTCATGTCAACACCGAGCTACAAATATTCTATTTTATTGAAACCTGAATGAAACTATGGCACCTCCCTCCCCCTCCAAAAAGCAGAGTGTGCCTTTAAAGCAGGCATCCTTCAGGGCTGAGCAGGAGGGCAGTGGGAGAACAAATTTCTTCCCAGGCCAGAGAAAGAGAGCGAGCTGGAGGGGGGTTTCTGTCGAGGGACGGGCGTCAACTCAGCTCCACTCACTTCTGATCCACCGAGTTGTACCTCGAATCTGACAGCGAGGGGCAGGTGGTGGACGGGGTGAGGGTGGAGCTGCTGAAGCTGGAGACCGAAGAATCCCGCCCGATTGGAGAGATGTCAGACAGCTGGAAGAAGGAGGAGGCAATAACTCTCAAGCTCGGCGCTTCGAGGGAAAAAGCTCGTGTTGACCACGGGTTAAGCTTTGGCTTACCTTACAATCACTGATGCTGTTGTAGACCTGGTTAAATTCGCGGTTGAAAGAATGAGTAAGAAGCTGAAGGCACTGCAAAGAAAGCGTGGATTAGGACGGGGGAGGTAGGCAAAAGGTGTGCAGAGCTGACAGCAGAGTCGGACAGAGAGGAGGTTGGGGAGGAACATTGGCCAGTCCTGGAGTCTGGGGAGGGCTCGGACGAGGGCTCTCCATCGGAGGCAGAAAAAGGGCCATATGGGAGGTACGTGCTGCCTCTGGAGCCTCCTGAGTCGAACCTCAGCAAGGCAGAGGACCTGGGGGAGCCTGTTCCCAGTGCGTGCATGCGCAGAGCTGCCAGAAGGCAAGAACAGTTAAAACAAAAGGGACGACTCAGGAGTAGGGCTTGGAGATGATTGACCCCTCCCATAAGGCTTAAAAGAGGAGCAAAGGCACGTGGGCCTTTGCAGGAAGCAACGTTGTTAATTCTGTGCAGTTTAGAGCCCGAAGTTCTGTTTGATTCTGGACTCTGTGTGGCTTTGCCAATTAGGTCTTTGGCAGTGTGTCAAGGGAGATAAAGGTGGATGATTATCAGCCTTATCCCGAAGGACTCTTTACAACTATTTGGGACTCATCTGTGAATGAACAGAATTCACAGCTGTTAAAATAAAAAAGGTTTTTGAGGCTACTCGTGTGTTTTACTGACTCAGGAAGCCTAGGTCAGAACAAAAGGAGTTGAAGTCCAGGCATCTTAAAAGTTGCCAAGGCTGAGAAAACACAGATCTAGAGGGCCCCCCTTTTTGGGGGGAAGGGGGTTGGGGAAAAGGCAGGTTCGCAAACACCACCACCACAACCGTCACACACCCCTGGTGCCAACTCTGAAGTTGGCCTGACTGAGGCCATCTTCGAGGCTTTAGCGTTGCCACAATGGAGATGAGGGTTAGGGAGGGGGAAATAAGAGATAGCTGGGGGTTTTGTAGCCAAAACAAAATACTTTCCCCTGGGAACCAAGGACATTCCAACAGGCGGCTGAAGAGAGGAGGAGTGCTGTTACCAAGCAACTGGACAGCACCCTGATTGGACCATGTGACTGTTTGTTTGGGAAAAGGGGAAAAGTTTTACTTTTAATTAGGTGAAAACCGCGGGAACCTTTAGAGTCGGTTTTCACCAGCCTGTGCCAATATGATAGATCCAATAAAATAGATCCTTTGAGATAGATCCTTTGAGGAATCTACCCGCCTCGGAGTTCTGTTTGTTTATGGGTGTATTACTTGGAACCCTGACACCTGGGCTCGGTACCTTGGTAGCTAGCTCCTTCTCCCGCTCCACTAGACTCTCGATGTCGGCAGAGTCGTAGCCGCTGCTCTCGCTGGGGGTGATGGCGCTCTCGAAGGTGGTGGAGGAGATCTGCGAGGAGATGCTGGTGGAGGTGCTGAGTGTGCTGCTACTCAGGCTGTGGGAGAGCGAGTCGCTCAGGGACTTGGGGAGGCCATTGCCCAGCTTCTCACGCAGCAACAGGAAGTGACGCGTCTTCTCCACCTGGGCAGCAAGAAAAGAACCCAGAGAGGTTCCTCCCATGGCTTCTAAACTGGGATGTCATCCTCTAGCCCAGGGGTCGGCAACCTTAAACACTCAAAGAGCCACAAAGGTCCTAACCGGAAGCCCCCCGTTCAATTCTGGAGCTGACCGGAAGTCCAGTTCCCCCATCATAGAGTCTCCTCCTAGCGCGGCGTCCTTTTCCCTCTACCTGTCCTAACCGAAAGCCCTATCAGTCGTGGAGCCGACCAGCAACAGGGAGCTGCAGCAGAGGGATGAAAGAGCCACATGCAGCTCCAGAGCCGCAGGTTGCTGATCCGTGCTCTAGTCCCCCACCCCTCCAAACTACGGCAAGCGTTGGGTTGCGGGGAGGGGACTGAGATGGACCCAGCAAGAAAGGACATGTGCAAAAACGAGGGACGGGTCCCAAAGATGCTGTATTTTGCAAGAGGTAACTGGATTTCCTGGTTTTTCTTTGACAACGTTTCGCTTCTCGTCCAAGAAGCTTCTTCAGCTCTTGACTGGATGGTGGGGAATAGAAGGATGTATGGATTTATAGGATTTATTTACTTAGATCCTTTTTTGGATTTATGTATGTATGTATGTATGTATGTATGTATGTATGTATGTATGTATGTATGTATATATATTTAATTTGATTCATATGCTGCCCTTCTCCGGAGACTCAGGGCGGCTTACAATGCGCTCAGCAATAGCCTTCATCCTTTTGTATATTTATACAAAGTCAGCTTATTGCCCCCACAAACTGGGTCCTCATTTCACCTACCTTAGAAAGGATGGAAGGCTGAGTCAACCTTGAGCCTTGGCGAGATTCGAACCTGCAGTAATTGCAGGCAGCTGGTCTTAATAACCAGCTTAATAACAGGGTGCCTTAGACCACTGTACTACCAAGGCTTTTGGTTATGGATTTATAGGATTTATTTACTTAAATCCTACTATTCCCCACCATCCAGTCAGAGCTGAAGAAGTGTCAGATCCCTAAAAGTGATACTGCCATTCAATTGGGAGAAGGGGGGGGGGGCTTGGATTTGATTCATTAGTATTGCCTTGATAGTACAGTGGTCTACGCACCCTGTTATTAACACAGCTGCCTGCAATTTACTGCTGGTTCGAATCTCTCCAAGGCTCAAAGTTGACTCAGCCTTCCATCCTTTCAAAGGTAGGTAAATTGAGGACCCGGTTTGTGGGGGCAATAAGCTGACTTTGTATAAATATACAAAAGTAGGAAGGCTATTGCTTAACACATTGTAAGCCGCCCTGAGTCTCCGGAGAAGGGCGGCATATAAATCAAATTAAAAAAAAAAAAATTGCCTGTGACAATTGTTATTTTATAACTTGTATCCTGGCAAAACACCCTGAGATCTTCGCACTTCTTGGGGAATGTATAGGAGGGATGGCCATGTGGGTTGTTTCACTTTGATAGCCAATGAAAGATAGCGATGGGAATGTATGCTTATCCGGTTCGCAGGGCAGCTGGTAAACTAACATCTTCACATCTGTGGATTGGCTAAATCTGCATCTGGCTAAAGGGAGGAGTCTCTACTGCTTTAATCCTACTTGTCTTGCCTAAGGGTATTCAGACGCTGCTTTGAATCCATTGCTGTCACTTCTGCTTAATAAAAAGTTCCTTTTGAAATAACTCCGTTTCAAGAGTTTTCACCAGGGGTGAAATCCAGCAGGTTCTAACAGGTTCTGGAGAACCAGTAGTGGAAATTTTGAGCAGTTCGGAGAACCTGTAGCAGAAATTTGGAGTAGTTCAGAGAACTGGCAAACCCCACATCTGGCTGGCCCCGGAGTGAGGGTGGGAATGGGGATTTTGCAGTATCCTTCCCCCAGGAGTGGGGTGGGAATGGGGATTTTGCAGTATCCTTCCCCCTGGAGTGGGGTGGGAATGGAGATTTTGCAGTATCCTTCCCCTGCCACGCCCACCAAGCCACACCACGCCCATCAAACCACACTCACAGAACTGGTAGTAAAAAAATGGATTTCACCACTGGTTCTCACTTTCTTAAGTTAGAAGGAGAGGCAATCCTTACAGGAAGCTTCTTGGATGAGAAGCGAAACATCTTCAAAGAAACACCAGAAAGACTTTTTTAAAAAAAAAAAAAAAAAGCACCTTTGGGACAAGCGTGACCTGGATGACTTGAGAATGTCCGTAGATAAAAGAGGGACAGGAACAATTAAGAACTTCGGCAGCCTCAGGGAGATGTTTCACCAACAGGAAGAAGCCAAGCAAAGGAATCCCAAGCCCTCCCTTCCTGTTCCTGCTCCTTTGGGCCCCCACCTCATGCAGCAGCTCCATCTTCTCCAGTTCCCACTGGTGCTCCAGGATCAGGCTGTCTCCTCGGGGTCTCCACCCTGCCAGGTTCTCTTCCCCTCGGACGTAGGCTACGGAGGTATCCAGGACTTTCCGTCTCCTCCTCTGCATTCCTGAAACATGAAAACCGGATTCAGGTCAAGTCAGTTTCCAACGCACCAGGAGGGAAGGGTTCTACTCCGTAACCAACAAAGGAAGTCCCACTGCCGTTTGAAAAAGCACCTTTGGGACAACCATGACCTGGATGACGGAGAATCTCCACAGCCAAGGGTCAGAAATATAATAAATTCACAAATCAACCCAGTTCGGGAAAAAAATATGGAGGCATTTTTCTTTGGCATATTCATAAAAAAGGGACGTCTTCTGACCTGGGCTTCCGGTATCGGCCATTTTGCACAAGCTCAACTCGTAGATCCCGGTTACTCGGTTGCTGCTTGCAAAGAGGGAAGCAGGGAAAAACAAAACGATCATTTGAGAAAACAAGGCAGTCTTAGGAAAGGGTGTCAAGCTCTTCAAGAATGATTACATTGGTCCATGCTGGAGTTAATTCGTCATAGCAATAGCACTTAAGACTTATATACTGCTTCACAGGGCTTTTACAGCCCTCTCTAAGCGGTTTACAGAGTCAGCCTCTTGCCCCCAACGATCTGGGTCTTCATTTGACCCACCTCGGAAGGACGGAAGGCTGAGTCAACCTTGAGCCTGGTGAGATTCGAACTGCCAAATTGCAGGCAGCCGGCAGTCAGCAGAAGTAGCCTGCAGTACTGCACTCTATCCACTGCGCCACCGAGGCTCATAGGTTTGTCATATAACAAATATATATTTATCATGTACACAGAAAAAAACTGCTATCCTTTTTTTCTTAAGGAATCTTTGACTTATTCCTAGTCAGACTGAAATTAGAGTCCTCTGCTTTGGCCGCTCGCTTGAAGGTTTCCAAGAACCGACTCAAGCAATCGTTTGAAATTTCGCGAGGAGGTTCGCGAGACAGCAAGAGACAGGCCGTCCACAAACCCGCCCACCCACCAAGCTTAATCCACGTGTCTCGTGGCCCTTGGACCGCCCCAGGGGGATGATCTGACTTACGAGTCTGGAGACTTGGAGTAGCCACGTCCAAAGAGACTCCGCAGCGAGCGGGGGGGCGAAATCTTAGCGTCTCGCGAGTAGAAGACCATGCAGATGTCCTTAGTGATGACGGCTGGTTGGATGCAGTGATCCAGCTGGAAGGGGAGAAACAGCTGGATCACTTTCACCATCGGTGATGGGCAACGTACAAGCGAACAGGTGGCATTTCAGCTGTCTTTGGCACAGGTGTGTGGCACAAGTGGAGATAAACGCACATACTTCTAGCTCCAGATTTATTATTCTCTATAGCATGGGTATCCAAACCTTGGCAAGTTTAAGACTTCAACTCCCAGAATTCCCCAGCCTGGGACGTTGAAGTCCACAAGTCTTTAAAAAATTGCCTTTCTTTTTAAGAAAGAAATAGAAAGAGGAATTCCCTCCAGTGGAGGGGGGAGGGGTGTCCCTGTTTTTTAAGAGCACTTCAAACTCTCCTATCACCCTTCCGTCAGACTGAAGCTCTGATGCAACCTCACCTCCAGGTAAGCCGAGAGGGTCATGTAGATCTTCTCTGCGTAAGGGGTCACCCGGTTTAAAAGAAGGGAGTTATGCAGGGAGCTGTCCCAGACAGCCTCAAAGCGGTAGAAAGTTCTGGAAAAAAATAATCAACATCAAAGGCTAGGATCTGATGCTCCAGTGCAGAGGTGCCTCTTCCAGCCATTGGCTGAGCAACCGTCCTGAATAAGCTTAGAGTAGGGGTGTCAAACTCAAGGCCCCGGGGGGCCCAGATCCAGCCTGTGGGGTGTTTAGATCTGGCCCGCGGGGCCACCCTGGAAACAGCGAAGGACCGGCATGCGGGGCCTCTGCCAGCGAAAACGGAACTTGTGAGGGTCACGCACAACCCCCTCGAGCTTCGTTTTCGCTGGCAGAAGATTGCAGGAGGCTGTCGCAACCAAAAACAGCTCGGGAGCCCATTTTTGCTGGCAGAGCTCTTGGGCCTCCCTCCACAGGTGCTCCATCCACCACAACATGAGTGATGTCATGCTGGCCACACCCACCCTGGCCACGCCTCCCCCCCCCGAGGTCAAACACAACCTGATGCAGCCCTCAATGAAATCGAGTTTGACACCCCTGGCTTAGAGCAATTCTTGGAAGGTGGAAGGAAGCAGACCCCTTTCTAAATTCTCTGCCTTCTTCTCACTTAACTGCAAACCTCAATTTTTTTCAATGATGGGCGTCAACAACATCAAATCAACTCATGGTTCCTGGCTTAGGAGTCAGGTTGAATGACTGGCATTCAGAACTAAGAATGAGAAACGGAGGGAATGTTGGCTACCTTTCCATGGACAAACAAGGAAGAAGCAAGGCTCGGCTTTTGTTTTGTTAAGGTGGCCCTGCTAAGCTAAAACCTCTGAAGGTTTTGCTTACCCATCAAACCTCCTTGAAGGAAACGCAACTGAGTGGCCCAGCCCTGCCCTAAAACAGCTATTCTAAGCATTTTCAGCCCTTCTAAATCTGGACAGACCTGCTTTGCCGGGTTAAAAGAAAGTGAATCTTGCACAGGAAAGCAAGAAGTGAAAGAACGGCGGAAAAAGGAGGGGAGGGCAGATTGGGAGAGGGTCAGGGGTGGGCTGCTGGGGGTTTGCAGAGGTTCGGGGGAACCTCTAGCTAAGATTCTGTGCAGTTTGGAGAAACAGCCAAATCCCATTCCTGGCTGGTCCTGCCCACAGTTCCCCTCCCAGGAGTCCCCACGCAGCCCGTTTTGGATGCAGGTAAGCGCAGGGCGCACGCAGAGGCTCGGGGAGGGCGAAAGAAGTTCGGGAAGGCCAGAAATATGCCCGTTTCTGGCCTCCAGAGAGCTTCCAGAGCTTGGGGAAGCCATTTTTGCCATCCCGGAGGCTCAGGAAAAGCCTCCGGAGCCCGGGGAGGGCAAAAACAGCTCCCCCGCCATAGTGCAGGAGGCCAACTAGGCCACGCCCAGCCAGCAACCGGGCAGAGAACACCTTGCTACAATTTTTGAAGCCCACCCCTGGACAGGGTCCCAGGAGAAGGCAAAGCAGCAGCAAATGAAATCCCCTTTTAATGAATTTCAACCAGGGAGCAGAAAGACCGCAAATGTTACGTCTAATTCCCGACTGCTGGGTCAGGGTGGAAAAGACAAAGAGAGGGATACAACGTTAAAATGGCATTTCAACCGTGTGGGAAGCAAAGACTGAGCACAACAGAAGCCAAAGGGATTAAATCGGGAAGGAAGAAATGTAACTGGATACAGTACTGGGCGTTGGGGGTCAAGACACACTGGAGAGGAGTTTTGAGGATGGGATTCGGGAAAAGAGTGACAAGTAAAAATTAAGCGGGGGGGAGGAGGAGGACGGGAGAAAGAAGCCAAGCACAAATATGAGACTTGAACCCACAGAAAAGCTTCTAGCTAGCATGCTAAAAGGCTGGCCCAAATAGATCACAAAAGTCTCTTTTTTGCAGCACCCCCTAAGATTCTCAAGACCTTGCTGGGCGGGCCTTTGAGAACGGGGCAAAGGGGAGATTTTAAAGCCACCCCCCAAAACAAGGAGAGGTGCCACAGCGCAAGGCAGCAAAGGGGTGGGGGTGGGGTGGGAAGGGGATGAAAGCTCTGCCCGCCAGCCGAACTCTGGGATTAGGGAAAAGGGGAGGAGAGGCTGGGCACTAGGCCAGGAGCGTTGGGCGCCAAGGAAGGGAATTTCGAAATACCTAGGCATATCCTTATCAAGGAAGAGCCTGTGGAGATACAGAAAGCATTCGTTAGGTCGGCCCCAAACACGGGTGGACGAGCGACGAAGGGAAAGCAGTGGAGAAAAAGCCAAAATTCAAGCCAGAGGACAACCCAAAGACACAAATGCAGGGACACAAACACGCACACACAGAGACAGAGAGAGACATGCATCATATATGTGAACACAGGAGGACGTTTCTGCAACTTCCACCTTCTTCTCCTGCCAAGGGCAAGAGCTGAAAACTGGGCAAATCGCAAACAGGATGAAATTTATTTCACGCCCTAAGGGGCCGTCATCACAGCGAGAAGACAGAAGCCTGGGAGGGGGGCAAAAATCCTTTGTGGTGGGTTATAATCATATATCATTATTTGTCTATTAGGAAATACTCATTTGAGAGGTCTGTATGAGTAACATTAGTGTATTCAGGCTTGTTCCATTTCTCACATCCTGGTGGGGAAAAAAAAACTAGTGTGCCGTTTTCACTATTTAAGTGCCTATTTAAGACTCTTAAGTGCCGCAACCTCATTTCTCTTTCCACTAAGGTTTAAAATCTGCTTCAAAACTCTCCTACTCAGAGAACGGAGGAGGAGCCTAATCCCAACCCAAGGACCCCCATAAGTGGGTCAGAATTCCCCGTCAGTCAGGCTGTCTGGGGAGCATGGGAACTGCAGTCCACCCCTAGCTGGGGAGCCGACAGAGGGTAAGGAACGCTTCTGACCTGTTGGAGCTGTGAGAGACCCTCAGGTATTTGGCGGAGATGATGTTGAGAGACAAGACGGCGTCCACGGCTGTTTCGTCCACTTCGGGTTTGTTCCGGATGCGCCCTGCAGAGAGGAGAGAGGCGAAAAAAAGCAGAGACTTATTCAAAGTCACTTCGCAGGGAAGAAGCACCCAGGGAAACTCGCCATCCAGCGCCAGGGAAGTCAGAAGCTCCAAATTTTTATTTATTTATTTATTTGTTTGTTTGTTTGTTTCAATTTCTATACCGCCCTTCTCCAAATAGGATTCAGGGCGGTGAACAGCCAAAGTAAAAAACAGGACATACAAAATTTAAAAAACAGTTTAAAATAATTAAATATTGTGGCCGTAAATTAAAACAACCCAATTTAAAATCAATTTATGGATGTAATGATTTATTGCAAGCTTAAGCTCTCTACAAGAATCTGAGCTACTAAGGTCCAAGCAAATTGGTGGTAGGTGAGAATTGGTGGAATTCAAGGTACGCTGGACTTGAATCTCTTATGGACACGAAGGAACTCACGACTGATGGCATGTTTGACCCCTTCCTCAAGCTCAGCCTACATTCACTTTCAGAAAGCTGTGTACCGTATTTTTCGGTGTATAAGATGCACTTGCCCCCCCACCAAAAAATGTGGGTGGAAATGTGTGTGCATCTTCTACAGCGAATGTTGCCGAAGCCCTGCCCATCCTTTGGCCCCTGCCTCCCAGCAATTTACCTCCTTGCAGCAAACAGCCTGGTCAGCTTCAGCACAGCCTGATTTAGCACAAGCAGCTGATTGGCCGTTGGATCGGCCTCCCGGAATACCACCTATCAGCTGTTCCAGGCTGCAGGGATCACCACCACTCGTTGCCGCCCATCAATGCTGCTATCGCCACCTCTGTGCGCTCCATTTTCAGCCTCCACGCATCACGTTTTCAGCCTCCGCACACCCCATTTTCAGCCTCCATATGTCACGTTTTTGGCCCATTCCAGGCGGCAGGGATAGGTGGCAGGAAACCCTGCCGCCTGGAATGGGCCAAAAATGGGGCACAGAGGCCGAAAACGGGATGCATGGAGGCCGAAAGTGGGGCGCACGGAGGCGGCAATAGGCGGTGGCAGCGATGGGCGATTACAGTGGTGATCCCTGTAGCCTGGAACAGCTGATGGACGGTGTTCCGGGAGGCCGATCCAACTGCCAATCAGCTGCTTGTGCTAAATCACGCTGTGCTGAAGCTGACCAGGCTGTTTGCTGTTAGGAGGTAAATTGCTGGGAGGCAGAGATAGATTTTTTCCCCCCTTGTTTTCCTCCCCAAATGCTAAGTGCGTCTTATACTTCAGAGTGTCTTATAGTCTGAAAAATACGGTAATTGCAGAAGGATTTGGGAGGGAATGTCTCCAGACTGGGGCGTTTCCCCACCCAAAACCATTCATCAATCCAAATGCCAAGTCAAATCTTTGTGGAACGGTATGTTCCTTCCTGCAAAAACCAGCCTCGGTTACAGACCGTCCCACCCTGCTACTTCAGAAGTAGGGTCCCTGATAGCCCCTGAGGTTTCATGAAGGATTATCATCCGGAATGGGGACAACTCGCCCCTGCCAGCTCTCCCACGGCCAACTCACCACAGCCACTTCATTGCAGCCAACTCACCATGGGCAACTCACTGCAGGACAATTCAATAATTCAGGTTCATTATTTAAAATAATTCTAACCATTGTTTTAATTTTTGTCATTCACATTTTATTTTGGCCTTCCTTTGGCATCCTTTATTTAATTATTCTATTTGACTGTTTGATATAAGTGTAATTCTTGTGTCCACAGCAAGTTGTTCTGCGGGACAAGAGTTGGCCGTGGCAAGTTGTCCTCCAGCGAGTTGGCTGTGGGCAAGAGAGTCGTGGTGAGTTGGCTATGGCGAATTGTCGTACACCCATCATCCTTGGCCCTCCTCTCTGAAAATTTCCTGGGCCAGATATATGTGGCAGCAAAGTGGGCTGGGCACTCTTCAGTGAGTGGAAGAAGAGTGAGGAGAGAAGGGAGAAGGATCCGTCCAGAAACAGAGGAGAAAGATACCTACCGACTACCAACTCTCGCACGTCTTTCCAATGGAGCTCATTGCCCTTCTCGTGGATGATGGTAATGGTGATCCTCCGCTGTATTCCCTGCAGTGATGAAAAGAGACCAGCTTGGTTGCTTTTCCCCTTTAGCATTCTGCCTCTTTAAATGTTAGGCTTAAAACCGCCAAGATCTCCTGACATCTGGACTGGCAGAGAACTGAACTGAATTGGGGAAGCCTGCCAGATGCGGGTGCCAAAAGCCCGGTCTCACTTTGGTGCTGGCCAGAAAAAGGGGAGAATGGAGCTCGAATTCACCGAGATGAGGATTATAGGCAGTGTTGTGACCCGCCAGCAGCCAGCAGAGCTGGTGGCAGACTCAGACAGTGAGGGGGTTGGGGAAGAACATGGGCCAGTCCTGGAGCCTGGGGAGGGCTCTGATGAGGGCTCTGCACCGGAGGCAGAGAGAGGGCCAGGGCCGTCTGACAGTTGTCAGCTGCCTTCGGAGTCAGACATCAGTGAGGAAGACGAACAGCTGGAGCCTGTTCCCAGTGTGCATATGAGCAGAGTGGCCAGATGAAGGGAACAGCTAAAGAACAAGGGTCGACTCAGGAGTAAAGCACAGGTGGACAGTGAATGGCCCCTCCCAGAGGGAATAAAAGAGGAGCGAAAGGGGAAAGGAGTTTGCAGGAGACAATTAGTTCGCTATATGGTTCGTGACTCTCCGAGAATCCTTGCCAAGTTTTGAAGATATCGGCCTGGCAGCTCCCCAAGCCAGATAATGTCTGTGACTGTAAATTCTCCCTTGAAAGGCTTTGCTGGGTATGAATGAGAGGAATTCACAGTAACTTAATAAAAAGGGTTTTTTTGTTGGACAAGGAGTCTGCTTCATGCTCTTGGGAAGCCTAGGTCAGAAGAGGCAGATTTCCCAAGCAACACAGTTAATTTTTATTTCAAACAGCCGAGGTCAGGAGGGCAGCATCTAACAGTCCCTGTCTGACCTGAGGCAGCAGGGTCTGGTCTGATTACAACTTGGATAGGAGACCAGAAATAGCAGAATAGTAGGCCGGCCTTGAGAATTGGGAAGTAAAATCACAAAAAGAAGAAAATCCCAATTCTCTGGGCATTATTTCTGCTGCCCCAAAAAAACCCCGACTGAAAATAAGTTTTCCCGTAGTTGCCAGAATCAAGCCAGATTCAAAGGAGCCTTTGTGGGGATTTTAGCATCCACCCACCTGATGAAGCAAGAATGTCCCTTGGCAGGGGAGACCTCCAGTGTGGTCAACAATGGCCGGGATGTATCTGCAAGGGAGAGAGGGACAAATCAAGATGAGAGGGGGGTTTAATTCCCCAGGTAGCTCACAGCTACCTCCATCCCAACCCTTTCCCCCTCAGATAAGATTAAAAATACAGCTGGACTATTTGCCGGGAAATACCAAGATCATAGCTTATCAACAGATAATCACATTTATTAGAGAAGGCTCCGGGGAACAGAAAGGGGGTACTTAAAACTATCTACAAGGGAGGTCCAGAGACAGCATTTGTCGCTTTCTCTCATTCATTCTGGGAATCGGTTACAGAGCCGATTCTTCCAGCGTGGAAGGAAAGCAAAGCATCGCTTGAAAAAACTTCCTCCCATCTTTCTTTCAAGACTGAGCTCTCTATTCTAAACCCAGAGCTGGGATTGAAAAATTTTAGCAGCCGCTTCTCTGCCTGGTTGCTGGGTGGGCGTGGCCATGGGGGTATGGCCTAGTCAGCTTCCTGCACCATGGCAGGGGAGGTTCCACCCTCCCCAGGCTCTGGAGGTTTTTCTCAAGCCTCCGGGAGTGCAAAAACGGCCTCCCCGGACTCCGGAGGCTCTCCGAAGGCCGGAAATGGGCCCGTTTCTGACTTCTGGTACTTCCGGTAGGCCCATTTTTCACCCTCCCGGAGCCTCCATGGGCTCTGCACTTACCTGACATACAAAGTGGGACATGTGGAGACTCGGGGTGGGTGGGGGTGGGGGTGAGCCAGTCCTTGCAACTACCAGTTCGGCGGACCAGATTAAAATTAACATCCGATTCGCCCGAACCGGCTGAATCCCACCTCTCCACCTGTTCTGACATCCCAGATACTCCACAGCGTAAATGTCAAGCTCTGAAGCGAACCTGGCTGGGACCATTTTGGAGACTTTGGAGTTGCCACAATGGGAAGAAGAAGGGATAGGGAGGGGGAGCATAGTTAGATGGGGCTTTTATAGCGAAAACAAAACAGGTTTCCTGTGGGAACCAAGGACATTCAAACAGGTGGCTGGAGTAGGGGGGTGGTGAAGTAACCAGGCAACCAGCCAGCAACTTGATTGGACAATGTGACTGACTGTTTGGGGAAAGGGAGAAACTTTCCCTTTTTAATCAGGTGAAAACCGCAGGAACTTTCAGAGTTGGTTTTCACCAGTTTGTGCCAATATGGCAACTCCAATCAAACTGTTCTTTGAGGAATCTACCTGCCTCGGAGTTCTGCTTTATATGGGGGCTATTACCGTATTTTTCGGACTATAAGACACACTTTTTAGTCTCCCAAAAGGGGGTGAAAATGTCTGTGCGTCTTGTAGACCAAATACTGCAGAAGCCCTGTCGACCCGCCCGCTGTTTTTTTGGCCTCCGCACACCCCGTTTTCAGGCCTTTTTTGGTCTTTTTGCAACCCATTTTCGGGGGTTTTATGTGGCTTTTTTGGCCCATTTTTTCTGAAAAAACAGGCCAAAAAAAAGTCGCAAAAACAGGCTGCAAAAAGCCTCAAAAACGGGCTGCAAAAAGCCCCGAAAATGGGCTGCAAAAAACCTCGAAAAAGGGCTGAAAAAAGCTGCAAAAGCAGACTGAGAAAAGCTTCAAAAATGGGGCAAAAAGAGCCTCGAAAAAGGGCCGAAAAAAGCCTCAAAAACAGGCTGAAAAATGCCCTGAAACGGGCTGGAAAAAGGCCCCCAAAAAGGGCCAAAAATGGGGCATGCGGAGGCCAAAAACTTGTTTTTTGTTGTTTTCGTCTTCTAAATTTAGGTCGTCTTATAGTCAGCTGCGTCTTACAGTCTGAAAAATATGGTACTTGGAACCCTGACAATAAATATCTCTAGCAAGGCAGCTTCTGAATGGCCAAGCAAGTCTGACCATGCTCCTCTGGGTTTGCAGCAAGACAGAAGGTCTTCTCCTTCTCAGCCCGTTAGCCAGTGGTAGCGCAGAAGTTCTCCGTGATCTAGCTTAAATCCCCCAAGCTCCTTCAGATGTTCCTCAATGAAAGGATCTCGCTTCAGCCGTCTCAACGCAAATAATAAGCAGCAATAACTGCTCCTGTCACTAAGCACCCCACCAGGCAAGGCAATTGGACCCAACTCACTCTCCTGTCGGCTCCAGTTCGCTGATCTCGAACCAAACCAGGAGATCGTATTTGGTCATGCTCTGTCCCAAGCTGGCTTTATTCATCGTGTTGAGTTTGGTGGCTGGGACTGAAAGAGAAAAAAATGACTGGTTTAAAAATTAAAACAAAACGCAGTCTGAAAATGACTTTTGAACAATCCTAATGCTGCCCGGGGTTTATGAGCGTTGAGGCCAACAGATTGAGAAAGGCAGCTCTTGTGATGCTTAAATAAAGTGTCAAGTTTCCAAAAGATGCCTTAATTAATTCATGAGCCATGATCCAAACTTCAAAGGAAATATAGTCATTTATTACGAGCAACATTCCGGCAATACTCAGATGCAGTTAGGACTGATCCTACGTAGATTTATGTTCCCCTATGACCCTGTCTCTCCCCTCCTCTCTGGCCATGTCATAAATCACATTCTCCAATTAACCACTTTGGCTGGCTGTGAAACCTAGAACCCTCCTTCTGATTGCGGTCAGAAAGAATGTATGGAATTCACTTCAGTTCTCCTTCCCTCCTGCTCATGGCAACTTGAAAGCTTTGCAAGTTGACATAAAGTTTTTCTGGCATGCTTTCCCTGATGGGTTAGGACTCATAAGCTCCAGCCTAAAATAATAGCAATTTTTATTATTATTATTATTATTGATCATCGTATAGTCAGTCAGATGTTGAGACTGGGTTTGGCATTTTTGTCCACCTATCGAGTCCTTACCAAGGACCTGAGATAGGCAGATTTGGATGTTTGATGGTGTTACAGATATCGTCTCAGGATGGAAGCTGTTCTAAGTAAAGCTGCCTTCTGCAATTGACTAGTGGCAAATTTGTCAATGCCAATGATGGTATTCAAGTGGTGCTCCAGTTGTTTTGGGATTGCACCCAAGGCGCTTATTATTATTCTCTCTTTTATTCATTAAACATGAAACTCAATCAACTGAACATTTAAAAATATAACACAAATATTATTGACTGGCACTGAGGGATGATACGGATTGCTGCCAGCATCTTAAGTATCGACCATGATTATTAAAATTACTACCCTATTTCCCCAAAAACAAGACCCAACAGGAAAATAAGTCCTAACATGATTTTTCAGGATGCTCGTAATATAAGCCCTACCCCCAAAATAATCCCAGTTAAGATCATCAGCCAGATGGATGCATTTAGTACCGTATTGCCCCCAAAATAAGACCCAACGGGAAAATAAGTCCTAGCCATGATTTTTCAGGATGCTCGTAATATAAGCCCTACCCCCAAAATAAGCCCCAGTTATGATCCTCAGCCAGATGGGTGCATTTAGTACTGTATTTCCCCAAAAATAAGCCCTAACCAGAAAATAAGCTCTAATGTGTCTTTTGGAGCAAAAATTAATAGAAGACCTGGTCTTATTTTTGGGGAAATATGCTATTATTGTTGTTGTTTTTGTTGTTGTTATTATCATCTTCATCATCATCATTAAAAAGAGACCTCGGGAACAAAAGAGACAGAATAATGGATGCATGGAAGAAGATTTTCCTAGCAAAACAGAAACGTGGACCCAGAAGGAGTCCTGTCAGTTTTGAACAGAAGTATCTGGCAGGGTTTTGTTCTCATCTTAGAGAACCTGGAATGTCCTTGACATCTGGATTCAACTTATGAATTTGGGGTCCCGGTTTTAGATTCAAGTCAAGCCCCAGCCCACCGCAGGGTGAAAGTGGTCACACAGGGCTCAGGAGAACCCCCCAGGTGCCTGGAGAAAGAGGCCTAAGGGTTGTTCCTACACGGATCCCAGATCGATTGTGTTACTGACCATCTCGCTTGGGGAACCGCTGGGCCTGACAACAGCTGGGGACAGGCAGAGAGAGAAAAGGAGGCGACCGGTCAGCATCGTCTTGGAACGTTGCCACGGCCGCCGTCGCAAGCACGTTGGCATGCTGGGACACGGCGTCGAGCACGGGCGCGTTTACATAGCCAGACATGAGATACATGACCAATTCGATTTTTCTCTCATGGTCTGGAGGAAGCAACGAGGACGTGGGAGGAAAGGCGTCAGGCAACGGTGAGAAAAAGAGAGGCATGTGAGAGAGGGAGGCAAGGAGGTCGGGTGGGGAGGGAGAGAAGGCGGGGGAGTAAAAAAAATGGAATGAATGAAAGAATTCGACATGCACAGCTGAAAGCAAAACAAAAAAGCAGAGGGGGGGGGGGGAATGATACGATGAGCAAGGGGATGGTTACTGAGAAAGGAGCCACATGTGAGTAGAAAAGAGCTGATCAACAGGAGTCCGACGCAATCTCCAGGCATGACAAGAATGGCAGTTTCTCTCCATCCAATCCAATAGTGAAATGCTACCGGTTCGTACCAGTTTGGGTGAACCGGTAGTTAAAAAAAAAGCTACCGCTTCAAACCGGTATTTCCGATGATCAGCTGTGCCACGTGATTTAAAATCGCTAGAAAGCCTGCTTTTTAATGAATCTAAATTGCGCGACACAGCTGTTACCCCCTCCTCGCTGTTCTGCTTACCTTCCTAAGCCTCCTTTTTCCACGCAAAGCGTGTGTTTGGTGCGTATTGCACATGTGTGCATACAGCTTGTGCACCCCGCACTTGCGCGAGCAGCGAGCCAGTGGCAAACTGGGGAAGATTTCACCACTCATCCAATCCTCCAACATTTTTTGAGGTGATTTCAAGAAGACCTCTCAATTTGCAAACAGCCAGTAGCCCTTGAGTAGATAAAGGCTGGCCCACAATTTGATCCATTTAAGGTCGGTTGCACAGTCAGCCAGATGTTTAGCATTCAGCATTCTTGTCCAGCTACTGACTCCATCCCAAGGACTTAAGGGGGGGGGCAGATGTTGCCGTTTAATAACATTAAAGGTATCATCACAAAACGTAATCTGTTATTGTTATTATGACTAATACAGAGAAACTAGTGAAGTTTGTCTCTTCCTTTTCATTCCAATGATTAATGTATGTGTTGGGGTCCCTGGCGCTCAATGAGCTTGGCGGTATTCTTGTAATAGAATAGAATTCTTTATTGGCCAAGTGTGGTTGGACACACAAGGAATTTGTCTTAGGTCCGTGATAGCGAACCTATGGCACGTGTGCCACAGGTGGCACGCCAAGCCATATTGGTGGGCACGCGAGCTCAGCTCCAGCACACATGCATGCACCGGCCAGCTGATTTTCAGGTCTTCTGGGTCCACCAGAAGTTGGGAAACGGGCAGTTTCCAGCCTCCGGAGGGCCTCCAGGGGGGGACGGGGTAGGGAAGTCAGTTTTCGTCCTCCCCAGACTCCTAGAAGGGGTATGGAGCCTGGGGAGAGTGAAAAATGGGCCTACTGGGCCATCGTGTACCAAAAGAGAGCACGGGGGTGGGGGGACGCACACGCATGCGCACGGGGGGGGGGGGGCACATAGAATTATGGGTGTGGGCACACACGTGAACGACCCCCCCACTTTTGGCACACGATGGCAAAAAGAATAGCCATCACTGTCTTAGGTGTATATGCTCTCAGTGTATATAAGGAGAATAAAATACATCCATGAAGAATAAAAAAGATACAATAGTTACTGATAAGCTATCAAATCATACTAGATACAAATAAAAACAATATAATTGAAAGATACAAGCAATGGTTATAGTAATAAGTGGGAATACTAGATACTAGTAAGGAAGAGAAGAAGAATAGTAATACAGTCTTAGTAAATTATTTGACAGTGTGGTGGGAATGATGCAGAGTGATGGCATTCATAATGAATAATAAAGGTAGACCTTTTTATTACCAAACTAAGTCACATCAGCACTGATGATGTTACTTAGTTGGCTAATGGAATGTCTGCAAGAAAAACCACCAAGCTCAGAGCACCGAGGAGCTCACAGTTCGACCCTGAGCTACCAATTTATTTATTTATTTATTATCAGATTTATATACCGCCCTTCTCCCGGAGGACTCAGGGCAGTGCACAGCCAAAGTAAAAAACATAAATACAAACATTAAAATACAGTTAAAAAGATATATATATATATACATACATACATACATACAAGGATTCCCTTCTATTGATACTAATGTATTTTGATTGTTACTTTCCATTCTCTGCCACCTGATTCTCAGCGGTCAATGAGTTATTCTTATTCTATCTGATTTGATGCCACGCGATTTCACCCAACACTGCGATCTCCTAAACAATTTTGTGTGCTAAAGACTTTGTTACTCCGAGGGGACAATTTCTCGTGCCGAGGAAAAACAACTCTTACCTGGCTTTGAGAGAGGCATGGGAGGAGGGAAATATCGCCGGGATGGCTGCGGAGGGCTGCGGAGAAAAGAGGCTGTTAGCGCAACTGGCTGGTCATATTTCGAACGGTCATTCAATGAATGGTTGTAAGTCGAGGACTTATAACCTGTGCTGTTATCCAGGTACCTGTTGAGTTCTTGTCCCTGCAGGTGGAGCGTGTGGAGCTGATAGTGTCCAAAGACCTCAAAGACAATGGGTTTGGTCTTGATGTATTCGACAAAGGATTCGGTCACTTCCACGGAAATCTGTCAAGAGGAGACACGAACAGCCGTCTGAGTGAGCGAGAAAAGACTCAAAAATATCATACTTTTCGGAGTATAAGACACACTTTTTCCCCCACTAAAAGAGGGTGGAAATGTTGGTGCGTCTTATACACCGAATACAGCCATTTTTGGCTTCCCGAAACCCTGCCCCGCGCATCCTATTTTTGCCAAAAACAGCCCCGTTTTTGCCAAAAATGGGATGCGCAGAGGGTTTGGGAGGCCTGCAGAGTGCTCCTGGGGCCTGGGGAGGGCAAAAACCAGACATGCGGAGGCCCAAAACTATTTTTTTTTCTTGTTTTCCTCTTCGAAATCTTGGTGCATCTTATACTCCGGTGCGTCTTATAGTCCGAAAAATACGGTCATAATAAAAATAATAACAACCTTCAGCCAGCCAGCAGCAGAAGAGATGGCTGGCTTGCCTATTTGGAAAGAGGAAGGTTGCTGCCCATACTTCATTTGCAGGTGATTCTGATCCCTGAAGAAGCCACCAAGAACCCCTCCAAGAAGGTCACTTCCTCACTTACATTCTGGACATGATAAAATCCAAGCGGGGTCCCTCGGCCGTTATTTTTCAGAGGTTCGGTGGAGAAAGCTTCATCGTGCCGGTGGAGAAAGCTAGGAAAACAAGAATGAACCAGGTGAAGGTGAAGTACGCCATCATCGCCTCGATTAGCAATGTTCGTTCCGGTCCCAATGAGGGTCTTAAGTCAAGGACTACCTGTATACCTGCCATCTCCCACATCAGAAAACAGAATAACAAGACTTGGAAGGGATCTTGGAGGTCTTCTAGTCCAACCCCGTTTAGGCAGGAAATCATACATATATAGTCTAGTTTAATGAAAAGAAGGACTGGGTCGCATAATAGCAGTGTCCCAATATCTCAGAGACAAAGAAGAGGGGGTCAACTTATTCTCCAAAGCACCAGAAGGCAGGACAAGAAGCAACGGATGGAAACTAATGTTGTGGTTTGCCAGAGCTGGCAGCTGAGTTGGACAGTGAGGAGGCTAGGGAGGACCATGGGCCGGTCCTGGAGTCTGGGGAAGGCATTGACGAGGGCTCTGTGTCGGAGGCAGGGATAGGGCCAGGGCCATCTGGGAGCACTGCACTGACTCCGGAGCCTCCAGGGCGGATAGCAGAAAGGCAGAGGAACAGGAGGAGCCTGTTCCTAGTGCACGCATGCGAAGAGCTACCAGAAGGCAAGAGCAGCTAAAGCAAAAAGGACGACTCGGGAGTAAGGCCAGGAGATGATTGGCTCCTCCCAGAAGGCTTAAAAGAGCAGCAACTCTTTGGGATCTTTGTAGGAAAGCAATGTTGCTCAATCTGTTTCCAGTCAGCATCTCTTGTTTCTGAACATCTTGGGGTTTTGCCAAGAAAAGCCTTTGGCAGGGTGCCAAAGAAGACAAAGGTTGGTGATAAGGCCGAAGGACTGTTTATGAAGAATTTGTTTTGGACTTAATTTGGACTAAGCTGAGAATGAAGTAATTCTCAGCTGTTCTAATAAAATATGTTTGTTTCGGACTGATTGTGTCTGGTAATAACTGCTTGGGCCTAGGTCACAACAACTAATCAAGGAGAGACGCAACTTAGAACCAAGGAAAAATTTCCTGACAGTGAGAACAATTAATCAGTGGAACAACTTGTCTCCAGAAGTTGTGAATGCTCCAACATTGGAAGCTTTGAAGAAGAGATTGGACAACCATTTGTCTGAAATGGGATAGGGTTTCCTGCCTAAGGAAGGGGGGGGGGGGGGGTGGGCTTTGTGCAAACATGAGGACTAGAAGCTTACTTAGACTTACTTGAATTGGCAGAAGATATCCGCATATTCTGGGAGGATCCCGTTGGCCTGGAGCACCGTCACCCGGAAGGTAAAGACACTGCCCAGTTTCAGGTGATCCCCAACCTCCTCAGTAAAACCTTCCATGGCCATCTTGCCATCCAACAGAGTGCTGGATTTCAGGTCTGGAAATATATATATATATTTATATTTTTAAAAGAAGAATGGATTGCAACCATCTTGAAGCATTTTTTTACTCGCGAGTTAAGCCGCCTATGAGATGTGTCCTGTGTGTTCTTTGCCCGGCGTGGCTGTGGTCATCGCTTTTAGAGAGACCTCAGATCTAAAGGTGGCCTTCAGGTCATCCCAACAGCCATCTGCACATCAAGTTCCAAAGAACCCTGGAAAAGCAAGGTTGGGGAACCACGCCGTGCAGACAACTGCAAATCATAAAGCTGCTCTCCCCCCTCAAAATATTTTAGGATTGGGTTCTAGCAGGGTGGGCTTCAAGGGCTTCTCTGTCCAGTTGCTGGGTGGCCGTGGCCATGGTGGGCTTGGCCTAGTCGGCCTCCTGCACCACGGTGGGGTGGGGGTGGGAGCATTTTGCCCTCCCCAGGCTCCAGAAGCTTTCTTCGAGCCTCTGGGAGGGCGAAGAGGGCCTCCCCAGGCTCCGGAGGCCCTTCCTGAACTTCCGGTATGCCTGTTTTTCACCGTCCCCAAGCCTCTGTGCATGCCCTGCACTTACCTACATCCAAAATGGGTTGCGTGGGGACTCTTGGGAGGGGAGGGGAGGGGAGGGGGTGGGCGGGGCCAGCCAGGAGTGGGATTTGGGGTTCTCTGAACTGCACAGAATCTTAGCTAGAGGTTTTCCCGAATCCCTGCGAACCCCCTGCCGCCTATCCCTGGGTATTAGCAAAGCATACTACGGCCCCAGCTTAATTTGACACATCTCCAATCTCTCCTGGACCTCAAAGAATCAGAAGAGGTCTTCTGTTCGACTTACTCAGTTCATTCATCCGGTTGATTTCTTCAGGGGGCGTACTGACTTCCGCACTCTGGCCTTGTCCCTCGACGATCCTCAGTTCTTCCAAGGACAGTCCAGAATGTGTCATGGATACGGATGAAAAGTTGCTCTGGGGAAACCACAAACAAATGGGAGATGTCTAGTGAAGATGGCCTCCCGCCTTCTTCTTCTTTGAATCCTTCTTTGCCCCTTGAATGCTGTTGTGGCATTCAAGTGGAGCTGGCAGCAGATTCGGACCGTGAGGAGGTGAGGGAGGAACATGGGCCAGTCCTGGAGTCTGGGGAAGATTCTGATGAGGGCTCTGCGTCAGAGGCAGAAAGGGGGCCAGGGCCATCTGATAGTTGTCAGTTGCCTTCGGAGTCAGACATCAGTGAGGCAGAGGAACAGCCGGAGCCTGTTCCTAGTGTGCACATGCACAGAGTGGCCAGAGGAAGGGAACAGCTAAAGAACAAGGGTCGACTCAGGAGTAAGGCCACAGGTGGACGATTAATGGCCCCTCCCAGAGGGAATAAAAGAGGAGCAAAAGGGGAGGGGAGTTTGCAGGAGACAATTAGTTTGCTTAATTGATTCGTGACTCTCCGAGAATCCTTGCCAAGTTTTGAAGATATCGGCCTGGCAGCTCCCCAAGCCAGATAAGGTCTGTGACAGTAAATTCTCCCTTGAAAGACTTTGCTGGATGTAAATGAGAGGAATTCACTGTTTGTTTAATAAAAGGGGTTTTGTCGGGACCAGGATTTTGCTTCGTGCTTTTTGAAAAAGCCTAGGTCAGAACAAATACCAAGACTATAGAGATGCACTTAAGCAAGATGTTACCTTGTCGAAATACTCGTTGTCGAATGAGATCTTGGCTGTGCCAGACTGCCGAACACCAGAGCCATAATCGGGGGCCTCTTCGTCGGCTATCGGAAAAAAAAAGAGAAAGAACCGATGGGGGAGAATATTTGTAGCGTAGGGTTGAACCTGTGGGGTCCTTGGTGCTCTCTGAGCTTGGCGGTTTTCTCTGCAGACATTTTATTACCAAACTAGGTAGCACTATCAGTGCAGAGCACGTCGTGATGTCACCTATTTTGGTAATGAAACATCTGCAAAGGGAAAGAGGCAAAACACAGCTGTTAAGAGAAAGGAGCTTTCAAACACCCTGACTTCCATCTTTAAAAGATTACAATTCCGTTACTGGCCCAAACCATGAAGAAACCAACAATGTCATGAACAAACCAACAGCTACCCTCAGCTTCTCGGCAAGGCCTGGCTGCAACTTACCAGCTATAGCTTGGACTGCCACACGCAGAAATCCGCGCACTTCTCCTTTCTCGCTGACAACAGCCACTCTGTGGATGAGGGGGACTGGATAGAGAAGATTGCTTAAGTAGACAAACGCCCTGAAGGAAAAGAAGGATGGAAACCAAATCTTAGTCCCTCGTTTGTAAAACAAGAGTTACGTTTGATTAATTTGAGTAGAGATGGCATTTGGTTGAGGACAAACACAGTAACGACTCATCTGTTAGGAAGCTTGAAATGAAACACAGCTAGACTCAGCTTGATCTTTTAACAAATCACCAACGATTTAACCCATCGCACAGACAACTCTCAGTGGTTTACATGACATGAAAACTTAAAAGTAAAAATTATGAAGGCAATTACCGAACACATGTCAAATTTTAGCTCTTCTTCACTCTGAATTTTGAACAGGCTGGAATATTTTTAATATTTTAACCAGTTACCGTATCTCTTTTGTGGCAATGTCAAGGTTGCTGCTGACATTTAGGAGCCATAACAATGTTTAAAGGCCATGTTTAAAGGCATTGAGGGGCAGAAACACTCTATTACTGTACAGTTTACACTAAAACTTACAAGTGTAAGTGGCAATTTAAATATTGCATTTTTGTGCAAGTTAGCTTTGCCAAATGTAAAAAACAAAACAAAACCTGGTCTTTGCAGCAGAATAAAATAAGGGCATGAATTTCAAATTGTATTTTCCACCTCCCAGCCCCTCCCAATAGACTGGCCCAGGGGTGAAATCCAGAAGGTTCTGGAGAACCGGTAGCAGAAATTTTGAACAGTTTGGAGAACCGGCAAATACCACCTCTGGCTGGGCCCAGAGCGGGATGGGAATGGAGATTTTGTAATATCCTTCCCCAGGAGTGGGGAGGGAATGGGGATTTTGCAGTATCCTTCCCCTGGAGTGGGGTGGGAATGGGGATTTTGCAGTATCCTTCCCCTGGACTGGGGAGGAAATGGAGATTTTGCAATATCCTTCCCCTGGAGTGGGGAGGGAATGGGGATTTTGCAATATCCTTCTCCCAGGAGTGGGGAGGGAATGGGGATTTTGCAATATCCTTCTCCCAGGAGTGGGGAGGAAATGGGGATTTTGCAGTATCCTTCCCCTGCCACGCCCACCAACCCACACCCACAGAACCGGTAGTAAAAAAAAAAATGGATTTCACCACTGGACTGGCCTTACAGATATAGGGGCTCTATGTCACAAATGGCTAACTATAAGCACCTATGAATAATTAAACTAGGAAAAAAGAAACACTGAGGACTAGAAATATGGGAAACTTTTTATACAGTCGTGTTAATCTATTCTGCCAGCGCCTGTGTGCTTTCCCCCCAACCGATGGGAATTTCCTGAAATGAAGAGAAGGCAAAGCAATGCAAAAACACAAGCACAAATGGTGATCTGTGTATTCTACGACGACAAAAAAAATGTCAATGGAGTGCAACACAAAAGGGAGGGAACACAACGGATACACAAACCGAAATGGCTGCAACTCAAAACTAAGACAAATAGGCCTCCTTTTTTTCCAGCCTGCTTTGCAAGTTTCATTTCAGAGGGAAGGGAATTCTTTTAAGGCGGCAGCAGCAGCAGACTGAAAGGAAACGGGAGGTACGATGAGCCCAAAGATGGGTGAGACAGAGCAACATCTTCACATAAAAAAGCCACAGTCAGATGAGAAAATAAAAGTTTAACGTGGAAATAAAAAAAAGGGGGGGGAAGGAGGAGGATTAAAAGGTGACTAACGGAACGCAAAGGAAGTCTGGGATGGGTTGGAAAAAACGTAATCCCTGCGGACGTAGATGCGAAGGCCCCATTTCGGATGCCTTCCCCAGCCAATAAACATCAATTTCACACGGCGTGCCAAAAGAATTGACTGCAAGGACCGGCGTTTTTCCTCTGAGCCGCAAAGTGGAGGCCAAACCAGCATCCAGATATGAGCCACCGCATGGTTTACAAGCTCTCTAGCTTAACAAACAGGGCCAGGAAGAAGAAGATAAGATGGGGAATTCCTCAGGTTGCCTAGAAACAGGGGTGGGCTTCAAAAATTTTAGCAAGGGGTTCTCTGCCTGGTTGCTGGGTGGGCGTGGCCAGGGTGGGCGTGGCCTAGTCGGCCTCCTGCACCACGGCGAGAGGGGGGCATTTTTGCCCTCCCCAGGCTCCGGAGACTTTTCTCAAGCCTCCGGGAGGGCGAAAACGGCCTCCCCAGGCTCTGGAGGCCCTCTGGAGGCCAGAAACATTTCCGGTGTTCCCGAACTTCCGGTAGGCCAGTTTTTCACCCTCCTTGAGCCTCCACGCACGCCCTACATTTACCTGCATCCAAAACAGGCCGCGTGGGGAGTCCTGGGAGGGGGAGGATGGGCGGGGCGAGCCAGGAGTGGGATTTAGGGGTTCTCTGAACTGCACAGAATCTTAGCTAGAGGTTCTCCCGAACCCCTGCGAACCCCAGCAGCCCACCCCTGCCTAGAAGTGGTAAATTGTCACAGCCAGACGCAGGGCGCTCCGGCCACAATCCCAAAATTTGCTGGTATTAACCGAGCGTAATTTATATTCCTGGTTTTTAAGAAGCCTGCAATGCCGTAGGCCTGTTTGGTCATTTCTAAACCTTGTTTAGGGTAAAAAGACAGAATGGTTGGGTTCTCGCCATCATGCTAAGCTGGGAGCTTTTAAGAAGCCACAATAGTACTGGAAACGCAAAGCCACGATGGTCGTCTTCAGGTGTCATATTAACAGACCAGCAAACCATGTTACGGAGAACCAGAGCAATGGCTGCCTCCAGATGTTAAGTAGATGTTAAGCAGAAATTAAGAAATTCTAATCGTGATTTCTTGTGATGTTGATTTTGACAATCAAGAAATCTTCATGTGAACGTATTTTTGAGAGTGTCAAGCTGGTATTTTGTATATATATTGAGAAAAGGGAACTAGAGACCCTATAGAGAAATGAAAGCTCCCCTAAAACATGGTTTGAAGTTCAAACCAGGATTTAGATTTTGATTCATGGTTACAAAGGAAAATGTTGACAACTGCAGTTTTTAGTCTTATGTGCAATCTTTGCACCGGGGGCAGAAGTTTTAGCAGTTTCAACGGGCATCTGTTGCACAACTGAAGTGCTGGATTTTTGCTTTTTGACTGATAATTTGACAGTTATTGGGTTTTATTGTTGTGAGGTCATGTATTTTCGGTGGGTGGCCATGCAAATATTGAAAATGAAATTATCCATCATGAATTCTCGTCGTCTCTGTTAAAGCCCTCAACGCACAACTAATTCCAATTGAGGTAAAAGCAGGCTCCATTCTACATTACAATTTAGGAGAGGGTTAAAAAATGTATCCAAGATTCCTGAATCTTTTTGATCACGAGTGACTGCTTGTTAATTAGAATTTTTTTAAATTAATGGATGCTTTCAGAATTCTTGTTTTTATTGTGTTTTTGCAAACCTGCCAGAGGGGACAAGGATGTGGGAGGCAGGCTGATTTTTTAAATCAGCAAAAGGGAAGAAGGGAAGGTACCAGAAGTCTGTTTTCATGCCACGCTCACAGTGGCCTTTGCACAGAGACCACAGACTTTTAGGGTCATTCTAGAATACAGGTAGCCCTCGACTTATGACCACAATTGAGCCCAACATTTCTGTTGCTAAGTGAGACATTTGCTAAGTGAGTTTTGCCCTCTTTTACGACTTTTCTTGCCATGGTGGTTAATCCCTGCGGTTGTTAAAGATTAATCACACCGTTGTTAAGCAAATCTGGCTTCCCCATTGTGTTGTAGCCCATCAGCGGCTGGTGCAGCTAGTAGCTGATTCGGACAGCGAGGAGGCTGGTGTGGTGCTGTGCCAGCAGCCTGTGCAGCTGGCACTCGAGTCGGACAATGAGGAGGCTGGAGAAGATGTGGCGCCAGAGGCGGGGATCCAGCCAGGGCCTTCACAACCTCCAGAAGCTCCCTTAAGTGAAGAGGACGAAGAGGAGGGGCCTCTTCTCGATGCACGGGCACGCAGAGCTGCCAAAAGGCAGGAGTGGCTCCTCAGGAGTAGGTCTCTTCGAGAGTAAGGCTTGGGGCTAATTGGCCACTCCCTTAGCCTATTTAAGGAGGAATGCTGACTGAAACAATTTGCAGGGAACAACTCCGTTCACATACCTTCCTGTCTTGTCTTGCTTATCTTATCAGCTTCCTGCAAATTGCTTCTGGTTATTCTGCCAACCACAGTAAGCTTTCAGTTATTATTCTTTGAATTCTTGGCGGCTGTTAATGCAGTTAATTGACAGCCATTGTTGTAAAAAAACTGGTTTATTTAGTAAACTAAGGTTTGAACGGACTTTGTGTGTGCTGCGTTCTTTGGGGTCCATAGCTGGGGCAGAACACATTGACTTTGCTTGTCAGAAGGCCGCAGAAGTGGAACCCGTGACCCCCGGGACGCTGCAATCGTCATAAATATGAGTCAGTTGCCAATTGCATTCAGATTTTGATCATGTGACCATGGGGAGAGGCTACGACGGTCATGTGAAAATCGGTTGCAAGTCACTTTTTTCAGTGCCATTGTATGAGTCAGTTGCCAAGTATCCGGAGTTTGACCACTTGACCATGGGGATGCCGCAACGGTCGTTAAGTGTGAGCCAGAGATGGGTTTCACATAATTTTACCACGGGTTCGCCACGCACCAAAAATGTGAGCGCGCACTCCTGTGGCCTTCCGCGCATGTGCTTTGCTCGCGGACGTGGTTTGCACGCAGCTTAGAAAACATGGGTAAAAAGGATGGCATAGCGCCAGGGCGGTTGGGCAGACCCACCCGCAGGTCACCACAACCGGTTTTCCCAAACCGGTCGGAACCAGCTGATGTGGTGTGAACGTCCCTTTTTTCACTGCTGTTGTAACTTCGAGCGGTCACTAAATGAACTGTTTTAAATTGAGGACTAGCTAGGGAATTCAAGAAGAGGAAATCCGATTGTCCTGAAATAATTAAGTTGGAGAAAATCAGCCTGGGATTTGCCTGGACTGGCTCCTTTTGTTGAGGAAGGACACGCAGCTCATGGGAAAAAAAAACAAAGCCAGTCCCTGCTGGTCATTCTTACAGTCGACCTCACCAACCTTCCCACCAAAATGAACCAAGGGGAGCGGTCGTAAAACGGATCCTGGCCATCGCTGAAGCAGTCCAATCCCTCCTCGGTCCCGACGTCGGAGCCCGTGTCGTCCACAAAGGCCTCGTCGTCGAAATCCGTCATCTCGTCCTGCTGCTCGTCGGCCAGCTCCGTGATATCGGAATCGGCGGTGGAGAAAGTGGGGGAGGGCGTGCGGTCAGCCAGGCGCTCATTCACACAGCCGTGGAAAATGGGGGAGCTAGAGATATCGGTTAACGGAACACTTTGGTTAACGCGGCAAGGGAGGAAGGGGGGGAGGGGGAGAGAAAGAAAGAAAGAAAGAAAGAAAGGGATAGCTTCGTTTGAAAAAAAAAGGGGCTCTGCGGCCGGCGGAGCCCAGTGCACAGCCCACCGGAACAACAATAACAAGGCAAAGCTTTTTTTGGGGGGGAGGGGGGCAGAGAAGGGGCGCGAGACAAAGCACAGTGCAGAGGAAAGGCAGACTCTCCTACGCTGAGCTGGGTGTAGATGGCGGCAAAAGGTTTCTGGGCGAGAGAAACTAGCTGTCAGCATTCTGATGCTGCCATAAAAAGGAGGAGGCGAGGCTTGACTTTTCACCTACTTATTTTCTCTGTAGATAATATCCCCTAGGAGATGGGATGGGAGGGGGGACATTCCTGTGGGCTGAGGTCAGAAGCTGGGGAGACTGACTTGGAAGATGGCCAATGAGAAGATGAGAATTGGGGAATGGAAAGGGAAGGGTTTGGGGGTCAGAGGGTTAGTATCGGCTACGACGAAGTCGGGCCCAGATCTGTCGTACTCAATAAATGGAATATTTCAGCAAAGATTAATTGTTTGGGAGTGCAATTTATTTGAGATGACATCGAAACCTGACACTAGCATTTTCTCTAAGCTGTCAAAAGCAAAATATTTCAACCCTTTCTGCAAAACTCTGCACGTAGAAACAGATATATAGAGAGATAGATAGGATCACTTTTATTGTCACTGTTGTGGCCTGTGGGCCGCCAGCCCCTCCAGCAGCCGAATCAGAGGAGGAGGAGGAGGAGGAGGGGGCGTGGGAGTCAGAGTCAGCATCGAGGCAACCTGAGAGCTCCGAGGGGGAAGAGGGAATGGAGCTGGCAGAGAGAGACAGAGGCAGAGCCTGGGCCGTCCGTCAGCTGTCAGATGGAGAGTCAACAGCCCCCAGGTCTGGAGGTGGCTGATGAGGAAGAGGAGGAATAGCTGGGCCCAGTGCCTGATGCGCAGATGCACAGAAGGCAGAGGAGAGGAGAGCAGTGGAAATCTATGGGCCGGTCCTTGGGACGGAAGAGCCACCGCTGCTAGCGAAACCTCACCCTAGCTCTGGGGATAAAAGGCAGGGGGCGGAGATGAATAGATGTGGCAGACTATTCATCTTCCGGCTGCACAGACTTGTCAGCCTGCATTGAGAGAGAAACTTTTTGCCGGGGCTGCCGGCGCTCCTAATAAAGGAATCATTCATTTAACCTCAGAGAGTTTGTCATGTTTGGGGAGCTGGATCAGAACAGTCACTTTGAATGTACACTAATCGGCATACATTAAAATGGAATTTTAAATCCAGCTCAAATCCAAATACAAAACTCCCTTCCCGTAGGAAGCTAAAAGAGTCAGGGCGAAGACCACACGAACTGTTCTTTCTTGGGGAGTTATCTCACTCCAGGCAGGGAGATATATTCGGGGTAGAAACTGATTGGCATCCCAGGCAATTCTCCCAATCTAAATTTCCACTGAACTAGGAAATAAATTGGATGGATTTTAGGGAAAGCAGGGCAGCAGTGCGATTTAGATCGACTTTTTCCCCACCAAATTCCTTTTTTTCCCCAGCAGTGGAAAAAGTTGTGTGTGTGGTTGAAATACGCAGGCTGCTACCAAGTCGAGGAAATGCATGTATACACCAAAGCAAAGGGGTGGGGGTGGGTTTTTTTTTGGAAAAAAGCAAATTAACAACATCCTGCTACTTGGATGATTTTAAGTGGAACAAAGCCTGGATTCTCAGCGTGGATCTTTTTTACCCTCTCTTCTTCCAGAAAAACAGATCTCAGGAGCAAGAGTGGCCTAATTTGAACCCCCGGCTCTTTTCTGAAGGAGGGGTTCAGAAGTCAAATTTCCCACGGAATGGCATCTTCCATGTTTTCACATCCAAGGAAAATGCGATTGATCACCTGAATTTTTAATCAGAGCATGGGAGGTCAATTTTGAAGGAGAAATTTGGCCAATTCGGCTCATTCCCAAATTCTAAACAGAAGGCCGACCGGATGACTGACCCCTCGCACAAAAGTCCTGGTTCCCAACCATGCATCCATCCAGGTGGAGATACGACAGAATGATGTCGCCCCTTCAGACCAGCCATTGCCAAAAGATGTTCCCATGAGGCCGATGGGCCTCTCTTCCGCGTGGAAATGGGTTCCACCTACCTCCCAACCAGCTTGAACCAATGGAATCGGTCGTAGAAAGGGTCACTGCCTGTCATGGTGCTCTCGTTCTCTTCCTGGGCATCGGAGGCTATCTCTCCGGCTCGGTCGTACATTTCCCTCATCAGCTCCAGCCTCTGCCTACAAAGCAGAAGATGGCCAAGGGGTCAAGAGAGAGACAGCCTGGATCCATCTGAATTGCATGAAAGGTTTTCGGGCTTCCTGCCTACCAATCTGGTGCCTACAGAAGCAGTTTGTTTTTTTAACAGTAGCATCTTCAGGGCTGAAGGGCCCCCTAAAGCACTAAGGTGCCGTATTTTCTGGAGTATAACACTCATTTCTCCCCCCTCCCCCCACAAAGAGGGTGAAAATTTGGGCGTGTCTTATACAGCAAATGTAGCCCTGCCCACCCACAGGCCCCCACCCTTTGGCCTCTGCCTCCCAGCCATTTGCCTCCTTGCCCGTTTCAGTTTCAGCACAGTCTGATTAGCACAAGCAGCTGATTGCCGGTTGGATCAGCCTCCCGACCATCAGCTGTTTCAGGCTGCAGGGATCGCCATTGCCTATTGCCGCCTCCGCATGCCCCATTTTCGGCCTCCGCTGTTTGCTGTTTGCTGCAAGGAGGCAAATTGCTGGGAGGCAGAGGCAGATTTTTTTTTCTTGTTTTCCTCCCCAAAAAAGGTAGGTGCGTCTTATAGTCCGGAGCGTCTTATACTCCGGAAAATACGGTACTTCTTCCCATCCCTAGCAGGACAGTGAGGAGGTTGGGGAGGAACATGGGCCAGTCCTGGAGTCTGGGGATGGCTCTGATGAGGGCTCTGCGTCGGAGGCAGAGAGGGGGCCAGGGCCGTCTGACAGTGTGCACATTCTCAGAGCTGCCAGGAGAAGGGAAGAGCTAAAGAACAAGGGTCAACTCAGGAGTAAGGCCATAGGTGGACAGTGAACAGCCCCTCCCAGAGGGAATAAAAGAGGAGCAAAAGGGGAGTGGAGTTTGCAGGAGACAATTAGTTTGCTTAATTGGTTGTGACTCTCAGAGACTCCTTGCCAAGTTTTGAAGATATCGGCCTGGCAGCTCTCCAAGCCAGATGAGATCTGTGACTGTAAATTCACCCCTGAAAGACTTTGCTGAAGATGAGTGAGAGAAATTCACAGTAACTTAATAAAAAGGGGTTTTTGTCAGGATAAAGAGTCTGCTTCCTGATTTGGGGACGCCTAAGTCAGAACAGCCATTCCTTGCCCACCTGAGTTTTTCCAGGGACCAGTAGTGAGTAGCACCGTTCTTGAGATCCTGGACCTCTACTGCCACCACCGTGCGAGGGAAGGGGCAATGGCCGTGGGGCTTGTTTGAGTCGGCCGGCATCAGCTCCGGAGGTAATGGGGAGTAGAGCGTGTCAGTCAGCAGAACGAACTGGAATTGTACCTGGAAGGACCAAAAATAAGAGGCGGATGTAGATGCGGAGCTAAACAACAGGCTTTTTTCTCCCCCGATTGGTGCTACTGTGACAATATATACTGCTCTTGCATATGGAGGTTCTTGGAAGCCCTCAAGGTTGATGGCCACTTGTGATGACCCGGGGCATGGCACAGAGGCAGCACAGTCAGCTGACAGTTCAAACCGCCCCCTTAGTGTTGAAAATATTCCCCAAAACACTCCCACGTTTCTGGCAAGTCCCAGAGCAAAGTGATGACACACACACCTCCAGCAGCCTCTGGCTGCAAAGAGTCCAGCCCAATGCTGTGAGCACAATGGCTGCAAACAAGAACTTCAGCAGGGCAAGGGAATAAATCAATTAGTCCAGGAAGCAGAGGAACAAAGCAAGAAATCCAAGAAACGCCCAATGTCGGCAACAGCACACAACACTCCATGAATTCAGTGTTTGTTCCCGACAAATGCCCCTCCCCATAGCATCTCCTTAAGTCTCAGTCCCCAGGTGTGCCTTATGAAGAGGGGCGGGGCACTCTCCTCCAGAGTAGCCGGGTCAGTCTGCGCTGTTCTCGCCTTCTCTCTACTCTCCGTGCTCGAGGATCAGGAGGGAGTGGTCCCTGCTCATCGCCTGAGCTCTGCCTCTCATGTTCACTGCTTAGCCTCTCTTGGTTATCCTGCCCCCCTTCCTCCCTGCCTACAAGCCGTCCCAATCCTGAAATGCCCAGGCCTGCCTCGGCATGTTCCTCCCCACATTCCTCCAGAGCCAAGGAAGCTGCCCCCTCGATCTCCGTCAGCTCCATTTCCGGCTGGTCTTCCTCCACAGATTCAGGCTCCGATGGAGGCATGACACCACTGATGGGCTTTGCCAATTAGCCTAAACCCAGAGGCCCCCTTGTTCAAATGACTTGATCTTTCTCCAGTTAAGATGCATGGATTTCAAGCTCCCAGAATGCAAGCCGGCTGGGGGATTCTGGGAATTGAAGTCCACCCGTCTTCAAGCGGCCAAGTTGGAGAAACGATGTCTAGCTGGACCTTGTGATTTGTCACGGATAGCCTTGCTCCAAGAATCCCCTTACCTTTTTTTTCAGCTCCACGCTAATAGCGTTGCCTTCCTTCAGGTAGACTGCATTGCCCCACAGCTGATCTCTTAAAGAGGTAAACTGGTGGAACTTCCATTTGCGGAAAGCCCACTGGGCAAGGTCGTACTCGTGCTGAGTCCAAGGCACTGAAAAACATAAAATAAATGCAAGGCGCATAGGTGAGTTCCTAAGGTTTACACTAAAGAAAGGGTCTTTTCTACGGTGGCCTGTAGGGCAGTGGCTGGCTGGGGAATTCTGGGAATTGAAGTCCACATATTTCAAAGTTGCCAAGGTTGAAAAACACTGCCTAACCCTAACCCTAACCCAAAGAAGTGTTCCTTGTAGATCATTACGACACTACAGTGCCTGAAGTGTTGATTCTCCAGACACAATGGCAATTGAGCCGAAATTTTCTGCTGCTAAGTGAAACATTTGTTAAGTGAGTCTTGCCCACTTTACGACCTTTCTTGCCACAGCTGTTAAGTGGATCCCTGCAGTTACTAAATTAGCAACACGGTTGTTAAGTGAATCTGGCTTCCCCATTGACTTTGCTCGTCAGAAGGCCGCTAAAGGGGAATCACATGACCCCGGAATACTGCAACCGTCATAAATATGAGTCAGTTGCCAATTGCATTTTAGATTTTGATCATGTGAACGGTTGCAAGTCACCTTTTTTCCAGTGCCACTGTAGCTTTGAGCGGTCACTAAATGAACTGTGGTTAAGTCAAGGACTAGCTGCATTTTGAAGGGTCACGTGGCTTAGAACTTGTGGCTTTTGTCAGCTTTTGGTGGCCTTCTTTTCTTGAAACTCTTAGAAACGAACATTGTTCCCCTAGGTTTTTAAAACACGAGTAGTGGCCGTTTTTTTCCCCCAACTGTCCAAACTACCAAATAAGGGCCAAGATGGGAGATGACGCCACAGCTTCCACCTTACAAATTCAGTAACCCCCTCGGGTTGCAATAATAATAATTTCTGAGTCTCACTGGACAAATCAGCCCCCATGTCCTGCAGGAAAAGAGATCAGTGGAATATCCTAGAAAAAGCGGGCTTAAAATGAAAAGAACAAACAGGTGCAAAAATCCCCTTCTGTTCCTGCAGGAGTTGGTTCCCGGCCCAGGCTCTTTTTCAACTCACCCTCCTCTTCCTCTTCTTCCTCCTCTTCCTCCGTAGTCTCGGCAGCCAAGGACCGGGTCTCGACCTGTTTCTGCAAGGCCTGGAGTTTGCTTTCGTAGTCCTGAAGGGGGAAACAAGAAAACACCGTATAGGAGAAGACGACATGGGAAAAGTGAGGGGGAAGAGAGGAGGAAGGGAGAGAAAAAAGGAACACAGAGGGAGAACGCTCCAGGGAGCAGAATGTGAGAAACAGACCGGGACGGAGAAACAGGGAAGGACGACGCTGTTGTTTCCACGAGAGATTAGCTGCCTTTTAGAGCAACAGGCTTTGGATGTAGGGTATGAATCAGGCCTGTGGGCATTTCTTCTCCAGTTTAGCAAAGGTTAAGAGATTTGGGAATATAGCAAATACATTTGGCCTTAGCAACAGCCAAAGGCCACTGAGGAGCAATGGCCTTTCCCTTTCGGCTGCGTGATGAAAGCAGCAAATCTTTTTTACGGTGTTCAGGACTGATGGGCGTCGTTATGCAGGGCATGTGGTGAGCTGGATGCCAATCCAAGCATTACAACTTTCTCCCGAGTACTAATCACACCAGTATTTGGGTGGGAAGAGAGAGAGAGAGAGCGAGCGGTGCGGTGGCCTAGAGGTGGAGCTCTTGCCTCACAATCAGGAGGCTGTGAGTTCGATCCTAGGTAGGGGAAGATACTTCTCTCTCTGGGCACCGTGAGAATGTATCTGCTGAATATAAACTCCGCATCGGCGATAGGAAGGGCATCTGGCCAGTAAAACAGTCAGCTCCATTCAGTTGCCCAGACGCCACCCCGCAAGGGATTATGGGGTCGTTAAAAGAAGATGATTTGGATGGGAAGGGACAGAGAAGACCAACACCCCCCCCCCCCCCCCCCCAGCGAAGGGCATGTTTCTCGATCTCAGAACCCATCCATCACTACGTCAATTGTCAATAAGTCTTCACCGGTTTATGGAGCTAGTCTTTTCTCTGAAGATTGCACAGCCGAGGTGGGGCTCTTGCACACTCAGCATTGCTCCGGGAGGGGCTGAGTGTTCACCAAGTGCTGAAGAAGCCATGATGGGGTTGGGGGTGAATCTCAACGCAAAGATTGTGCACTAAACCAGAACAAGGGAGAGTGTGTAGCACCTTGAGTGATGGAGAGCTGGCTGGATTATTAGAGCAGCTTTTCAGATTTAGCCATTTCTCCCACAGCTGCGGATGCCATCGCTATACAGGCAGTCCTTGGCTTACGCAATTGAGCCCTAAAATTGTTGTTGCTAAGCAAAACATTGGTTAAGTGAACTCTGCCCCATTTTGTGACCTTCCTTGCCGCAGTTGTTAAGTGAATCACTGCGGTTCTTAAATCAGTAACACGGCCGTTGAGTGAATCTGGCTTCCCCGTTGATTTTGTTTCACAAAAGTTGAATCAGGTGAGCCCGGGGCAGTGCAACCGTCATAAATATGAAATCAGTTGCCAAGAGTCCCAATTTCGATCACATCACCTGATCATGGGGATGTTGCAATGGTTGTTAAGTGTTAAAAAAACGGTCGTAAGCAGCATTTCTCAGTGCCGTCGTAACTTAGGGGACGGTCCCTAAACGAACTGTCGTGAAGACTATCTACTCAAGAAGCCAAAGGCTGCATTTGATAAATGATGGCCATTATTGCTAAAAGGGGATTGGATTCAAACCTATTGGAATGGCCTTGTTATTACGACCATGTTTCAGGATCTAAAAGGGCTTTTTGGCTTTTCTAAAGATACTAGCTGAATACCCGTGCTTCTTTAGGAAACCATGTGATTGGGCTTGATAAATCCGACACTTACAGCTTGAAAATTAATGAGTAGCTACGATCGGCCTCTCCTCTCCCCTCCTCTCCCTCAGGCTTGCCCCACAGAAGCCTGTCCTATGCTATCCCATTCTCTCCAGAGTTATTTTCAAGTTGAAAGGGGGAGTAGAACGTCTAACTAATTAGCATCAGAGCGTGTTAATAATAATATAGGAAATACTAATGCTATGATGGTCATTTTGAAAAATCCTTTCTTAGTGAGCACCTAGAAGCCAAGAGGAACGTACGTGGCAAATTTCAAGTTTGTAGGCTTTATGGTTCTGGAGATTTCGTGACTACGGAATGAGTGGTTTTCGCTTTTATATATATAGATTGTTAATTATCGTTCTCCAGGTATTGGGTGCAACTTAATCCTTCCCCAACCCAACAGCAATAGCCCTTAGACTTATATACCGCTTCACAGTGCCTTACAGCCCTGTCTAAGCAGTTTACAGAGTCCGCCTCTTGCCCCCAACAATCTGGGTCCTCATTGTACAGACCTGGAAAGGATGGAAGGCTGAGTCAACCTGGAGCCAGTCAGGATCGAACTGTTGGCAGTCGGCAGAGTTAGACTGCAAATACCGCATTCTAACCACTCTGCCACCATGACTCTTGTAGCAATGGCTCTTAGACTTATATACCGCTTCAGAGTGCTTTACAGGCCCCTCTAAGCAGTTTAAAGAGTCAGCCTCTTGCCCCCAACAATCAGGGTCCTCATTTTAACGGACCTTGAGAAGGACTGAAGGCTGAGTCAACCTTGAGCTAGTCAGGATCGAACCCCTAGCAGTCGGCAGGAATTAGCTTGCAATTCTGCATTCTAACCACTGTGCCACTATGGCTCTATAATAACACCCTAACCCTCAACCCATTACACCGTGGCCTCTTCAACCAGCACATCTGGGAGACGCAGAGTAAGGAAAAATGACTTTTCTTTTTCCTAGGCAGAATGTTATCTGAAAATTAATTTTGGTGGATTTTCCAGGAGAGGAAGATTGAATTAGAGCCAGCACGGCCCCACGCGATCCTTATGACACCCACAAAGCTTTTATCACCTTATTCTTAACATTTCCAACACACACACACACACACACTCCAAACAAACTTCCTGATCTCTGGAAGTTTTACAGGTAGTCCTCAACGTATGACAACAACTGAGCCCAACATTACTTTTTTTAAGTGAGACATTGATTGAGTTTTCCCCCATTTTCTGAATTTTCTTGCTACGTCTGCGGAGATTCTCAGTCATCCGGCTCTTGGTTGTCCCAAAAGTGCTTTTTTTTTTCTCAAGAGGCAACTGGACTTCCTGGTTTTTCTTTGAAGACGTTTCGCTTCTCATCCAAGAAGCTTCTTAGGCTCTGACTGGATGGTGGGGAATGGAAGGGTTTCCCTGAGTAAACACAGATAAACCTCCAAGTGGCATCAATGGCTCTCTAGAAGGAGGCAAATGACCAGCAGTCTGCAAGGAGTATAAATCCTTCCATTACTCCCCACCATCCTGTCAGAACTGAAGAAGCTTCTTGGTTGAGAAGCGAAAGGCCTTCAAAGACAAACAAGAAAGTCCAGTGGCCTCTTGAAAAAAACAGCACCTTTGGGTTTTCTTGCCACGGATCTGGTTTCCCCATTGACTTGGCTTGTCAGAAGGTTGCCAAAAAATATTCACACAGCGACTCCAGGACACTGCAACCGTCGTAAATCTGAGCCAGTTGCCAAGTGCCTGAATTTTGGTCACGTCACCCATGGAGATGCAATGGTCACTAAACGAACGGTTGTAAATCGAGGATTGCCCGCATTACTCTATGTACTCCGTGGACCAACAATTTCAGGGGAACAAAGAAAAACCAACGATTAAGAATAAGGAAATCTGAAGAGCTGTTTTCATAGATGTCGGGAGTGTGGCTCTTTTATCCTTGATGGGAAGGAATTGATCTAAGGCAGTGATGGCGAACCTTTTCGGCACCGAGTGTCCAAACCGGAACACGCGCATCAGAAACACGAAGACCAACTGGCTGGCGCAATGCATGCCTGTTTTTGGCTGTTTTTTGGGCCATTTTCCGGCCATTTTGGAGCTGCTTTTGACTGAAAAACAGCCTATTTTTTGGGCATTTTGGGGGTGTTATCAGCAATCCAGAATGTTATCATTTCAATCGAGTCTTTGCAATGTGTCCATCGATTTGCACTTCATTCCAGGTCATTAAGAATATCATTTTGGGGTGGGTGGGGGGTGAATATGTGAGAACCACGCACCTTTTTCCTGCACATGAAAGTTCAGATTAAATTATACATCCCAGGCAAGAAGTTTACAAGGCCCGCTACATCAGAGGGATTCCCAATTTAAGAACTAGGAAAGGATCCCACTGGATCCTGAATCTTACGTCCCCTTTTCTTATCAGATTCCTCTAAATGCCAGTTTAAAAGAGAAGAAGAGCTAACCGTGTTCTCCACACTCTTTGGTTTAAAAAAACAAAACAAAACACAAAATTAGCTCCTTTTTGGGTTTCCAAAAAGCTGCCAATTGACTCCCCAACCAAGTGACATGACAGGCTTAATAAGAATCTTTTGCACTTTATTGAAATGACTTGTTAAAAAGCACAAGCAGATCTGCTTTTCACAAAACGCAGGCTTGTTTTTTTCTTTAAAAAAAAAACCCCATCAAAACCACTTAAAAACAACAGATGGACAGATTATCATTATTATTTTTTTCAGATTCCATCACTTCACCGGAAGAAACAATTTCCTCCTTTACAGTAACTGCGAATAGGTTCACGCTCAAAAGCTTCGGAAATTATTTCAAAGGCAACCTAACTAAGAGCATTAAAATATATATTTATATATATATTTACCTATATAATCTACATTGCTTAACCATCAGAAGGAGAAGGCACAGAACGGACCGAAGAATAATCTGGCTGAATCTATTTTGAGGAACGCAAACGGTTTCCCTGACAAACTCGGGACAGATTCCTTGATTAAGGCCAATTAAAATGTTAATGATGATGATGAAAGGAAAAAAAAAATGAAAGGAGAAATTAAAAGGCAGCTATAGCTTCTTCTGTTCTGTAGTCTGCTGCCCAACTCAACCCTCATTTCATTGCAATCACTTTCATTTAAAAAAAGGACACTTTTTTTGTAAGGCTCTTGCCTTGGGCAGCGGGTTGGACTAGAATACCTCTGAGGTGCCATCCAGCCCTATGATTCTACATTCAACTAGAAGCTCCCTCCTGTGGCCCTCAGTAGACAAGGTAAAGGTAAAGGTTCCCCTCGCACACATGTGCTAGTCATTCCC